GGTCCGAATCAAAGCAAAACTGTTGGGAGAACTACGCTAATAAATCATATTTTCCCAAAGATGCAACGGGATTTCCCTGTTTCGCTTCTCCTCCAAGGACCTTCTCCAGCTCTGTGTGTGTGTTTGAACTCAGAACTTTGGGGTGGTTGCTTAGGAACATCAGATCTTCTTCTCCTGAGCTTCAGCCCACAAGGGAGCCTCCATCAAGCTGTCTTCCCCCCACTCTCTTCATTGACCTGCCCCCCCCAAGAAAGCTTCTCTTGTGGGGTGAACCCTTTCAACCGGTCACCCCTTCTCCTTCCGGGACCCTCAGCCGAGCGAGGGACGGCCATGAGCTCTAACTCTTTGCTCGAAGTGAAGATCCTCTTTTGGTGAGATGAGAAGGAGATCCTGGGTGTGTGTGTGTGTGGGGGGGGTTGTCCTCTTCCAGGAGAGACCACTGAAGGGTGGGGAGGGTCACCCCCCCCGCCCCCCGAAAAAACCTTCCGTAAGGGCAGTTTGAACATTTAGAAGGAAGTTAAGGAGAGGCAAAGCTCTCCAAAAGTATGGGAGATGCATGTTTTAAGTTCCTCCTTCTTGGGAAAAAGGTGGGGAGAGGTTTGTGTAGGGGTGTGTGTGTGTGTGTGTGTGTGTGTGTGTGTGTGTGTGTGTTTAAGACTGATGAAGCTGCTTTTAGGGCTGCTAAAATTTGTTTTCCTGTCTTCCTAATTCTGATTTTGAGTAATTGGTGGGAATTTTTTGGATGTTTTCAGTTCCATTCTTATCCTTATCCTGGATCTTTTCTTGACTGACTTCCTTCCTTCCTTCCTTCCTTCCTTCCTTCCTTCCTTCCTTCCTTCCTTCCTTCCTTCCTCCCTCCCTCCCTCCCTCCCTCCCTCCCTTCCTCCTTCCCATCCATCCATCCATCCATCCATCCATCCATCCATCCATCATCTGGTAAATTGATCTTCCATCTTTTTTTCCCATTTTTTTCAGAGGTTCCTGAGGATCCAGGGTTCGGGTAAGTCACCCATCCTGCTATTCTATTATTTCTTATTCTATTCTATTCTAATTTTTCTCTATTCTATTATTTCTTATTCTATTCTATTTTTTCTCTATTCTATTCTATTATTTGCTATCCTATCCTATCCTATCCTATCCTATCCTATCCTATCCTATCCTATTCTATTCTATTCTTTTGTAACTCTATTCTATTCTATTCTATTCTATTCTATTCTATTCTATTCTATTCTATTCTATTCTATTCTATTCTATTTTTTCTCTATTCTATTCTATTTGTAGATTACCCACCCATTATAATTCTGTGTTATAAACATGGATTCTTATTTTTTTTCCCCCCCAGTTCATGCAGCTTAAGCAGCTCTTGGAGAAAAGATTTCCGAACAAACTTGACATTGTGAGTTGTGGTGCAGCCGATCCAGAAGGGCGGGGAAGGGCTGGGTGTAAATCCGTCAGTGGTCTGAACGGACCTCAAACATTTCCTTCCGATCCCAAATCCAGACTGGGAAAATCTGTCTGAAGTTAAACCAGCAGCCCCTTTTTGCTGGTTTCTCGCTTTCCATGTTTGACCTCAAAAATCAGTCTCCTTTTGGCAAACCGCTCCAAAGCCCGTGTTTAAGCCGTCCTAAAAGAATTTTTACAGTCCGAGTGGTCCTCAATTTACGACAGTTTGCTTAGTGACCGTTTGAAGTTATGACGGCACTTTAAAAAAAGGGACTTAGGAACGTTTTTGACACTTTAATGACCGTTGCAGCACCCCCTCAGGATCAGACGCTTGGCGACTGACTCAGATTTATGACGGTCGCAGCGTCCCCGGGGGGGTCACGTGATTCCCCCTTTTGCGACCTTCTGATAAACAATGGGGAAGCAATAATAATAATAATAATAATAATAATAATAATAAAGTTGGAAGGGACCTTGGAAGTCATCTAGTCCAACCCCCCTGCTCAGGTGATTAACAACGAGGCAATTCACTTAACAGAAAGGACTTTGAATGGGGCCAAACTCACTTAACAAGTGTCTCGCTGAGTGGCATAAATGTTGGGCTCCTTTGTGGTCATTAAGTCGAGGACTCCTGTAGCTGGAGAGATGAGTGTCTGGGATTCCCTCCCTTTGCTTCTGCTGACGAGGGCGGCTGACGGACCCTCGCATTTTCACGACAGCCTCTGTCCTCTTTCCCATCACTTTTTTTCCTCTCCAGACTGGCGAAGTTGCTGAGAGTGGAACCTTTGAAGTGGTTCTGCCACAACCCGATATAGTTTTGCATTCCAAGAAGGTGAGAAGGGGACTTGGGGGGGGGCTTTTGAAATGGGACTTTATGGGCCGAACCAACGTTGAACTGTGGGGGTTACTTGGTGCTCCCTGCACTTGGTTTTTTCCTGGCAGACATTTCACGACCCAACTAGGTAACGTCGTCAGTGTTAGATGGGACGGGGTGTGTGAAGAGGAGGAGGACTGTGGGGTCCTTGGTGCTCTCTGCACTTGGTTTCATGACCCAACTAGGTAACATCGTCAATGTTAGAAGGGAGGAGGAGGAGGAGGAGGAACAATGTGAATTCCTTGGTGCTTTCTCAGCTTGGATGTTTGTTGCAGACATTTTATTACCTAATAGGTAATGTCATCAGTATTAGAAGGGAGAGAGAATTAGCAGAGAGGAGGAGGAGAAGGAGAAGCAAGAGGAGAAGCAAGAGGAGGAGGAGGAGGAGGAGGAAGAAGAAGAAGAGGAAAAACAAGAGAATAACAGACTTGGAAGGGATTTTGGAGGTCTTCTAATCCAGTGTTTCTCAACCTTGACAATTTTAAGGCATGTGGACTTCAACTCCCAGAATTCCACAGCCAGCAATGCTGGCTGTGGAATTCTGGGTGTTGAAGTCCACATGCCTTAAAATTGTCATGTTGAGAAGCACTGTATCTAATCCAATCTCCTGCTCAAGCAGAAGACCCTAGTTCAGGGGTAGGCAACCTTGGCTCTTTTATGACTCGTGGACTTCAACTCCCAGAATTCCTGAGCCAGCATGGCTCAGCTTGGAAACCTCTCCCTTTCCCTTCAGCATGGCTGGCTTAGGAATTCTGGGAGTTGAAGTCCACGAGTCATAAAAGAGCCAAGGTTGCCTACCCCTGCCCTAGTTCATAGGTAACACCATCAGTTCTCTCTTTATACCAAAGTATCTCCTAACCAAGGAACTACCAAGAACATCCCAGTCAACACTGAGAAGTTGACCCTGACCGGTCTATAAACTGACTGGAATCTCCCCAAAACTCTACCATCCTGGTTTTCAGAGGAATAGCATGGTTTGTTGAGGGAAGCTTGGCTATTCGCCCAACCCTTCCCAGACGGAAGCCTTGGGACTCGCTCGCCCCTCAAGTCTGGGACCGGCCAATCTCAGAGGCGCCCAGACTTGAGGTGGGAAGGGATGGAGAGCAGACCGTCTTCCTTCTCCCCACCCAGGATGGCGCTGGCTACGTGGACACCGAGGAGAAGATAAAAGCCATCTGCGAAGGCATCAAGAAGCACCTGAAGATCAAGTCCCCCAAGAGCAGCGTGGTGACCAAGAAGCTCCTGCTGAAGAAGGAACAACAGGGTCATGCGAGTCCGAAACCGGAAGCGAGGCCGGAAGTGAAACTGGAAGCGAAACCGGAAGCGAGGCCGGAAATGAAGGTGGAAGCGAAACCGGAAGTGGAGGCAGAACTGACAGAAGGAACCCTGAAAGATTCACCAGATTCTCCAGAAATGGAAAAGAAAGCAGAAGTGCTCCTCTTGACTGAGACCACCAATGATTTAGAGACCCCCGTCCCCAGGTAATAAGGTGGTGCCCCAAGGATTTAAAAAAAGGGGGGGTTCCTGTCCTCCAATGACCCCCACCCCCATCCCAAATTGAAGGGAAATGATGTCTTGTTCCTGCAGCATGTGAAGGACTTGGAGGGCAGATCGTGATGGGGTCATCCGAAAGGAAGAAGACGCCTGGGTGATGCCTGATGTCTCTCTGTCTCCTAATTTCCCATCCTCACTGCGGAGGATGCGCGGTTAAAGAAAAGGGAAAATCCTTTTGCTGTGGTGTCTTCCATGGGTTTTTAATTTTATTTCTTTCAGGGGAGCTGGGGAGGAAGGAAGGAAGGAAGGAAGGAAGGAAGGAAGGAAGGAAGGAAGGAAGGAAAAGGAAGATGGGAGGGAGGGAGAGGGAAGAAGGAAGGTGAAAGGGAGGGAGGTGGAGGAGGATAGGAAGGAAGGATGGAAGGAGAGGGAAAGAGGGAAGGAGGGAAGGAAGATGGGAGGGAGAGAGGGAGGAAGGAAGAGAAGAAAGGAAGGAAACAAGTAAGAGGGAGAGAGAAGGAGGATAAGGAAGGAAGGAAGGAAGGAAAGGAGGAAGGAAGGAAGGAAGGAAGGAAGGAAGGAAGGAAGGAAGGAAGGAAGGAAGGAGAGAGAGAATTAGATCAGCCAAACCAGTTAGACTAGACAGGATTCATAACCAGATGAGCTAAATGTACTTTATTGTAAATCTCTGTTAACACAATTGTGCAAGTCCGCGATTACAACTCTCCCGCCTCCTCCTAAGAAACCAGGCCAGGCCCTTTTTCCTTCACTCACTCCCTTCCTGAGGGCTCAGCTGTCTCTTATCTGACTAGTCCTCTCCCGAGGTCTTTCCCACATAACGCTGCACTTACAGAACTAAACCCGGTTCAAACATGGTTGCCCCCCAGGACAGGAAACCACAGAGAAGACGGACCAACCGGACAGATTTGGGAGCTCAAGAGATTTACAGCCTGGGGTCCTCACTCTGACTGGATGAGAGCATGAAAGACAGCTTGGTGACTTCCTTCCTTCATTCATTCATTCATTCATTCATTCATCAATCAGACTTCTTAACCACCCATTTCCTAAATGGTACAAGATCTCTTCTCTTCTCTTCCCTCCTCTCCTCTCCTCTCCTCTCCCCCTTTCCCCTCCCCACCCCTGCCTTCCCTTCCCTTTCCTTCTTCTATCTTCCTTTCCTTTCCTTCATCTATCTTCCTTTCTTTCATCTATCTTCCTTTCCTTTCCTTCTTCTATCTTCTTCCTTTCCTTTCCTTCATCTATCTTCCTTTCCTTTCCTCTTTCCCTTTCCCTTCCTTCTTTTCCTTTCTTTTCATACCCAGGTCTCAAACTCCAGCATCTCTGCAGCATCTGCACGCAGCTGCCTCTTAGCCGGTCCTTGTCCGGACCCTTCCCGACATTCCTTATTCGGGCACATCCCCAAGTTCGGCTCCACCGTGACGGCGTGGATGCCATGTTCGCAGAACACACCCTTGACCCTCTGAATCACCGGCCCAAAAGCGGCCACGTCAAGACACACCACATGGGCCGTGGCCACCAAACGGCCACAGCCGTCCAGCTGCCAGACGCGGAGCTGCTGCACGGCCACCACCCCCTCCGTGGCCTGGAGGTGTCTCTCCAAGAGCCACAGATCCAGGCCTTCTGGCATGGCTTGGAGGAGAACCAGAGCCGAGGCCCTCAAGGCGGGCCAGATCAGCCACAGGAAGGCTACGGCAACCACCATCGCCAGCCCGGGATCCACGTACAGCAGCCAACAATCCATTGACAGGGCTGGCAAGACCTCAGACGTTACCCAAAGCTGACACGGATCCTTTGGGCAGGGTTCAAGGCACATGGCGTGTCCCGGGCAGGGAGTCCACCAGAGGTAGATCAGGAGAGAATGCAGGAAAACCGCCAGGGGTCCAAAACAAGCCATCATCCATCCGAGATAAAGAGTCCGCCACGGTCCCGTGGCCAATGCAGGATTCCCTTCCTTCTCTCTGACCAACCAGGTTTGTCTGTGGTTTGAGGATCCGTGGCCCAGAAGATCTGTTGGAGGAACAGAAGGAAGACTAAGACCAGCTTAGTTTGAATTTAAGACACAGTTCCACTTGTGGTATAGGTCCTCCTGCTTGAGCAGGGGGCTGGACTAGAAGACCTCCAAGATCCCTTCCAGCTCTATTCTATTCTATTCTATTCTATTCTATTCTATTCTATTCTATTCTATTCTATTCTATTCTATTCTATTTTCTATTCTGTTCTATTCTATTCTATTCTATTCTATTTTCTATTCTATTCTATTCTATTCTATTCTATTCTATTCTATTCTATTCTATTCTGCATTCTATTATCTATTCTATTATATATTCTATTCTATTCTATTCTATTCTATTCTATTCTATTCTATTCTATTCTATTCTATTCTATATTCTTTACTTTTCTATTCTCTATTTTCTTTTCTATTCTTATTGTATTTCTGTTCTATATTCTATTCTGTGCAAATTTACCTTCCATTTCCTGCTTCCCCATTGGCCCAAACCTTTGTTTGCTACAGCAGGCTCCGACGTCCAGCTTAGCGGGCGCTTTGCAGGGCAAAACCTCCCTGACCAGGTGGATGGGGATGGCCAGGGCCCCGATGCCCATCAGTGCCAGCGGGTGCTGGGTCAGCCGGGGCTCCACCATTCTCCGAAGGGCCTCGGCCAGCAGAGCCAGGCACAACGCGCTCAGCAACACGGCGCTGACCAGGGTGCCGACGACGGGGGCTCGCGACCACCCAAATGTGTTCTTCCAGCTGGCGTAAGCACCGGCCGCCGTGCCCAGCCGGGCGTCCATCAAGCAGACCGCCAGGGCCAGCGTGCCTTCCAAGGTGTGGAAGGCGCAAGCCTGCAAAAGCAGCGAGGCCGTCACGCGGCTGGCCACCATCTCCGCCAGGAAGAGAGTGACCAACAGGTAGAGCTGGCCCAAAGTGAAGTCTGGGCTGCCCACCAACCAGGAAGGCAGGCTGGCGAGGGAAAACTCCGGCGTCTTTCTCAGGTGGGCTGCCATCTGCAGCTTCCGGTCAGTTCTTGGTAGACCCCTCGTTCGGTGCCAAGCAGTGCCAGGGTCTCAGCCTTGCAGCCCACCCATTGTGCCTCTCCTGGGTCCTGGCCTCTTCAGATCAACGCCTGTGGGCCTCTTTGCTGCTGTGTGTCTCTTCCCAGCTTCTCATTCCCAGGGGGATTTGGTCAGCAGCTGCTGCGGGGAGTCCTGGCACGCAGCCCTGGCTGGGATTCCAAGAGGCCATTCTCTTGTGATTTCCCCCTCTTTCTCTTGGACCCGTGCCCGGCCATCCACCAGCTGCAGAAAGGCGGCCAACCTTATCAGTATGCATGGGAGTCTTGCTAGGAGAGGAACAGGCAGATCCAACGGGATGTGGAGGGGGGGTTTGAAGTTGATTTTGGTTTTTGTTTATTGCACTTAATGGTTTAGTGTATAGCATTTATGGAGGTTGTGCAATTACTGATATGCAACACTAATAACAGAATCACAGAAGAGATTCGTGGAAGGGACCTTGGAGGTCTTCTAGTCCAGCCCCCTGCTCAAGCAGAATAATCATAGAATAACGGAGATGGAAGGGTCCTTGGAGGTCATCTAGGCCAGCCCCCCTGCTCAAGCAGGATACCCGACACTGTTTCAGACAAATGGCTGTCCAGTCTCTTCTTGAAAACCTCCCGTGTTGGCACACCCAGAGGTTCTGGAGGTGAGCCCTTCCAGGGATTGATTGTTCTCACTGTCAGGGAATTCCTCCTTCATTCTAGGTTGCTTCTCTCCTTGATTAGTTTCCATTTTTTGCTTCTTTGCTTCTTGTCCTGCCTTTGGGGGACCCTCCCCTTTGGAGGGGGAAGCCCCTTAGATATTGGATATCTAATATCTAATAAAACCCATTTATATATAATTTAAATAAACATCAGCATAGATAGATAGATAGATAGATAGATAGATAGATAGATAGATAGATAGATAGATAGATAGATAGATAGATAGATAGAAGATGATAAAGAGATGATAGATAGATAGATAGATAGATAGAGATAGAAAGATGATAGATAGACATAGATGATAGAAAGAAAGATAGAGAGAGATAATAGAAAGATGATAGATAATCTATCTATCAATCTATCGATCATCTTTCTATCATCTCTATCATAGACAGATAGATAGATAGATACATAGACAGAAGATGATAAAGAGATGATAGATAGATACAGAGAGATAGAGAGATGATAGACAGAAGATGATAAAGAGATGATAGATAGATACAGAGAGATAGAGAGATGATAGACATAGATGATAGAAAGAAAAAAAGATAGATGATAGATAGATAGATAGATAGATAGATAGATAGATAGATAGATAGATAGATGATAGATAGACAGACAGATGGACAGATAGATAGAATGTGAGTACAACACATTAAAACTCTGTTCAATAGGACAACCTCTGAAAGTAAAAGCGTCTAAGACAAAGTCAGGACAGCTAAAATGCAAATACATTTTAATTACAATGAATGTAATGAGGGCCAATCAGGGTTCATGGATCTTCTGTGCCAAAAGGCAGCCTGTGTTTGTTTGTGTGTGTACGTTCTGTATGTGTTTGTGTGTGCCAGGCCAGGGAGGAGGACCTGGGCAAAGGGCCAGGGGACCCAAAGAGCTGAGAAAAGCTGGAGTAGCTGAACTGGAAGGATTTGCTGGCCCCGAATTCACCTTTTCACAATCAAAGAGTCTGATTGTTTATTCGGATGAGTCAGATTTGTACCCAGGCTGGACAGAGAATAGCTGAGCGACCTTCACTCAAAGACACAGAAAGCTTTAACTCTTTGCAGGAGCAACACCACAAGCCAGCCTGCCTAAGATGGATAAGTAAACTGGGATTAAACCAATCGGGGTTTAGTGTGTATGCAAACCTAGGCTAGGATGCACGCAATGAGCTGACATTTCGCCAATTGAGGGGAGCGTTTCTCAATCTGAGCAATATGAAGATGGGTGGATTTCAACTCCCAGAATTCCCTTCCAGCATGTTTTAAGATGGGGGGCATAAACTCCCAGAATTCCCCAGCCAGCCTGCTTTAAGATGGATGGACATAAACTGCCAGAATCCCCCAGGCAGCAAGCTTTAAGAGGGGTGGACTCCAACTCCCAGAATGCCCCTCCAGTGTGAGAATTGGGGACTTCTGGGAGTTAAAACCCCACCAATCTTAACCATTGCTGAAGCTGAGAAACACCAGCTTAGCTAGGGCATGTTGCACTCAATAAACCTCTATTTAGCCAATCGTAGTTTGCTTTGGGGGGGGCGTCTTGCAAAAAACCCGAACGCCGCTTTCAATAAACCGCCATTAAGCCAAAAACTGCAGTTTGGGGGCTGTCGTGCGGAAAAAAAAAAAAAAAAAGCGGAAAAAAAGCCAGCGGCCGCGAACGGCCGCGAGAGGGCAGCAAAGAGACGCTTGGCGCGAAGGCGAAGCGCGGAGGCGAAGGCGAAGGCGCGGCGCGTCCCTCCGCGGCCACCGTCGCCTCTTCCGGCATCCCTCCCTCCCACGTGACCCAAACAGCCTCGCGCTTCCGGGGCCTTCCTTGCCGCCGCTTCCCGCTTCTTCGCCGGGGCCGCCGAGCCGGAGCCGCTGGTGAGCGCCTCGCCCCGGTCTTCCCTTCCCGGGCAGGGCAGGCTGGGCTCGCGCGGGCCGGGTGGGGGGAAGAGCGTGGGGTCTCCTCCGGGGCTGCTCCCGAGGCCGGACTACAAGGCCCATCGCCCGCCGCCGCGGCTGGAGGGGGCCCGGCCTAACCCATAATCCCAAGCCAGGCTAATGCGACCTCCCTCCTTCCCTCCCACGTGGGTGGGACGACGGCCTTTTGCATTTCCCTCCCCCGGGGCTGGCATTCCTAAAGTCTGGAGAGACTACAAAGCCCATCACCCCCTCAATCGGCAGCCAGTCCCCCTCCTATCTGCCTACCACCCACCATCCCCGGCCTGGATGGTGGTTTTGCATTGTGGGGCGGGGGAGGCGGCCGTCGTGCCACCAGTTTCCCCCCCCCCTCCGAGGCTTCTGCCTCCCCTCCCCTCCAGTTGGGCTGGATTACAAGACCTATCCTCCCCTGCCAGCCCAGCCATTGGTTTGGGGCTCCAGTCTGTATGGGGAATGCCCCCCCTAGAAATCCCTCCCTCCCCCTTTGCATAATGATGTATACTGGGGTCAGATTGAGAGAAAGGGCCAATTGGGCTGGATCACAAGACCTATCCTCCCCTGCTAGGGCAGCCATTGGTTTGGGGCTCCAGTCTATATGGCGAATGAAACACCCCCCCCATAGAAATCCCTCCCCCCCACTCTTTCCTCTGCATAATGGTGTATACTGGGGCCAGATTAAGAGAGGGCCAAATATTTGATATATAATAAATATGATAATATAGTTAATATTTGGGGAGGGCCAATCAGCCCCTGAGCAGGACAGCCACATAAATAAATAGATTTTATCCTATTCAGCCAAAATCATCTTCCCTCCAGCAACTGAACAAACTAAACTTCAAAGCTATTCCGCCCCTAAATGTCAAAATTTCTCCTAATCATCAAGAATGCAATTCTTGGGTTTTTTTCCATATGGGAAAGAGAGAGAATTAATTCTACTTTCATTTTATCCCGTGAGCAAACAGGGATTTAAATCTAGGTTTCCTCAACAATCCCTGTGGCTTTTGCTGAGGTTCATTCAGCCTTGGTGATTTCCTTCCCCAAATGAAGGATCCGTTTATAGAGAGATCCATCAACCCTTCTGGGTTTTTTTGGGGGGAGGGGTCTCCCCAAATTCTCAGGGCAAAGGCTGAAAGAGTGTTTTGCAGGGTGATTTTTGCTCTTTGCTTGGTGCCTGTTGAAAAGATTCCCTTTGAATAATGAGATGGGTGGCATAGCAATTTAAATAATACATAAAAAGTGGGATCGGGAGCTGGAAATTCAACATTTTTTTTCTCTTCAGGAGCTAATCTTTGTCTTCTGACAGAATTGCCTTCAGGGCAGGAGCTTATATATCTAGTCACAGAAAAAAAAAATCTTTCCAATGAGAGAATGTTAAGTTTTGAATCTTAATATTTCTGAGCCTCAGATAAAGAATCTAACATTGGTGAGGGCAGAATCTGAAGAACACATTATTGTCCTTTTTTTATTATTGTGGGCACATTGGAACACATGAAAAATGAGATTTTGTTGCCTGCTTTCAAAAGCGTGCACATACATGACACACATACAGACATGCTATATATATTTCCAACACTGGAAGTTTTTAAGAAGAGACTGGACAGCCATTTGTCTGAAATGCTACAGGGTTTCCTGCCTGAGCAGGGGGTTGGACTCGATGACCTCCAAGGTCCCTTCCAACTTTATTATTATTATTATTATTATTATTATTATTATTATTATTATTATATACATACCGCAACCAGGGAAGGCTGCGATAAGGACAAACCCATTTTTGCAGTGAAATACAGTCTGACGGATAAAACCCACAGCGTGTCAAAGGCCTAATGTCTTTTTTATTATTATTTTTATTATTATTTTGCAGAATTTGCTGGCAGTGACGGTTGTAAGGCTGGCCTGATGGAGAGCACGGCGTTGGAAAGTTTAATTGAGATGGGCTTCCCGCAGAACCGAGCGTATGTCTCCATCTGGAAAAAGTGTGGGAACGTGTGTGGGAGGACTCCAGAGCTTATTTAAGCAAGCGGGTTGTGAAAATGCACACCTGTAGCTTGGGGGAGGGTTTTGTTTTTGTTTTTGTTTTTAAACAAGGAGCGTAGCTGGATTTTTACGGAGGCTTTTCTGGACTGTGAGGCAGCTGGATGTAGAGAAAACATGGAAAAACAGAACTGTGGGGTCCTTGGTGATCTCTGAGCTGGGTGGTTTTGCTGGAGACGTTTCATGACCCAGCTAGGGAACGTCATCAGTGCTGGAAGGGAGGAGGGTTTTCTCCCTGTTGATACACAGTGGCTTGACCTGTCAGTGTTGCTGGGGGTATTCTTGGTTAGATGGTTGTTTATTGAGTTGTAAAGTGACAACACTAAAGGCAAGCTACTTGTATATAAATAGAAAGTAACCCCCACCACTACTCTTCCAGCACTGATAATGTTCCTTAGTTGGATCTTGAAACATCTCCAAGCCAGCAAGCTTAGAGGGCATTAAGGACCCTACAGTCCTCCTCCTCCTCCCTGCAAACCCCCCTCCTAGTACTGATGGTGTTCCCTAGTTGGGTCTTGAAACATCTGCAAGGAAACCATCCAGCTCAGAGAGCACCAGGGACCCCACAGTTCAACCCCGGGCCGCAAACTGTCGCTTCCATCAGAAACGAAGCATCACCGCATGAATTTTTCCTTGTTGCTTTCCTTGCGACCGTCTTTGTTCCTCAAGGAGCTGTCAGAGCGGCGGAGTCGTCCTTATTTGGGGGAGGGAGAGCGGGAAAACGGGGTGCAAAATCCTGGGCTTTCCATGGGTGTGTGTGTGTGTTGAATTCCACGCTTTCTCTTCCCCAGGGAGAAGGCCCTGGCGTTGACCGGGAACCAGGGGATCGAACAGGCCATGGATTGGTGGGTATGCTCTCCACCCGTCCCTTTCTCTGCAGACGCCCTCCTTCCTCCCCCCCCCTCCCCTTCTGAGCGGCGCCTCTCTCTCTGACCCAGGTTGGTGGAACATGAGAACGACCCCAGTCTGGACGATCCCTACGTGGCTCCGCAAGGCCACGTTCTGGACGCCGAGGAAACCCCTGAAGGAACGACGCCGGATTCGGTGGAGGGTGGATCAGGTCAGAACAAATCTTGTGTGTGTGTATGTGCTGGCTGCCCTCGGCGCAGGTGGTCCTCGACTTACAACAGTTTAGTGACTGTTCAAAGTGACAACACACTAAAAATTACTGTTTTTATTGTGCTTATGATTGTTTTTATTTGCCTGGTCCCTTGAAAAGGCCGTAAAAGAACTCCCCCCCCCCAATAGGTGAGCTGGCTGAAGGAGAGACGCAGCAGCCCCTGACGGAGGAGGAGAAGCAGGAACAGACAAAAAGGTTTGGCCTTCCTTCCCTTCCTCCTTCCTTCTTTCCTTCCTTCTTTCCTTCCTTTTCTCCCTCCCCTCCTTTTCTTTCTCCTCCCTCTTTCCTTTCTTTCCTTCCTCCCCTCTCTTCTCTTTTTCCTTCCCTCCCTCCCTTTTTTCCCTTCCTTCCTTCCTTCCTTCCTTCCTTCCTTCCTTCCTTCCTTCCTTCCTTCCTTCCTTCCTTCTCATTGCTTCCTTCCTTCCCTCCCTTCTTCCCTTTCTTTCTCCTCCCTGCTTCCTTCCTTCCCTCCCTTCTTTCTCCTCCCTCCTTCCTTCCTTTCCTCCCTCCCTCCCCTCCCTTTCTTTCTCCTCCCTCTTTCCTTTCTTTCCTTCCCTCCCTTTCTCCTCCCTGCTTCCTTTCTTCCTCCCTCCCTCCCTCCCTCCCTCCCTCCCTTTCTCCTCCCTGTTTCCTTCCTTCCTTCCTCCCTCCCTCCCCCCCCTTAATCTTTCCTGTCTTTTCTCCCTCCCGGGATAACCCCCCCCCAACGGTTCCTTCCTTTCCCCCCAGGATGATGGAGCTGATTTCCCAGAAGCAGAAGGAGCGCGAAGAGCGGGAGAAGCGGGAGAGCATCGAGCGGGAGAAGCAGCGCCGGAAACAAGGCCAGGAGCTGCTCCTCCTCCGCCAGAAGCTGCAGGAGGACGAGATGAAGAAGCTGGCCGAGGAGCGCCGGAGGGAGAAGCTGGAGGAGAAGCTGGCCAAGTGAGGGGGGGCCTGGGCGGGGGGGGGCGGGTGTCAAAGAGCGTGGGCGTGTACACCAGGAGGAATCCGGGGGCAAATCCCACTCTAAACCTCAACCTTTCTGCCTTTTAGGACTTCAACTCCCAGAATCCCCCGGCCAGCCTCCTTTTAAGGGGGTGTGGGCGGCTGCTGGCTGGCTGGCTGAGGAATCCTGGGAGTTGAAGTCCAGCCATCTCAAAAGTTTTTAAACGCTGCTTAAACAGGAGGGGGAGCTTGGGACTACGCCTCCCAGCATCCCTCAGTCCTGGCCCTGTTGGCCTCTTGGCTGCCGGGAAGCTGCTCAATTGTGGGCCTGGAGGTGGAAGGGGGGGGGCTGAAGCATTGCATTCTGTCCCTCTGCTTTCTCTTCGTCCCACGGTCCGTCCCGTCCCCCCCCCCCCCGACGTTCTTCCCATCCTTCCAAGATCTCCAGCATTGGTGGATGTCATTTCCACCCCCCCCCAACTCTGAAATGAATAGGGATCCTTCCAGCATTGACACACACACACACACACACCTGTTCCTTTTTTCAGGCAGCGAGTGCGAGAGAAGATTGAACGGGATAAGGTGGAGAGAGCCAAGAAGGTGAGGAAAGAAAATGTTTTTTTTTTAAACTTTTATTTAGACTAGTCTTACGGTTTTCTTCCTCTCTCCTTCCTTCCTTCCCTCCCTCTCTCCCTATTCTCTTTCATCCCTTCCTTCCTTTGCCTTTCTTTCTTTCTTTCCTCCTTCCTTCCCTCCCTCTCCTCTCCCTATTCTTCCTTCTCCCTTTTCCTTCCTCCCTTCTTCACTCTCTTCCTATTCCTTCCTCCTCTTCCCTTTCATCTCCCTCCCATTCCTTACTCTTCCTTCCTTCCCTTTCCTCCTTCCTCCTTCCTTCTCCCTGTTCTTCCTTCTTCACTCCCTCTTCCTATTCCTTCCTCCTCTTCCCTCCCACTCCCTATTCTTCCCTTCCTTCCTTCCCTCCTTCCTTCTCCCTATTCTTCCTTCCTTCCTCTTCATGCATTCCTATTCCTTCTTCTCTTTCCTTTCTTCCCTCCCACTCCTTATTTTTCCTTCCTTCCTTCCCCATCTCCCTTTCCTCCTCCGTCCCTCCCTCCCTTCTTTCCTTCCCTCCCTCATCCTAGCTAGGGAATTATGGGAGTTGAAGTCAACTCGTCTCAAAGTTACTGAGGTGGAGAGACTCGGGCTTAGGGATTGCACTGCTTGGCGGGTGACCTTTGCTCCCCTCCCTGGTTCTCGCCCCCCCCCCCTAGTTTGGCTGCAGCAGTGCCACCCAGGCCTCCGCCCTGCCTGAGCAGGTGGACCCGGTGCTCATCTCCTCCCCCAGCCAGGAGCCCCCCGTCAAGCGGGAATACGATCAGTGCAAGATCCAGGTAAGGCGCTGGGAACTTGGGATCCGGATGCCTCTTGTTTTACTCGCAGCAAAGTCTGAAATGGAGATAAAAGGACTCCTTTTTGTACAGGCAGTCCTCGACTCAAAGGGGTTCGTTTAGTGACCGCTCAGAGTTAACGACGGCATTAAGTGACTTGTGGCCGTTTTCCACACTTAAAAATGCCTGTTGTGGCACTCCCAGCGATCCCGTGGCTGAAATTCGGACCCTTGGTCCATGGCTTCTATTTACGACGGTCGCAGTGGCCCGGGGATGTCGCGCAATCCCCTTTCGTGACCGTCCTGACCAGCAAAGTCGATGCTCCCAACAGGTGAGACTCCTGGACGGCACCTCCCTGACCCACACCTTCAAGGCCAGGGAGCAGCTGGCAGCCGTGCGGCTGTACGTGGAGCTGAACCGCCAGGATGGCGGGGAAGACCCTTTTCACCTCCTGACGAGTTTTCCCCGGCGGGTCTTCACCGAGGACGACATGGAGAAGCCCCTGCAGGAGCTGGGTGAGTTTGGGCTCTGATGGAGGCATCCCACGCTTTGCCTCAGAGTCTTCACCCCTTAAGGGCCAGGCAGGACCCCCAAGCATTAAACAGAGAGAGGGGGGGCGGGTGATAGATAGGTAGATAGATAGATAGATAGATAGATAGATAGATAGATAGATAGGCAGACAGACAGACAGACAGACAGACAGACAGACAGACAGATAAGATGTAGGTAGGTAGGTGATAGAGGCAGATACTGGTAAATAGATGACAGTGGTATAGATAGATAGATAGATAGATAGATAGATAGATAGATAGATAGATAGATAGATAGATAGATAGAGGTAAATAGATGATAGATAGTGGTACATAGAGGTACATAGAGATAGATAGATAGTAGATAGATAGTTGTATAGATAGATGATGGATGGATAGTGAGATAGATAGAGGTAAATAGATGATAGTGGTAGATAGATCGATGGATGATGTAGATAGTGATAGATAGATAGATAGATAGTGGTAGATAGATGATAGTGGTAGAGATAGATAGTAGATAGTGGTAAATAGATGATAGTGGTAGATAAGATAGATGATAGAGGTATAGTGGTAAATGATAGATGGATAGAGTGATAGTGATGGATGGATAGTGATAGTGTAGATAGATGATAGTGGTAGAGATAGATGATGGATGGATAGTGGTAGATAGATATAGGTAGGTATATAGTGGTAAGTAGGTAGATAGATTATAGTGGTAGATAGATGATAGATAGATATAGAGATAGGTAGATAGTGGTAGATGGATGGATGGATAGTGATAGATAAACCAACCTTTATTGTCATTTTTTATTGCAGGCACAACGGCATACATTAAAAATGAAATTTAGTTGCTTGCTCTCAAAGCGTACACTTACATAACACACATTTAAACATACTATATACAACATATGTCTAGACCTACACCCTTACATATAAGTAACATAAACATATATTTTTTCCCCCTTCCTCTTTTTCTCCAGGACTGGTGCCTTCCGCCGTGTTGATAGTGGCAAAGAAGGGCAACAGCTGAGTGCCTCTCTTTGCTTGTGACGGTTGCGGCTTTCCTTCCTTCGCACCGATTGACGGAGGCTGACCTAACCTCGTCACCAGGTGCCACCGTAGTGCGCCAGCCCCTCCTCTCCCCAGAGACTCTGAAACAGCAGCCCTTGACCCAGGGACACCGAAACAGACACTGTGTGGGTAGAAGAGTTGTAGAGGACCCAGCGTTTTGCAATTGGATAACCCCCCCCTCGAATAAAACCTCTTCACTCTGGTGTGCCCTTGGTGGTTTCCTTTCTCACTGGATCTAATCTGCCGGCAGGCAGCCCTTCCCAAGTTCGCTCTCTCACACGCACATCCAGTTGTGAGCCCCCAAAATACCTGGCACTGTGAGGTAGACTGCCTCGGAACGAGGAGGCCGGATTGCAGCTGAAAACTCGCACAATCCAGATGTACCTGTTTCCCGTAACAAGTGGGAGCCGAAATTCCAAATTATCCACTGTGACCGTGGGAGTTGAAGTCCACAAGTCATAAAAAGGGCCAAGTTGGAAGACCTTTCCCAGAGTTCCTCAGCCAGGCACACTGGCTGAGGAATTCTGGGAGTTGGAAGTCCACAAGTCATCAAAGGGCCAAGTTTGAAGACCCCCGACGTTGAGGATCAGTTTCACAGGCCAAGCAAAGAGAGAAGACACACAAAACACATGGCAAAATTAGAAGTGTTTTTTTTTCTATTCATCCAAAGAAGCATTTTACTGCAATATAGCAAAATATAGACAATATAGGTTCTTCTGTTTACTGAATGGAATCAGTTCCACATCCTTCTTGAATCGTGACTTGACCGTTTTGACACAGGAAACAAAAAAAAAAAAGCAACTGCAAGCAGCCGTTTTCCATGGAAGATAAAACCCGCAATATTTCTGTCTTATCTTAATGTGGATCCCAGGACATCCCAAATGAAAGATTTCCCTCTTTTAGATCTTGGAAAACCTTTGCTGATGAAGTACGTCTTTCCCGTTTTACTTCGGCTGGATGGGATCCAAGATGACTATGACTGCCCAAGTGGAAAGGCCTGAAAAGACACAAAAATAGTTGTCAGCAAAGGGGGCGCAATCAAGTTGGCGGATTGATCACTTGTGTTCGGCAAAGAATTATTAGCCCCACCCTCCCCAGGAATGGACAGCTATATAAATCCAATGCCATAATCATTGATAATATATTGACACTAAGATAGTAAAAATATTTTGAAAATATTACAGGCCAAGTTGGTCTGTAGTAGTGAAGCTAGAAACCAGGAGACTGGGAATTCTAGTCCCAACTTAGCTACGAGAGACAGCTGGGGGACTTTGGACAAATCACCAAGAGACACTGAGTTCTAGTCCTGCCTTAGGCATGAAAGCCAGCTGGGTGACTTTGCATCAATCACCAGGAGACGGTGAATTCTAGTTCCATCCTAGCCATAAAAGCCGGCTGGGTGATTTTGAGCCGTTTACTACCATCTTAGGCATGAAAAAAAAACCTGCTGGATGATTTTGGGCTAATCCCTCCCTTTCAACCCAGCCCGCCTCACATGGTTGTTATGGTGAAAAAGAGCAGGAGAACGAAGCGTTGTCTACTGCCTGGAGTTACTTATAAAGTAATAAAGGAGGGATGAAAAAAAAAGGAAAAAATCTAATCAATAATAACAGCCTCCTCTTTCTGAATGAAAATCTTATTCCGAAGGCGCTAGTCCTCGTGATTCAGACACTAGACACCACTACAATCCTGGCTAACAAGCTTAATATTAAATTCTTGCGACCTGGTGGCCGAGCCGCGTCATTGCACCCCCTGCAAAAAAAACCCTCCAGCGAGGAATGAGCTCCGTTCTGCAAGCAAGAAGGCGTTGCACGTGTCAACCTTGCACGTCCGAATCTTCCCCACCCCACACCCGGGTTACCGATGGCGAAAACCAGCCGGAAGACGTCGAAGACCTTTCCGGGCCTCCTTTGCCGCAAGGACTGGCGGACGCCCATGTAGACCCAGACCCCGGAGGCCAGCAGCCCCCCGCCCGTCAGCATGCGGCAGCTGAAGCAGGACCAGAAGGCGGATTTCTTGGGGGCCGCCGGGGAAGAACCCGCCACCACGCCGCTCCCGGGCTGGGCCGCCATGAGCCGCTCCAACCGGATACTGGAAGCGCGGAAAGGAAGGTCGCCGGGGAAGGACAAAAACAAGGGACGTCCGACCTCTATAAAACTCCGGTTGGGCAACGGGGCTCCTTGCCGTAGGTTCCCCCTTCTCCCCCTTACTCCCATTTCTTTTCCTTCCTTTCTTCTCCTTTTCTCTCCCTTCCTTTCTCCCATCTTTTCCTTCCTTCCATTTCCTTTTCTCTCTTTTCCTTTCTCCTCCCCTTCTCCCATCTTTTTCTTCTTTCCTTCCTTTTCCTTTTGTCTCCCTTCCTTTCTCCCATCTTTTCCTTCCTTCCTTTTCCTTCTCTCTTCCTTTCTCCTCCCCTTCTCCCATTTTTTCCTTCCTTTCCTCTCCCTTCCTTCCTTCTTCCTTTTCTCTCCCTTCCTTTCTCCTCCCCCTTTCTGCCATCTTTTCCTGCCTTCCTTCTCCTTCCTTTCTTCCTACCTACATATGCATATTAGCAGTATTAGTGATTAAACTGCAGTTAAAATAGTTAACCAGCTTTAACTATATATTTATAAATATATAAATAAGTTATTAAAGCACAGCTATGAAAATTAAGTTGCTAAATGCCTTACATAAAACACTAGTAACTATATATTTACAAATACATAAATGTTAATAAACTGCAGCCATCATATGGCTTCCGCAGTTTTTCTACCGTAAACTCACTTATCAGAAGCATTTCTGTTCTTGAGCATCTCTCTATCAATTTCTAGATTAATATTTCAAAATTTCTATGTTAATATTTTACCTTGTTTCTTTTACTTTGTCACCTCTAGGCAAGATGGGCAGCTTATAAATTTAAATAAAATAAACTTTTCAGGACGAACCAGACACTAAGCTAGCAACAGGCAAAACATTTTTTTTGTTGTTGTTGCAGCTTGATGTGTGAATTCAAAGAGCCAGGCAAAGACAAAAGGATGACCACGCTGGGCCATCCTAAGGACGTGCATTTGTCTAAGGTCCATTTTTTGATTTTGCCAGACATGAAACACACAGAGAATGACACTCCAAGTGCCCTTTTTAATTTATGAAGACAGCTTACCAAGCAAGCCGCAGAAGGACCCCAAGAAATAAACGGGTCGAAGGAAAAATGTGGTTTTTCATTACAGAGTCACAACACTGTGCAGTCAAAGCAGCTCTGTCGAGTCACAGCCGTTGCTACTTCTTCCAAGAGAAAGGTTTCCGGGCCCAATTCTCATCAGTCGATGCAGCCTCTTTAAGGATTTCCATTATCAAGGCGTTCTGTCGTTGTGTGTCCGTAGAGTGCTGGCTGGGCTCCCGGAATTTCTGTGGGGAGAACAAAGATGTGAGGAAGACAAAGCAAGGTTTTTGGACATCCCCGTTGTGTGGATCTGTACATCACCTGAGGTGGACAAACTACTTGTTGTTTGTGAAATAAGCCACATCTCTTCTCCTAAATAGTCAGAAAAGATTCTAGTCCTCATGGTTCTGAATATGATCTTCTTTAAGAGGCTAATCCTTGTGCTTCTGAATAGGATATGTTATTTAAGGTGCTAATCTTCGTGTTTCTGAGTAGAATCTTATTTAAGATGCTAGTCCCTGTGGTGATCTAAAGTGCTAGTTTGGTGTAGGTGTGAAGGTATTGATGAAATGAAATAAGAATTTAATAAGCAAATAAGTTTAATGAATGAAATAAAAAAAGCCTGGTACTTCTGAATGCGATCTTATTTAAGGCACTAGTCCTTCTGATTCAGAACTGGATCTTACACAAGGCACTAGTCATGATTCAGAACAAGGTAACTTTTTTCCTTCAATGTCACGCAAGGCACTAGTCATGATTCAGAATAGGGTCTATATGCAAGGTGCTAGTCCACGTGGGGACTTTATGCAAGGCACTAGTTTTCATGATTCAGGCACTAGTCCTGCTGGGAACTACGCAAGGCGCTAGTCCTCGTGATTCAGAACAGGGTCTTTATGCAAGGTACTAATCTGCATGATTCAGAACAAGGCCTTATGCAAGGCGCTAGTCCTGCTGGGAACTTTACACAAGGCATTAGTCCTCGTGATTCAGAACAGGGTCTTGACGCGAGGCGCTAGTCCTCGTGTTTTAAAGCAGCACCGTAGGCCTCCCCCTATTTCCTGACCTTGCTGAGCTTCGCCGACCGCACCTCGTCGGACGGCCACAGCTGCAAGAGCAAGAGACCCCCACCGAAGATGCCCAACGCGGCGGCCACCGCCTTAACGACGTGCCCCTGGATGGCCATGGCGGCGGGCCGCGGCGCTTCTTCCCGGAAGCCGAAAGGGGGACAGGAAGCGGCGCGGGACCACCATAGAGAGCACAAGGGCGTCCGGCCGGAGCGCCACGCGCGGAGCGTGCAGCTCAAGCACAAAAGAAGAGACGCTTGTTTCTCGGGTATTGACCGCCCTCGTGTGGCGGCCTGAGGAATCTTGCTTTTTTTTTTTTTTTTTCAGCGCCCAAGCCTCACGGCGGAGGATTTGCATTCAGGATGCTGCCGTTTTTGCCCCTCTTTGCAACGGCGTTTCACAACGTGGGCAGCTTGAAGAGGGTTGGGCTTCAACTCCCAGAATTCCCCAGCCAGCATGTCCTCCCACCCTAAAGCATGCTGGCTGGGGGATTCTGGGAGTTGAAATCCACCCATCATAAAATGGCTGACAAGCCCTGCCTTAAGCAACTTTGCGGACCTCTGTGGAGTCCAGAGGCTCCGGCAGTTGGTCCTTTAACCAGGTTTCTCTGAAAGCAGCTGGAGATGGCTCCCAAATAATAGCTATTATCCACACCTCAGGGGGTCAAGGCTTATCTCCTTTTCTCCCGCCCTGCTCGGTGAGATTACTGATATTTCTCTGAGCTCCTTAGCTCTCACTGAAATTTCCATGAGCTCAGAAGGAGATTAAGTCGCCTGGTCCACTTCAGAGGGTGACTCCAGCCCTGATTCTTCTCCAGCCTTCCTTCCTTCTGCTAACTGAGGCCAAAGGATGAGCTGCCGTTAGCTTCCAAAATTTAGACCAGAGCTGTTTTGATGCAAGAAAAGGTAAGCAATATTGGGGGGGGGACATATGGAGATGGGACGCTTGGGGGGTCAAAATTAGTGTCTGCTAAAAGCTGCTGGGATTCATCTCCTTTTCTCTCCTCTGATTTCTCTGATCTTGCAAACTAGAAGAGGGTATGTGCATGGCTCTTGTTGATCTGCCTTTAACCAAGTCTGGGGGTTTGGGTTGTTTTCTTGTAGATGTTTCATTACCCAAATAGGTGATGCCATCAGTGCTAGATGGGAGTGGGGTCTGTGGAGAGGAGGGGGAGGAGGAGAAAGAGGTGTGTTGGGAGGAGGACTGTTTTCTTGCAGGCATTTCCTTATCCAGCTAGATAACATCATCAGTGCTAGAAGGAAGGGGGGGGCTGCAGAGAGGAAGAGGGGGGGAGGAGGAAGAGGATAACTGTGGGATCCTTGCTGCTCTCTGAGCTTACTAGTTTTCTGGCAGACGTTTCATTACCCAACAAGGTAACGTTATCAGTGCTAGGAGGGGTAGGGGTTTATGAGGAGGATTGTGGGCTCCTTGGTGTTCTCTGAGCTCGCTGGTTTTCGTGCAGACATTTCATCACCCAACTAGGTAACATCATCAATGCAAAGAGGGAGAGAGGTTTGCTGTGTTTACATAACAAGCACCTTGCCTTATCAGCACTGTCGGTTTACAACTCAGGGAAAAACAGCCTGATCAAGGAAAAACCCCTCCCACTAATGCTGACAGCACAAACCTCTACAGCAGTATCTGCTTGGGGAATTCTGGGAGTTTGAAGTCCACCCATTTAAACATTACCCACTTTGAAAACAGTGATTTAGCCCCTGGACCTCCCGTTTCTCATGGGCCACACACCAGAGCTGCAGCTTAGCCAAAAACAGATGTGCGTCTTTCAGCTTTGCTGCAAATAACTCCTGCTTGTGTGGGGGGGGGGTTGGACTAGATGACCTACAGGATCCCTCCCAACTCTGTTATTCTAATTCTCACTTTCTGGCAAGCCACAGGCCAGACTGTCTCCTATTAAGGTTGCCCCACGGCAAGATGATCTGAAAAGGGGGGGGTCCTCTTCTGGCTGACCTTCTCCTCTGCCCCAGGATGACCTTGCGAAAAGGCCAAAGGCCTCTTTGAGATATCAATCTGGACATTTATCTCTTGATGGCCACTAATCCTCCTTCAAGCACCCGCCTTGCTTCAACGCTTGGGAGGATGGTTTCCAGGAGCCGCAGCCAAGGAAAGAGAAACGAGATCGATCTAGATGATCGGTGTAGCTTGAAAGGAAGGCACTACGATTCCTATCATCCCCAGCCAGCCGTGGGGTGGGTTGAGAGCCGGTCCGAGTGCAGCTAATCACCCTCGGATGGATTTGCGCTTTTAATGTGGACCGCTAGATGCCAATTCTTCTCCTTTTTGGTTGTACAGTACAGTGGTGTTTTTTTTTTCTCCGCCGCTTTTATTTGTGAGCTGCTAAAACCCGAGAGAGAGGCCGTCCTCATTTAGTGACTGCCTTGTTTCACGACTGGTTGCAGTTGCAATGGTGCTGAAAAAAGTCACTGTGTGACTTGGTCCTCCCGTTGACCACCTTCGCGGGACTGTCCAGCAAAAGGAAAGCGTAACTCAGGTCCTGGGCATGGCTGCGGTTTCTGCTTACTGACCGCTCCACTTTATGACCAAACGGCCAGTTGCATCTAATTGTGGGCGCTAAACGAGGGCTGCTTGCGTTTTTTGCTGCCTCCACAGATGCGAACGTGATGGAAATTGTCCAGAAGTGTCAGAATCCCAGGACTTCGGCTGAGGAACACGGTCCTTATCGGAGTCCGGCGCAGGATTCGAATCCAGTGCCAAGCAGCCAGCCGGATCTAAATGCCAGCCAAGAAATGCAGTGGAGCTTGGCCAAAGAGGATTGCACTTGCTCCTATCCTTCTCTGAACAGGCAGGTAAGGCTCAGTGAGTTCGAGGCCCGCCTTAAGCATGAAAAGCGACTTTGGGCCAGTCACTCAGCCCAAGCTACGTCACAGGATTGTTGTGGTGGAGAACAAGGAGAAAGTGGATATGTTCACCTCCTTAAGTTATTTGCAAAATATAATAAAGCTGGGATACAGATAATAAAAAAATAATTAATAATAGAGAAAAGAATGGAATGGATTAGATTAGAACGGAATGGAATAGAATGGAACAGAATAATAGAAATATATATATAACATAGCATAAAATAAACAGCCCGTCTCTTCTCCGGCTGGTCCCCTTGGTGTTTTTTGTTCCCTCCCCCAGGACTTTCTGACTCCCCCACAAGACCTGGGGTGGGACCTCTCAAGGAGTCCCCCCCTGGACACGGGCCCTCTCTGCGAAGAGATGACCTCCCAGGGTCATCCAGAGCTTCTGGACAAGGCGGAAAGGCTTTCGGAACGGTGGCCTTGTGAGAAGACACCCTACAAAGAAGGTCTGGTGTTCCAGAAGACCCGTCTGCCCTCCATCGTGGTGGAGCCCAGCGATGGGGAGAGTGGGGAGCTGTTGTGGCCCCCCGAGGGCTTCCCATTGATGGAAGGGGCGGAGCAAGAGGAGTTCCTGGCTGAAGAGGAGGAGGAACTGGAGGCTGGTGAGCTCGGGGCTGGGAGAAGGGCTGGCCTCCATGTCATCTTGGACCCTTTGAGTGGCTGGTTGGCCCGCTCTTTTGCTAGGATCCTTAGCAATCTTCTCAGGGTGTTCCTGGGAAGCTCCCCCAGATGTTCCCCGGAATCCCTTCTTGGGAACCTCTTCCAGAGGTTCCTGAACAGCTCCAGGTGTTCTTCAGAAGCGACTTTAGATGTTCCTGGAAACCTCCTCCAGGTGTTCTTGGGAGGCTCCTCCAGATGTTCCTAAGAAGGTCCTCTACATGTTCCCGGGAACCTCTTCTTGGGAAGCTTCCTGGGAACCTCTTCCAGATGTTCCCGAAAAGCTGCAGCTGATCTTCAGAAGCTCCTTTAGATGCTCCTGGAGAACACCTCCAGGTGTTCCTGGAATCTCTTCCAGATGTTGCTAGGAATCTCCTCCAGATGTTCCCGGGAACCTCTTCCAAACGTTCCCGGGAACCTCTTCTTGGGAACCTCCTCCAGATGTTCCTGAGAAGCTCCTCCAGGTGTTCCTGGAAAGTTCTAGGTGTTCTTTAGAAGCTCCTTCCAGGATCACGTGATCAACAAATGCTTCTGGCTTCCAATGAGCCAAGTCAGTGGGGGGGGGGAAGGCTGGATTCGCTTAACGGCCACGGGATTCGCTTAATGGCTGCAACGGTGCCCCCCTCCCAAAAAAGGCGATAAAATCAGGCACGACACATTGATCAACCACCTTGCTTAGCGATGGAAATTCTTGCCCCAACTCTGGCTGTTAAGTTGAGGACTAGTATATACTTTCCACTCACCCCAGTTGTGAGCAAGCACCCCCAATCCCTGAGGCTACGACAAAATTAACAAATAAATAAATAACGAGCTTCTTCAAGGGGATCAAGATATCTTAAAATATATTTCGAATTAAAAAATGCTAAATAGCGCGCAACTTTTTACCGTTTATTTTTTATTTATTTTTTTACCATTTTTAGGGTTCGCCTCTTTTGAAAGTGACGTGGAAGAGCTCTTAGTGTAAAACCCAAAGCTGGCTTCGTTAACCTGCGACCGATGGGACAAGCTGACATTTTCGTAACTTCTTACAAACCAGAACCAGGATGGGAAACCTGGCTAGTTACTGCCGAGTCAACATGAGATTGTGAAGGCCTTCCCCCCCCCCCATTTTGGCCTAGTTCTTATTCCCCAAACTCCTACACCCATCTTACATCGTTAAGCCGAGGACTGGTTCGAAATGAAAGATTTACACCCACACTGCAACATTTCCATGCATTCACCCGAGTTCAAGTTCAGATGGGTTTCCGTTGAAATCCTGCAAGGAATTTAGCTGATCCCGGAATAAAATCACCGTCTCATGTTTTGTGCAACTTATTGTAAAAGTGGGGTTGACTTGAGAATTTGGCACAGCCGTTTTTCCAAGGAAATGGGCACCGTGTTGCAACAGTTAGGAAGTTAGAGATGTGCTATATTCTAAATAATAATAATAATAATTTGTATTGATTGAACATGCTTGTATGTTGCCCAACTCTGAAGGACTCTGGGTGGTTCCTACCAATCCAATAAATAAATTGCAATGAAATCAAGAGATGGCAGGTTTTTTTTTTTAAATATCTCAGGGGCTGCCCCAAAGAGGAGGGAGTCAAGCTGTTCTCCAAAGCAACTGAAAGCAGGACAAGAAGCAATGGATGGAAACTAACCAAAGAGAGAAGCAACCTAGAACTACGGAGAAACTTCCTGTCAGTGAGGACAATTAACCATTGGAACCACCTGCCTCCAGAAGCGGTGAATGCTCCAACACTGGAAGTCTTTAAGAAGAGACCGGACAGCCATTTGTCTGAAATGGTATAGGGTTTCCTGCCTGAGCAGGGGGTTGGACTAGATGACCTCCCAGGTCCCTTCCAACTTTATTATTTTTATTATTATTACTTTGCTTCACAAAGGGGAACTTGGGAGAGTCCAGACTGAGAAAATAAAACAAATTAAATTAACTACCGCTTAAATGACTGGAGTGTATGATAAAACGATAGATGGGTATTACGGCTCTTGTTAGATTTCACTCAAGGCTGCTCGCCGGTTGGATTCCTCGCAGATTTGGCGGGCTGCCCCACCTCTGATGGGTCTGGAGCGTGTAAGCATAATACGCGATGCCGTTAAGATTGGCGATCTCCCCAACTTTGATGTTGGCTCCGCCGGCCGTTTCCAGGAACGGCACCCTGGCATCCGGATCCTCGTCGGAGATCTGGACGAGACACCCCTCCGGGCTCAGGACCCGTAGACACTCGGACACCAATTGTCTCGCCCGCTGGGGGGATCCCCGCAGGGCCGAATCGCAGGTCCCTTTGTCGAGAACCAGGTGGAAAGACCCCAAAGCAAAGAGATGGGACAGTTTGGTGGCATCGCCCAGGTGGCACCGCAGCTCGGAAAGGGGGTGGCACGGTGGGGGGCTATCCTGAAGCATCCGAGTGAGACCCCGGAGGGCCGCGGAGGAAAAATCCAGACAACAGATATGAACCTGGACGGACGAATGTCGGTAGAGTTCCAAGCCCAAGGACGACGTGCTGCAGCCCACGTCTAGGACTCGGGCCTGGCCAGGGGGCAGCCCCCCAAGAATGGAGTCGAGAAACGTTGAGATCTCTTTGTAGCCAAAGAACCAGTCAAACGGATGGGGAGGTCCGTTTTTCTCCCTCCGGGAGTAGAAGCGATCCCAAGCTTCCCGCTGGTCCATGTTGCGAAGCAGATCATCTGCAAAGGGGGTGGGTGGGACGGAGAGAAATTGAAACGTGAGCACCCCACAATGAGACGTGAGGGAAGATTTTTCCGTCCTTTTGCATCAGAGAAGAGCAACAAAAATGATCAGGGGATTGGAGACTAAAACGTACAAGGAACGGTTGCTGGAATTGGGCATGTCTAGTTTAATGAAGAGAAGGACGAGGGGGGACATGATAGCAGTCTTCCAGTATCTCAAGAGCTGCCCCAAAGAAGAGGGAGTCAAGCTATTCTCCAAAGCACCTGAAGGCAGAACAAGAAGCAACGGATGGAAACTCATCAAGGAGAGAAACAACCTAGAACTAAGGAGAAACTTCCTGACACTTACAACAATTAACTTGTGGAACAACCTGCCTCCAGAAGCGGTGAATGCTCCAACCCTGGAAGTTTTAAAGAAGAGCCTGGACAGCCATTTGTCCGAAATCGTATAGGGTTTCCTGCCTGAGCAGGGGGTTGGACTAGAAGACCTCCAAGGTCCCTTCCAACTGTGTTATTCTGATTACAGTAAAGTGGGGGGAGGTAGATTAAAAAAAGGAAGGAAGCAAATTTGCATATAAATGGCTCTCTGCTCCTGCAACTATCCTGCCTTTGAAACTTAATTAATTTCTCTTCCACTTCCATTTGGCCTCCGTCCCCTTGAGGATCAGTGCCACTTTCTGACAGCAAAATCCACCGAATTAATCCAAAGGTACAAAAGCAATAAACAAACAAACAGCTGGCAATTTCTGACAATCCAATTTCTTACATTCAATGAGATCATTAAACCAAGCTAAACCAAGCTAAAAGCTAAACGACACTAAAATAAAATGAAATAAAGCCTGTTTATCTCCTCCACCTGTCCATGCAGAAAAAGGAGCGACCGATGCAGGAAGAGTCTGGATCAGGGATTTCAGCTTTGGGGCAAACGCCGCCTTGGTGGCTGCCATTTTCTCCAGGGCGGATCTGGAGGAAGGACGGCTGAGGAGGAGCCAAGGAAGAAAAGCAGAAAGCAAAAAATGGCTTAGCAAACAGCCCCCCCCCCCTTCTCTCCATCGCTCCCTTTTTTTTTTTCCTTTCCTCTCAAGCAATAGGAAAAGGATCAAAGGTTTTCACTCTCCGCCTGTCAAGCTGGATTGCCACACTCAGAATGATTTATGAGTCAAAGGCTCACTGATTGTCTTACTTGCAAGGTTGCAAGCCAGAGATAATACAGTGTTTTCTTTTTGTTGTTGTTTTTAATTTTGGGAAGTGCAGTGAAAATGCCGGTGTGGGTCTTTAAAAGGAAGAGAAGTGACAAGACGCTGGACTTTGGGGGGACTGGGGTGTAAATTGGGCGGAGCCAGGATAGGAGGTGAAATTCTTGGTGGGTTTTTTAGGGCTGTTTTTTTTTTTAAAAAAAAAAAAAACGGATTGGCGAAAGAGAAATGGCAGATGTGAAAAATAAGAGTTGGGACCGTTATATAATATATCAAAGTGTCATTGTGTGGCTTGAAGCTGGATTCTTTTGTGATGCCGTTAGGCATTTTTAAAAGCCTTTTTAAGCCACTCCTGAGTTTAACACCCCCTTCCTGGCCTAAGACTGGATCCTTTTCTGATCTTATTAGGCATTTTTAAAGCCTTTTTAACCCACTCCTCAATTTAGCAGCCTTTCCTACCCTGAAACTGAATCCTTATTAGGCATTGACAGCCTTTTTAAGCCACTCCTCAATTGAACACCACCTCCTAGCCTGAAACTGGATCTTTTTATGATCTTATTAAGCACTGAAAGCCTTTTTAACCCACTCCTCAATTGAACACCCCCTCCTAGCCTGAAACTGGATCCTTTGATCTATTTAGGTATTGAAAACTTTTTTAACCCATTCCTCAATTTAGCAACCCTTCCTAACCTGAAACTACATCCTCTTCTGATCTTATTAGGCATTTAAAGTCTTTTTATCCCACTCCTCAATTGAAAACCCCCTCCTAGCCTCAAACTGGATCCTCTTCTGATCTATTTAGGTATTGAAAGCCTTTTCTACCTCCTCCATCCACCCATCACAATTTCTGTGCAGATGGTGGCAAGCTGGCCAATACCTTGGTTAGAGAGATAGAGGCTGTGGGCAGATCCCTGAGCAAAGGATCACTCCCATAAGGAGTTCCTGATGCAAGATCTATTTTTTGACCATGAGATTCCTCCCAGGGGGAGGTGCACCGTTCCTGGAGGCACTGCAATACCAGGCCGATGCCTGGAGTGGACGGAGCAAGCCCCTATTCCATCTCCCAGTTCCAAAAATCCATTTAATATGTAGTCCTCAAATAGAGGACATATCAGATATTAAACTGATAAGAACAGATACTACACTTGATCTTAGCCAAAAGGCCGAGAAGCGATACCTGAGACAGGCGGACGGGGCCCGAGACTCCAGTGCGAGGGATTCTCCAGTTTACGGGGAGCATGACCAGGTTGCAAAGGGATCCTAGTTTAAGATCGGTGGATTGATTCTGCTCGGCTCTTTGCCTGGGCTGGACTGCAACGGCATTTCCTGCGGGGCGATTTGGGGGTGAAAATGGGGGTTCTCTCCCCACTGAGCGTTTCCCATCAAGCCACCTGGCTGTCCCGGCGGCCGTTGGTGGAGCATTTGCATAGGGTGAGTCACCCTCTCTGTCACTCTCCTCCCCTGTCATTCCTCAGCTGGCCGAGGGGGGCACTGGCACCCCCCCCTTCTCTGCCTGCACAACAGGCCTGGAGAGCAGAGATGGGCTGGGGGGGGGGGGCTGGGCTGCTTCCTGCCCAGCTCTGCTGGGGCATCTCCCAGACATGTCCCGCCAGCCCAGCCTGATGGACACAGATGTCCTCCCCCCCTTGGCAGCCATGGTTGAGCATCACAAGGGCAATTCAGGCCTGAACATCCATGCCACCTTCCCGGCTCAGTGGGGTCCTGAATTACGGAGGGAGTGTTTGCAGCAGGGTAGAGAAAGAAAGAAAGAAAGAAAGAAAGAAAGAAAGAAAGAAAGAAAGAAAGAAAGAAAGAAAGAAAGAGAAAAGGATGGAAGGAAAGAGGGAGGAAAGAAAGAAAAAAAGAAAGAAAGAAAGAAAGAAAGAAAGAAAGAAAGAAAGAAAGAAAGAGAAAGGAACGATGGAAGGAAGGAAACGGAGGAAAGAAAGAAAGAACAAAGAAAGAGAAAGGAAGGATGAAAGGAAAGAAAGAAGGAAAGGGAGAAAGAAAGAAAGAAAGAAAGAAAGAAAGAAAGAAAGAAAGAAAGGAGGGAAGAAAAAAAGGAAGGAGGGAAGAAAGGAAAAAAGAAAAGGAGGGAGGGGACAGCTGAAGGAAAGAAACAGGAAAAGGAAGGAAGCTAAAAGAGAACAAGGAAAAGAAAGAGAAAAAAGGAAGAGGAAGGAATAGGAAAAAAAGAAAGGCAGGAGAGAGCCAAAGAAACACAGCAGCTCAATTTGGCATCTCTTCCGATATTCAGTTGTTCCATTTTTATTTATTTAAGTGAGGGCTTAAACCTCTTTTATGCCCCAAAGGCAGTTTTAAAGCCCAGATTAACACCCAACATTTCTATCCCAAAACATCTAGAATTGACGGATGCTTTTTATTACAATCAGAGATCTGCAAGAAATTCTCTTGCTTGCTTGCAAACCTCCCAAATGGCCAGTAGGTGGCAGAATTATCTGCCACCATGCTGCCCCCTAGCCACTGTCCAGAGGTTGGCAGCCCAACCTTTCTCATCAAAAGCAGGCAGGCGAAAAAGCAGCTCCCGCAGGGCAACCTGACAGCTTTTAATTATCTCTGCAGATTAACTCTTCCCCGCTTGCTATAAATACCATTTAATTACTGCAGGGGCAGATAAAAAGGCATCTTTGAAAGCTCACTGCGGGGTGGGGAAGATGACTGGAAACAGCAGAGAAGGAGGAGGAGGGTCCCAACATCTGGCAAACATCTGGCAGGAGAAGCAGAAAGAGACATATCTTGAAGGCCCCCCTCCCGCCTGAAAAAGAAAAACAGAATAAACATTAAAACAGGGGTCTTCCAACTTGGCCCTTTGATGACTTGTGGACTTCAACTCCCAGAATCCCTCAGACAGCCTCTATTTTGTTAGATTTAAGACAGGGATCTTCAAACTTGGCCCTTTGATGACTTGTGGACTTCAACTCCCAGAATTCCTCAGCCAGGCACACAAGGAATTCTGGGAGTTGAAGTCCACAAGTCATCAAAGGGCCAAGTTGGAAGACCCCTGAATTAAAAGAATTAATCATTTAAAAAAATTAAATCAACTAAAAACGAGGACAAGGCACTGAAAATTAAAATGCCTGAAGCAACTAAAAAACAATGAAACCAACAGCTAAAATTAAATACCTAAAAAATAAAAACAACAACTCTAAACTAAATACATTGAACATGACATAAATACAAAAATGAAACAGAAACTAAATAAACAAACATTAAACACCCAAACCAAAATGTGACTACGTTTCAGAGGAAAAAAACCAGCCTCGCCACCCCTTACAAGCCATCCTGTTTATACATCTTTGAAACAGCCAAACTCGGCCTGTTTTTTTAATACATTTAATACTTTTTATTTAAATAATAAAAATAAAAGAGGACGGTACTTAAGAGCGAATTCGTCCAATGGGGAAAAACCACGAGGCCCTGCTCCCCCAATTCCCCTCCCACCTTTTTTTTTTCCTTTTCAAGGACAAACCAAGTTACTAGGTCTCAACGAGGACCCGAAGCAACACGGACTGGCCTCTTCGGAAAGCAACGGCGACGCCTGGCGGGCGGAGGCGGAAGGAGGGGGCGTGGCTTAGCTTCCCAGCCCTGCCCCATTGGCTGGAGCCGCTCCTTTGTTCTCAACCCGCCACGCCCACGGTTGCTAGGCGACGGCCCAAACAAAACCCCTGCAAAGCCGGGATGGCAACGCATTTCAGCTCGGGGCAGGTGAGAAAGGGGGGCAGGGGGGCGCCCCCAAACTCCCCCCTCCAAAATCTGGGGGTTTAAATGCATGTTGGGGGGAGGCAAATCTCAAGACGGGGGGGGGTTCCACCCTCCCTGCCCCATAGCACCCTGCAGATATGTTGGACTACAACTCCCACCTCCATGCAGATGGGGAGGAGAGGTGCTTGGGACTACAACTCCCATAAAGGGTGACCTCTTGGAGCGCAGCATGGGGGGAGGGAATTCTGCAGCAGGGATTCCACCCCCCCCAGCCCCTACTCCATTTTCACCTCTCGATCCCAAGTTCCCACAGGAGCCAACGTTTTTTTTTTTGCCAAGACAAAGAGAAAAATAAGATAAAATCTTTCACCCCCCATATCTTTTATTAATTTTTTTTTTTAAAAAAAAACATAAATCACTTAATAGTTGGTAAACGGTGTTTGCTGGATTTATCTTTGTAAAGAAAAATCATTAGCAATTGGTTTCTATAATCCACAATCCACGTAGTACCTTTAGTGGATTTCCCCTTTTCCCCACAATGTCTTCTTTGCAAACCTTGAAATAATACAGTTATTATTTTGATAAATAACGGTTACACATATGATTTTTTTCCCCCAATCTTTTTTATTGGGGGTAAAACTCCCTTTTCCTGCAGCAGGTGTGCCCCCCTACTTTTCCCAACAGGCTCTGCCCCCATTTGCCTCCCCCCGTTCGTCCTGTTTTGGCCTGTTCCCCATTATATACACATTCATATACTGATTTATTATATCTATGTCTATCTACCTATCTCTGTCTCTCTATCTCTATCTCTCTATCTCTCTACCTACCTACCTATATCTATATATCTATATATCTATATCTATATCTATATCTATATCTATCTATCTATCTATCTATCTATCTATCTATCTATCTATCTATCTATCTATCTATCTCAGTATCTCAATACATATACATTGATATACTAATCAGGGAGAGAAGCAACCTAGAGCTAAGGAGAAACTTCCTGACAGTTAGAACAATTAACCAGTGGAACCACCTGCCTCCAGAAGTGGTGAATGCTCCAACACTGGAAGTTTTTAAGAAGAGACTGGACAGCCATTTGTCTGAAATGGTATAGGGTTTCCTGCCTGAGCAGGGGGTTGGACTAGATGACCTCCAGGACCCTTCCAACTTTATTATCATCATCATCATCATCATTATTATTATTATATTACTATATTTTGATATATTGCTTTATATATTTCATTTCCCACCCCCCCACCTCATTTTCCAGTATGAAGATGCCTATAATCCGCGGAATTTGCGAAGCTGGAATCTTCCCAAGGTTACTAAGGCGGTGAGTTGCTTCCAAGACCTCCCCCCCCAAAAAAGGGGGGGAAGCCCTTTTTTAAACAGGAGAAGAAGGCAGGTTCACACGACCGGTTGAATCCCAGACTGTAGCCAACCGGGGTTGTGTGAACACGACTCATGGAGTTTGCTTGCGTTCCGCGTGTCCTGTGGACTCGCAAAATGGTGACAATGCGAATTGTCGCTAACCCTGGGCAACGGGGGTCCTGAAAAATATCAGCGGACCTTCGAAATAGATTGAAATTCAAAATTTGATCCTGGGACTGGGGATGCTATGACGGTCATAAGTGTGAGGACCAGCTCCAGGTCCAAACAGCTGCTAAATGGTGGGTTATAAATTCAATAATTTATAAAACAGAGTTTATAAAATAAATGGGAAACCTCTAAGGAAACATGAACATTTTTTTTTAAAAAAAATGCTGTTCCAGGCCTTTGGTTCCGCTTTGCGGATTTTGTTATATAACGTATTTTAAAAGACTTTTTTTTTTTTAAATCAAAACAAAAATGAGATGTGCTTCTCACCGTCCTCCTGGGAACGGCTCAGATTGGGGCTTTGCTTCTGGATCCTTGTTAATTAATGAATGATGGAGATTAAAAACAGAGCAGGAAAAGTGTTAAATTTGCCAGATTAAGTCTAATGGATGATTGCATTTTGATTTTTTTTTTTTTGAAAAGAATGTAGGCACGGGAGAATAAGGAGGGACAGGAGTGGGAAGTGCTGGTATTGTGTGCATCGAATTATCAGAAGCATCTTAGAGAGCTAATTCTGCTAATGAATAATGCATTTCACATTCCCCATCCTGTCCTCTTCCTATCTTCCTATTGTGTTCTTTTCTATTGCATTCCATTTTGTGTTTTGTATTCTGCACTTATTCCTGTATTTTATTCTGCATTCTGTTCTATTCCATTCTATTATTCTAATCTTTTCTCTTTCTCCATCTCCACCATCTTTTCTTTTCCATTCTTTTTTCTTTTCTCTCCTTCCTCTTCCCTTCCCTTCCCTTTCCTTTCGTTTCGTCCCCTTCCCTTCTATCTTCCTTTCTATTCCTTTCGTTTCCTCCTTCTCTTTCTTTTTCTTCTTTCCATTCCTTCCCTTCCTTTTTCCTTTCCTTTCCTTTCCTTCCCTCCCCTCCTTCTAACTTCCTTCCCTTTCCTTTCCTTCCCTCCTAACTTCCTTTCCTTTCCTCCTTCCCTTTCTTTTTCTTCTTTCCATTCCTTTCCTTCCCTTTCCTTCCCTTCCCTTCTTCTAACTTTTCCTTTTCTTCTCTTTCCTCCTTTCCTTTCCCCTCCCCTCCTCCTAACTTCCTCCCCTTCCCTCCTTTCCTTCCCTCCTTCCCTTTTTCTTCTTCCCATTCCTTTCCTTTTTCCTTTCCTTCTTTCCTTTCCTCCCCTTCTCTTCCCTCCTTCTTCCTTCCCTTCTCTTCTCTTTCCTTCCCTTCCCTCCTTCTAACTTCCTTCCCTTCCCTTTCCTCCTCTTCCCTCCTTCCCTTCCCTTCCCTTTCCTTCCACCCTTCTTTTTCTCCCATCAGCATCCTTCAACCCGGGAGGGGTTCACTCAGTTTGTAGCCAATGACAGAGGCCACCTTCTGCCTTCCATCCCCCGCTCTAAGGTGAGCCTTATTCTCTTTTTTTCCAACCAGGGATTTCATCCCTTAAACGGACCGCCCTAACAGAACCATAAGATCCATGCAGGCAGCCCTCAACTTACAGCCACCATTCAGCCCAAACGTTCGGTCGCTAAGCGAGACATCAGTTAAGGGAGTCTCCCCCCTTTGGCCACCTTTATTCCCACCACGGTTGCACGGTTGTGAAGGGAATCCCTCATGGACTCTGCTTATCACAAGACCGCAAAAGGGGCATCCCTTGACCCCGGGGGGGGGGGAGACACTGCAACTGTCATAAATACGAGTCAGTGGCCAAGCGCCTGGATTTGGATCACGTGACCGCGGGGGACGCTGCAACGGTGTGAAAAACCACCCTGCCCCCCCTTTTTTAAAAGGGCTGTTGCACCTTTGGACGGTCACTAAAACGGTTGTAAGTCGAGGACCTCTTGCAATAACTTAATACGTTGAAGCTGTGGTCGGTTTCCCACAAGACACCCAGGTTGGCTTGCGCATCAGCCAGCAAAGATTTCAAGGAAGGCTGTTTGTTGCAAGCACAGATTGTCCTTGAGTTAGGAACGCACCTGCGTTGCAGTGGTGGGATTCTCCAAACCGGCGTCCTGGACCCTGGCGGGTGAACGGGGCCCGGCTTTTCGCCATGCCTGCAGGGTTGAACCCATGACAGAGAGGGCTCTCTCCCTGTCCTACAGGCTTCTCCTTGGGGTACCTATATGACCACCTGGGACATGCCCTTGAAAATCCCGCCGGCCAAGGTCTCTCTCACCTCCCGGTCGATTGACGCAGCCGCCCGGCTCACCGAATGGATGAATAAATCGGCGGCCTTAAGCAAAGCCTGCAACGGATTGTGCCCAGAAATTGTTGGCAAGGTAAGTGACCGATACTGCCAAGGGGTGGAAAGGAGGGGTCCTTGGGGGTATTCTGCCAGCTTGGGGGGGGGTCTCTTTGCAGACGTTTCGTGACCCCAACTAGGTAACAACATCAGTGTAGGAGAGAGTGGGGTTTGTGGAATAATGGAGGAGGAGGAGGAGAAGGAAGACAATGACTGTAGGGTCCTTGGTGCTCTCTGAGCTTGGCTGTTTTCTTGCAGACGTTTCATGACCCAACTAGGTAACATCATCAGTGCTAGAAGGGGGGAGGAGGAGGAGGAGGAGGAGGAGGAGGAGGAGGAGGAGGAGGAGGAGGAGGAGAAAAGACTGTGGGGTCATTGGTGCTCTCTCAGCTTGGTGGTTTTCTTGCAGACGTTTCATGACCCAACTAGGTCATACCATCAGTGATAGAAGGGAAAGGGGTTTATGGAAAAGAGGAGGGGGAGGAGGAGAAGAAGAGGAGGAGGAAGAGGAGAAGAGGAGGAGGAGGAGGAGGAAGAAGAAGACAACTGTGGGACCCTTGCTGCTCTGAGCTTGATTTCCTTGCAGACGTCCCACGACCCAACTACGTAACATCATCAGTGCTTGAAGGGAGAGGGGTTGGCGAAGAGGAGGAAGAGAAAGAGGGGAGGCTAAAGAGGAGTAAACAAACGGTTGCTAAGTCGAGGACCCCCTATATAGGAAACACCCTTAACGGTTCTCTTCTCCCCCCCCCCCCGCAGCCCTCCGTCCCCGTGACCAAGGAACCCGTCTCTAAGCACAGCCGGACCCCCGGTAAAACCTCCGAGCGACCCCTCTCGAGCGGGAAGATGCCGGCTCGAGAAGAGGTCGGGTCCCGGGTAGGCGCTTCCCCCAATGGCCCGCTGTCCCGCCAGCCCGGCAGCATGGACCTCCGGCTGAGAGACGCCGGCGGGCCGGACGCCTCGGAAGCCCCCGACTTGGAGGCCAAGCCGCCCAAGGAGAGAATGAACGACGACATCCCGCTTTCCCGCCAGCCCGGTTGCATGGATCTGCGTCTGAAGGACACCAGCCCCCAGTTGCCCAGCCCCAACCGGCCCAGCTCGCGGGAGCCCACCCCGAGGAGGACGATCTCCGCCGAGGCCCCTCCGTCCGGAAGACCTCGGTCCCGGGAAGCCAGAGGCAAAGGCTTGGGAGCCCCAGAGCTTTTGTCTCCTTGCCGTCCGGGGTCTCTGGAGGTGAGCCCTCGCCCGGGGTCCCTGGAGGTCAACCCCCGTCCGGGGTCCCTGGAGGTCAACCCCCGGGGTGACCGTTCGCTGGAGGCCCTGCCCTCCGGCCGGCCACTGGCCAAAAGCAGGCAGGGGTTGGAGATGCCGAAGACGGCAGCCGAAAGGAGCGCGTCCAGACCCCTTTCCTCCACATAAATCTTCCCGGGAGATTTAATAAAAGAAAACAAAAAGAAAAAAAAATCAACTACCAATGCTTAAAAAAAAAAGAAGAAGAAGTGGACAGCACCAGTCTTTAAAAGCCTTTTTTTCTGTGTTTTTCCTTTTTTTTTTTTTTTTGGTTGTTTTTCACGCCTCCCGGTTCGGATCCATCCTTCTACCCCCCCTCCCCAATTGTCCGTTTGCGGTCTGAGCAATCTCGGCTAAGCGAGCCCCCAAATTGGGCTGGTTTTGCTGACGCGTGCAGCCCTGGGAAACGACAAGATGGTTGGTGTGTTTGTGTGTGTGTGTGTAAGGTCAACCACCTGTGGGATACCAACACGACTGCAAGGGGCTTGGAAGAAAAACCAAAATCACAGGGGCGGCTCAACCATGGAAGGGGGTCCATTAACACTGGGGGGGTGTTTTGCTAATAATTAATAAAGCGAATTGGCCGTTGAATTTGCAGCTGTTTTTCCCGGCCGGAAATAGGGGGGGGGGTGTCTTCATTTAAGCTACGCTTCAAATTTTGCCTTTGAGGTAGTCTCAGGGCTTTTGACAATGTATCCCGAGCGTTACTTAAGATACAGCTAGTCCTCAAGGTTATGACCACCATGGGCACCAGTTACAACCCTTGTTTTTATCAACCATTCAAAGTCAGGACGCTAAACGAGGTGACTTATGAGCAGTCCTCGCACATATGGCCACCTAATCACATGATCCCCATTCGGCCACTTGGCAACTGGTGTGTATTTACGACGGGGGCAGCGTCCCAGGGTTACGTGATCTCCAGCGAGCAATGGGGGAATTGGATTTACTTCATGACCAAGTGATCCTGCTGCGATCCCCTTAACCGTGGTGAGAAAAGCTTAAAATCGGACGTAAACTCACTTAACAAGCGCCTTGATTAGCGACGGAAATTCTAGTCCCAATTGTGGTGAACTAGTCCCAGCCTTAATGAATTCTCCTGCAACAGCATTAAAATTGGGACATGGAGACAGCAGGCTGGAAACCCGGAGGTGAAGAATTTGAGGCTCCGTGTTTTAGAGTCTCCTCTTTTTTAAAAAACGTGGGGGATTTTATTACAAAAAAGCAATCAGCTGCAGAAATTGGAAGACAGAGGTGGCGATAAACAGCACCCTTGATTAAAAAAAAAGAAAAGAATTATTTAACAAAAGAGGCGGCAGAAACAAGGCAATTAATTTTGGGAGCATCAAGGGAGCCCGTCTGAGTCGTCCCCGGCCTTTCGACTTTGCAAAACACTCTGCGCGCGCCTAGATCAAAAGATTTATAAAACAAGATGCCAAAACAATTGCCTGGTGCAGAATAAGCCGCACCGCCAGCAGCGAAGACACACGCAATTTGCAGAATGGGAGACAAAAGAACCAGCTTGCGCTCCCGGAGAAGCATCTCACACATTTCGACAATCAAAAGGGTTTTGGGTGTTTTTTTTTTTTTTTTTAAATAAAAAGGTTTTAAGAGGGATTGAAGCTAAATCTAGGGCTGGAAGAAAACATTTCAGTGGTGGGGTGGCTAGGAAAAATGATTGGAGGGCACGTAATTCCATTTATTCTGTTTTTAATTGGTGGATAATTAATTGTACAACCGGTAGATTCGCCTCCTCCTCCTCCCCCCCCCGGGAAAAAAATTCTTTTAATTTGATCGTTTTAATTTGATCCTCGGCCACAACTGCTGTTGCTAAGCGAGACACTTGTTATGCAGGTTTTCTTGTCGCAGTAGTTCAGGAAATCACTGCAGTGAAGTTAGTAATACGGTGGAACCAATTTAAAAAAATTGCAGGGATTTCCTGAACAATTGTGACAAGGAGGATTGTCAAATGGGGCAAAAACTGAACTTTAACAAACCTCTTGGTTAGCAACAGAAAATTTTGGCTCAGTTATGGCCCACCTGTATGGTATTTTTTGCAGTATTGTATTTTTTAAAAAAATATTTTTAATACTATAAGCCTGTCCAAGGTTGCCCTATGGTAGGATGGGTGGCCAAGAAATTTAATTAATAAATAAGAGCTGGGAAGAAAGGAAATCGAAGTCCGTATTTTGGGAGGGAGGTGAAATTGGTGTGTTTGGACGGCGAGCTGAGATCTGAACAGGTCGCCTCCCGTTTCAAACCACAACCTGCCCCATAAAAATGAAAAGACACAAGTTTATTTTTCAATGTTTTTATTATTAACCGGATAATCCTCATTGGGGCAAACCAAGAGGGGAAACTTTCACGAATGGAAAACTAAAATAAGACTATATATTTACAGAAGATGGGACAGGTGGGTTTTATTTTTTTGGAAAAGGGGTGGGGAGAGGAAAAGCTCAAAATCTTTCCTTGGCTCACAAGCAGGCGAACAGCCGGCGAACCAGGAGCAATTAATTGGGCAATTAATCCCACCAGGCCAGAAAATTTGGCTTCCCCAAAAGTTTAATGCAAAGGTTGGACTGTTTCTTTCCCCCCTCCTGCAAACGGGAGAGAGAAGATTTTGCAAGCTTTGGGCCTGCCTCCATTTCCCCCCTCCCCATTGGGATCCACAGGCCCACTTGGAAAAGATCAGCCAGACTGGAGGTGTCCACTTTGGCTGTGTGACTCTTAACGCCGGCTTGCTGTCAATGGACGGTGTTGTGTTTTCTGAAATGTGTTGCACCCACGCCCGTGTGCACGCTGCCCTGTGGTTCTTTCAAAGGAAAGGATTGTTCCGGAGAGCGAAGGGGCTGCCTTTCGCCCCGTGGGAGAACGTCGGTTTTTTAAAGCCCGGCCACGTTTCAAAGTGGTGGGATTTTAAGCCTCAGCTGGGGAAGGGACGCCAAGAGTCCCCGGGGCAAAATTGTGGCCTCTCACAAGTGGAAAAAAAAAATAATAAAAGGAGAGAAATCCCTACAAGGATCCAAGGAGAACTGTATCCTTTCTGATGAATAATGTGAATTTTGCCGATTTCAGCCCTTCTGCACCTCAGCTGTTCTTTTCCTAATGAACAAGTGGGGTGGAAGTCCCGACGGAGCCAACTTTGTGGGTGCAGAAGGGCGCAAAAGTTAGAAAGTTGGGGAGTGAGCAGGAGGCGTGCCTTTGATTCTCTTCACATGGCTGCGATCCCAAGGGAAGACAGAACCGTCAGGACGAGGACTAGAGCTCCAGATTGGTACAACTGGGGTATCTTGAAACCTATGCCCAGGTCCCAGGCCTACAAAAGAGGAAGACAAGGAGGACGTCACAACAGGAGGAACTAGAGAGAATATAGACTAGAATAGTCAAGGAATTGTACTCCTTTGGCATCTTTACATTTGGCGGGATTTTCTACGGCACCATTTCCGATGTGGTGTCGGTTCACGATAATGCTCGTCCGCACACCGCTAGACTCACTAAAGAACTTTTGAAGCAGTTTCTTTGGGATAATAATAATAATTGTAAAGTTGGAAGGGACCTTGGAGGTCATCTAGTCCAACCCCTTGCTCAGGCAGGAAGCCCTATACCATTTTGGACAAATGGCTGTCCAGTCTCTTCTTAAAAACTTCCAGTGTTGGAGCATTTACCGCTTCTGGAGACAGGTTGTTTTTGATCACACACACACACACGCACACACACACACACACGCCCCCAGTAGTCAGATTTGACGCCGAGCAACGACCAAGGAATTTCAAATCTTGTAAGACCTTACGACCGGTGCCTCCATGTGAAGGGCGCTTATGTCGAAAAGTAATTTAATATAGTAGCTTTCTAAGGTGTGTAATAAAAGTTCTGTATCTGTGTGTGTCTGTCATCGATAACCCAAACGGAGGTTCCTTTCAGAACTGTCTTTGTACATTCACCCGGGCAAGATTCCATCAATGGAGCATTACCATAAAGGAGAATTAACTCACCTCTCCTCCATGGTTTGCTCTGCAAGGCTGACATACAAGGGGTAATAGTGGCTGCTTAAAAGGCTGCTTACCAGATGCCGAATCCCGTTCCAGGTGTGGTAGGTGACAGGTAGGGACAAAGCGAACTTGGCTGAATAGATCAGAGCGGGCGCCAGGCTGAGTGACTTGATCAGGTCCAGGTAGTCGGAAAACTGTCCGGGAAGAGCCAGGGCACTCAAGGCGAAGAGGGACACACCTGGTGAGGAAATACATCCAGCAGGACACACAATGCAGGTAGTCCTCGAGTTAGGACATTTCAGCCCAAAATTCCATCCATCCATCCATCCATCCATCCATCCATCCATCCATCCATCCATCCATCTATCTATCTATCTATCATCCATATCTATCTATCTAATTTATCTCTATCGAAAATATATGTGGACAATGCAATATAGGAGATAAAATATTAAATTAAGATAAAACCATAATAAAAGCATGATAAAATGAAGGCATAAAATGAATTGCAATGGGACAGATGTTACAATTCAGCATCTAAGGAAGCCAAACCCCTAATTGCTTCTCATGTGGCTGCCATGCGATCCTCCCAGGTGCCCTGTGAGTTATGGTATCACCTAAGACCCATGATGATCTTAGGTGATGCAATAACGCACGGATGTTTCCTGTTCCTTGCGATTCCTTGTCCATCAGGGAAAAGATTGAGAAATTATAACCCACCTAAACTCATTCCCACACCGGTCCCGCGGTGAATGATGGACATTGACATCGGCAGGGTCCACCTAAAAGGAAGGAAAGGGGGACGCTGTAAACGACAGGGCTGACATTCCTTTAGGGAAAAGAAAGGAGTAAAGGAGACCAATTATTTGTCATTAGAACAATTAACCCATTTAACAGTTTGCCTCCAGAAGTTGTGGGTGCTCCAACGCTGGAGTTTCTTAAGAAGAGACTGGACAGCCATTTGTCTGAGATGGTATAGGTTCTCTGCTTGAGCAGGGGGCTGGACTAGATGACCTCAAAGACCCCTTCCAACTCTGCTATTCTGCTATTCTTTTTTCCTTCCTTCCTTCCTTCCTTCCTTCCTTCCTTCCTTCCTTCCTTCCTTCCTTCCTTCCTTCCTTCCTTCCTTCCTTCCTTCCCCAACACTGGGGGTTTTCAAGAAGAGACTGGACATCCTTTTGTCTGAAACGGTACAGGGTCTCCCCGAGCAGGGGGCTGGACTAGATGACCTCCAAGGTCCCTTCCAACTCTGTTATTCTACTATTCTGTGTCCCTGAGCTCAGGCCAGGGCAGGGCAAACTGTTCCAGCTCTTTTGATCTGCTCCCCACTCCGAATTATTTAAGGAATCCCACCAGAGCGAACAAGAGAAGGAACAGTGGAATCTGTGGAGGAGGCTGAGGAATGAGATGACCGGGGAGGGGGGGAATTCTCCTCGATGGGCAGCCGAGGAACCGGTTCTTTAAAGAGAAAAGAGCCCAGATTGTGAGCTTGGCTGTCAAGGGCAAAATCTTGGGGTTGCAATTTTTTCCCCCAGGGAGCAGCTAAGTGCAGGCAAATTGAGGGGCACAAGTACTCCTCGGCTTACGACAGAGAGAGAGAGAGCCTGTTCAGTGTTATGGGTGGCTAGGAGGCGGGTGGGACGTTTCAATCCAGGGGTCTTTCTTTGAGCTGGGTGATTTTCTTGCTAACATTTCAATACCCAACTAAGAAACATCATCAATGGTAGAGGGAGGTGGGGTTGGCAGGAAGGAGGAGGAGGAGGAGGACGACGATTGTGGGGTCCTTGGTGCTCTCTGAGCTTGGTTGTTTTGTTGCAGACGTTTCATGACCCAACTAGGCAACATCATCAGTGCTAGAAGGGAGTGGAATTGAGGGAGGGAGGGAGGGAAGGAAGGAGAAAGAAAAGAAAGGAAGGATGGAAGGAGAGGGAGGAAGGGAAGGAAGATGAGAGGGAGAGGGGGAAGGAAGGAGAAAGAAAAAGGAAGGAAGGAAGGAAGGAAGGAAGGAAGGAAGGAAGGAAGGAAGGAAGGAAGGAAGGAAGGAAGGAAGGAAGGAAGGAAGGACTATGGGTTCCTGGGTGTTCTCTGAGCTTGCTGGTTTTCTTGCAGACATTTCATGACCCAGCTAGGTAACATCATCAGTGCTAGAAGGGAATGGAGTTTGTGGAGGGGAGGGGAAAGAGAAGGGAGAGGGGAAAAGGAAGAGGAGGAGAAATGTGGAGGTCTTTGAATTTGGCACAAAGGCTCTTTGTAGACATTTCATGACCCAGCTTGGTGCTAGAAGGGAGTGGGGTTTGCTCTCTGCTTATATCCAAGTAGCTTGCTTGCTGATGATGTTACCTAGTTGGGTCATGAAACATCTGTAAGAAAACAACGGAACTCAGAGAGCACCAAGGACCCCTCAACATTTCTCCTTTATTGTCCTTTCAATCCAGCCCACCTTGCAGAGGCACCTGTGGGAAATGCAATAATGCAATTCAGTTATAAAATGCGTAATTCAAGATGTGTCTTACTCGTAAATGCTGATATGTGGGGACAAGGGCCGCTGAGATTTGGTGTTCTTCTCCCAAAACTTAGCCATTTCTTCCTTCGCCGTCGTCCCCATGGGGACCACACTGGAACCAAACCACGGAGAATGTGTTAGGAGGCAGGCCCCAAACACCCAATAATGCACACAGTAATCTTACGACCATTTGTTTAGCAACCGTTCAAAATCCTCCCTCCCTCCCTTTAGAGCAGGGGTTTTCAAACCTGGCCCTTTGATGACTTGTGGACTTCAACTCCCAGAATTCCTCAGCCAGGCACATGCTATTTTTTTCTTTTTTTTAAATCCTTCCTTACGTGCAAAGACTTAAGGAAGTGATAACCGATAATTTTTGTTTTTTTCCAGTAGCATCAGAAACTTACTGTGGCATGAAGGACCCCGGGCTGAGGCGTAGGTAGAAGCAGCGCCGGCTTGCTAACCTGAAAGAGCCAAAATTACAGGATTTATAGGCAGGAGTTTGTTCTCTTTTAGGGCAGGGGTCTTCCAACATGGCCTTTTGATGACTTTGTGGACTTCAACTCCCAGAATTCCCCAGCCAGCGTTGCCGCAGTAGAGATTTCTGGGAGTTGAAGTCCACCCATCTGGAATTGCCCCACTCCGAAAACCCTTCTTGATTTAGAACAGGGGTCTTCCAACTTGGCCCTTTGATGACTTGCAGACGTCAACTCCCAGAATTCCTCAGCCAGGCATGTCTGGCTGAGGAATTCTGGGAGTTGAAGTCCACAAGTCATCAAAGGGCCAAGTTGGAAGACCCCTGCTCTGGATATCAGCCGACCTCGCAGGGTTAGGGTCAGGGTTTTTCTTGAAGACCCAGATGACATTTTGAGAACAAGGTTGTTCCTAACAGCCAAGGGGCAGCAAGGCAGCTTCAGCGGCTGAGGGAGGACTCGAACCCAGGTCTCCACAATGCTATTCCGACACTTTCCTTATGCTGGCTTTGTTGATGATGATGATGATAATAATAATAATAATAATAATAATAATAATAATAATAATAATAATAATAATAATAATAATAATAATAATAAAGTTGGAAGGGACCTTGGAGGTCATCTAGTCCCTGCTTCAGACCCAGATTTCAAACCAATCCAGCCAGGCTCTTGCTCAGATATGTCAATACTAGCCATCACCAATAGAGGGCGGCTATGTTTGCGGGGCACTCAGACGTGCGCATAGACACGTGTATTTTTTTTTTTAGATACCGAGTCTGACTCGCTCCCTTTCTCGAGGCACAGCTCTGGAAGGGTCGGGTTACGGTGCCCATCATCCCCGGCTTGCACGGGAGGTGTGGTCCAGCCCGCTTCGGGAGCCAGCCGGGGATGATGGGTTGTGCAGTCCGACGCCTTCCCGCCCCAGTAGGGAGGGGGAAGGATGGGGCCGGGCAGGGCGAGACACGTGTCTTTGCGTAGGAGGGAAACCGTCCCCCGCAGCCAGGGCGCTCTCGAGGTCAACCCGCAGCGCGTCGGGATCCGCTTTCCCAGCCCCGAACACGCGTGTTTCTCCACTCCGGGGATGCGGAGAGCCCTTCCACACGAGCCGGGCCCACCGCGGGGCTCCCCCCTCCCCCTTTTTTTCTCCGCCCGTCCGCTGTCACCTCAAGACGGAGGCCGCCATCTTGGCCGGGAAGTGCTGCGAACGGGACGCAGCGCGCGGTGACGTCACTGCCCGACTTCCGTCGCCGGAGGCCGGAAGCCGGAAGGAGCCGGCCTTCAGCACGTGCGCTTGGTAGGAGCCCTGCGAGCAGGTTGCCCTTCCACACTACAGCACCCATCTCTCCTAGCCGGGGATGAGGGGGAGTGTAGTCCGAAAGGCTCGGCTGGCAACCTGCCGGGTTGCGTGCCGCGTGCCCCTCTGCTGCCTCCTGCTTGTTGAGCATGTGCAGAGAGCCATTCGTCTGAAATGGGATAGGGTTTCCTGCCTGAGCAGGGGGTTCGACTACATGACCTCCAAGGTACGTTCCAACATTATTATTATTATTATTGTTATTGTGGTGGTGGTGGTTGTGGTTATGGTGGTTGTTGTTTGTTGTTGGTTGTTATGAGCAGCTAGTGTTTTCATAAGGTAGCTTGTTGTTATTGGTTGTTGTTATAAACAGCTAGTGTTTTCATAAGGTAGTTGTTGGTTGTTGTTATGAGCAGCTAGTGTTTTCATAAGGTAGCTTGTTGTTGTTGTTGGTTGTTATGAGCAGCTAGTGTTTTCATAAGGTAGCTTGTTGTTGTTGGTTGTTATGAGCAGCTAGTGTTTTCATAAGGTAGCTTGTTGTTGTTGGTTGTTGTTATGAGCAGTAGTGTTTTCATAAGGTAGCCCTTGCATTACTGCTCGTCCTCTCCGTCCACAACATTTCTGTGGTTAAGTGAGACATTTGTTCAGCGCGTTTTGCCCCGTTTTATGACCTGGCTTGCTGCAGCTGTTAAGTGAACCATCCCAGTTGATAAGTTACTACCCTGGTTGTTCAGTTGTGAAGCTGGCTGCCCCATTGATTTTGGCTCGTCAGAAGGTGGCCAAAGGGGATCCCGTGACCCGGGGACGCTGCAACCATCATAAATATGATCCAGTTGATCCCGTGACCCTGGGACACAGCAATGCTCATAAGTAACGAACCAGTTGCCGAGCGTTTGAATTTTGATCGCCTGATCTTGGGGTTGCTGCAAAGGTGGTTATTCTGAAAAACGGACATAAGTCCCTTTTTTAAGTGCGGTCATAACTTTCTTGCAGACAGTTCATGACCCAACTAGACAACATCATCAGGGTTAGGAGGAGAGGCGATTGCTCTCTGTTCATGTAAAATCAGCTGGCTTGCAGAGACAGCAAACCCTACTTCCTTCTAGCACTGATGATGTTGCCTAGTAGGGTCATGAAATGTCTGCAAGAAAACCACCCAGCTCAGAGAGCACCAAGGATCCCCCACAGGCTACAGATATTCTCTAAATAAATAAATAAACAGCAGTTTGCAAACCCAACATCTTCCAACTGCCCACTTCGGACTTGGCAAAGACCAAAGAGAGCACAACACATGCCTGTGTGTTTTCTGGAATGTGTGACGCCTACTAAAAACTGCAATTGTACTGAAATAGTGGCCCGAGAGGAAGATTTTAAAAAAGATTTGCAGGAAGATGCCAGGGTCTGTTTGTGACCTTTTGATTTTTCTTCTGCCTTAGAGTTTTATCTTATTCACTAATTTTCGGCCCCACGATGAACAAAATCTGAAAGCTCTTTTGGGTGTGTGCATTTGTCTAGCATTCACGTTTTTGAACCCAGGTCAGTTGAGGTTTTTCCCCAGACTGCCAACTGCAATGGGTTTCCCAAAATAGGGCACTTTTTAATTCTGCAAAAGAAGTTCTGCTGTTCTCTTAAGAGAGAAAATCCTCTTTCCACTTTCCTCTTGCAGCATTGTAGGGCAAGGAAAATTGTAATTGATTAAGCTGATTTTTTTTCCCCCTACTGGCTCAGTAAAGAATCTCTTTGCAGTGGTCAGGTCCAGGGGATGTGCAAAACGGCCGAGCAAAATTGACGGGATGACCCCAGTGCAGCAGGAATTTAACTTGGGTGCTTGATGCTCTGTGAGCATGGTTGTTTTCTTAAAGACGTTTTGTGAACCAGCTAGGTAACATCATGAGTGCTAGAAAGTGGTGAGGTTTGCTGGGGTGAGGGGTGAGGGGAGGAGGAGGAGGAAGAGAAGGAGGAGGCAGACTTCTGGGCTCCTTGATGCTGTCTGAGTTAGATGCTTTTCTTGCAGACGTTTCATGACCCAGCTAGGTAACATCATCAGTGCTTCCACCCTAAGCTACCCATCTTCTCTGCTCTTGGAATTTACCCTGCCAGCCATGGATTCCGTGTCAAGAAATTTCCTTAAAAAAGGCTTAAAACTGAAATTACAGGACCACCCCCCCTCTCCTGGCCCTGGCCGAAGGCTTTGCCTGTTGGGAGGCGAAAAAAATGACATTGTTCAGAGGCTGTGCCCTCACCCACAGTTTGCTAAGAATGCAGCTTCTTTGCCCAGCTATGCTCGCATGCTGTTCAACAATAGCCACTATAAATGCAAGCTTTTATGTTTTGTTCTCTTTGGGGGGGGGGACCGGTTCATCTTTGCACACACACCCCTCTGTTTTTTTCTCCCCAAACGCCACCTTCTCATTGGTTCCAGATTTCTGCAGAGATGGCATCCTTCGGGGCAGGCGGGTTCTTAAACCAAGGGTGCCCCCCTCTCCGGCATTCGACAGGAAGGCATCCTCGTCGTTGCTACCAGCTCTTCTCCTCCATGTGGCTGGGATTCGGACACTAACCCAAAAAAATGGGGGGTCCAGTCGACGCTGCAAAGGGCCAAGCCTTCCTGTGGTCGCTCCTCGTGTGCACCGTGGGTAAGTTGCATGACGCTCAAGGGAAAGATTTCCCAAATTTAGAAAAAGGGATCACTGGAGGGGCCAAAGTCGTAAGTATCCAAAGGCAGAAGATCAGAGTCGAAAGGGACCCTGGAGGTCTTATAGTCCAACCCCCTGCTCATAGCAGGAGACCGTAGACATTTCAGGCAAATGGTTGTCTTCAAAAGTGAAGACCATGGAGAAGGAACTAATTAAGGAGATTTTAGGTTGTGCAGAAATGGGCAAATTGACATGGAAAGGAAAAGAGAAAGAAGATTCAGTATATTTTAGAACACGGGGCCATTTTTATCAGTGGCAAGAGAGAAAGGAACGTGATACAACTAAGATACTGATTATGAAAATATAGAAACTAATCATTACCGATTGTTTTTTAAACCCATGAATCCAGACAACAACATCCTGTTTGCTAAATACTAAAGAATGTTATCTCATAAAATTAATTTTCGAAACTCAGAAGGGTAGGGCTAGCAGCTGATGAGAGCTAAATAGCTCGAAATAGCCATACTAGTCTCCCTTTAACTCTTTGTCGGCAAAAATCTAAACTTAAATAGTTTATCGCAGTAGCGAATTTAGCCTGTAAACGCTTCTAGATTTGGGGATGAAAGGCCAAAGCAATATTTGAGTAGATCAGGTGTTCTATTTATTGGTGTTTGTTTTTTCAACCCTCTCTGATCGTGGGGTCCTTTACGGGTAGACTGCCTCTGAAGCCGGAGGCTCTACCCTGGGCGTAGATTGTTGAGAACCAGCCCCGAGCATCTTCTCTTGAGGTCTCCAGCTTTCCTAACATGATTTCCACAGCATTGTGGCTTTGGGATCTGAGCTTCAGGTTTTTCTCTCCGGTGCTGCAGCATGGGCTATGTAGTTCTTCCGCCCTCTGCAAGTCTGCTAAGTCCTAAGAGGACTGAAGCAGAAGCCATTGCTTCATTGGCCGTTCTGCATACCTGTTCAGCTTCAGATTTCTGGGTGTGGCTTGGTTAATGATGGTTTAGATCGTGGTTTAGTTCAAGGGAGGGCTAACAGAGGCTGGTTCGAAGGCAATTCTAGGAAAATTCTAGGGAAAAATTAGATTACTGACGATTTATTTCTCAAGGCCTCAAAACGTTTCTATCATATATTCAATTTTCTCCAAAAATGGTGTGTCTGAATAAAATCCTCAATAAAATCTGGGGCACTTTTTGCGTTCCAAGCTTTCTGATGTTGGGATTTGGGGAGAATTAAGAGGAAGGATCAATTTAAGGAGATTTGGTGGGGGGAAAAGACATGATGATGGTGATGAATGTGTAAACGATGGGGCCATTAAGGAGAGCCGAGTAGCCAGCAGTTAACAGAAGTTAACAGAAGTCAAAATTTCCAGCTATATTGCAAGCTACTTCTGACTTTTATTAACATGCATAAATCCCAAAAGTGCCTCCAATTTAAAGCAAGGGAAAGCAGTGACTCTACCTTGCTTAGTTGAATAATTAACAATCATGATACCTCATCGTTTTGAGAAACAACTGGGTCTTGTCACGCCTTAAAACCTGAGTAATGGGGTTCACACAACACAGAGACTTTGATAGATTGTGGTTTGTTGGGGGGGAAAAACATCTTGGGTTGAGTTCTCCTCTTGTGGTTACCCCCAAACTGGACAAAACATGGTTTGTAGGATGAGTGAAACTGGGGGAACTACCGCCTGCCTTGAAAGTTCACGGATGGCTTTAATCTAGAAAACAATTGATTTATTAAACTTGTACAGCTTTAATCTAGAAAACGATTGATTTATTAAACGTGTACGCCATCTCAGTGTGTGGAAAACACAACCCTGTTTTTCTGTTGTTTAGGATGCCGTGAAGTTCTTATTTTTTCCAACTCGGAAGAAAAAAAATTGCACCCATTACGGTGCCAGACAGATTAAATTGGTTCCTGTTCAGCCGAAAAGCAAAGCGCATTAGCAGAACAAAGCAATATATTTTATAGTGCTCTGAAATCTATTCCTATTATCTTCAGAGGAGTTCATATGGGGACCGGGCGTGGGAGAGGAAACCCAAGTAAGAATTGTGTTTTACTAGACACAGGTTTGACCTGACAAATTAAATTTATCTCTGATTATAACTGCCCCAGCATCTGCCGTTGCTAATCCTGGCAGAACGTGCTTTTACAGTGATTATTTTCTAGGTAATTTTTGCTTTGCAAAGGTTTGCAGGACCTTCATTCTCAGAAATAGATGCTGTTTTTAAAATTTGGGAATTCCAGAAAGGTTTCTTGTTCCGAAAAGCGACAATAATCATAAGATTATGATCGTAAGATTGAAGAGAAAGAAAAAGAAGGAATTGAGAAAGGAAGGGATAATGCAAAGATCCGAAGATTTTTGTTTGGTTCAGAATTGATCCTTCCAAATCTGGGTTGACAGATCGCACTAAGCCACAAGGTAGCCAGGATTCTTGGCTTAGTGCAATGCGTATGAACCCATATAGGACTGAAGCCTGCGGTGGTTTTTTTTTTTTTTTTTTTAGGATAATGTAATTTTCCTTGCTTTTCATAATAGAATGGAAATAGATTTCAATTGGTCCTGAGTTCAGATTTAAATTAGATCATCTCATCCTGTTGAACTGACCAGATCAGCGGGATGGGCTGATCTAATTTAAATCTGATATGATTTTGAATCCAGGAGCAATTGTCCCTTTTTCTGGGTCAGTTGAATGGGTTTGGTTAATCTAATTTAAATCTGATATGATTTTGATCTCAGGACCCAATAAAATCTATTTTCCCTTTGCGCCCCCATTGGCAGATGTCAGCTTCACCCAGATCTTTGCTTTTTTAAAATGTGACATTTAATTATGACTGATATTTATATTACTCCAGACCTCAGCCTGGCACATCAATCTTCCCCACAATTTTCTTAATTGCAGCCCGAAGGTTAAATAAAAGAGAATTTTTAAACAATGTGATAAATCTCTAGGTAGATTTTTCTTATATCTCCATCTTAAACTCTTCCTGCTTATGAATTCTCGAAAATGTATTTTGGAGCAGGAGATGTTCCCAAGAAAGGGACTCCCCCCACCCCCCGTTTGAAAATTGGGTTTGGGAAATAGGAAAGGAGCTCGGTGAAGATATAAGACGCAAATATTCTTAATTTTTCTGAACGTATTTTTCACAGTCTGAGTATCTACACAATGCAATAAAAAAATACTGCCAGTTTATTTCCATCCAGTACCAAAGGTTGAACGAGCCGGGTTATTTTTACTGTGTTCCTTAGTCAGATGCCCTGAGCCCTGGAGAGACAGACTACAGCACTGCAAACAATGTAATTTCCTGGTTTATTTAAGACGGGCAAAGGGGATCGAGGTTTATGAACCGTGCAAATCTCAGCTGACATGTTTCACCCGGCTGTTCCTTGCCAAAATGGGTGAAAAGAAGCAGAAATGCCAGTTCTGTTTGCTTTCAAAAACCCCAGTGACCGGGAAGCCAAAAGGAGCATTTGATTTATGTTTATTTTAGAGGTTTTTATATCCTGTGTTTATTACTTTTATAAATAAGTCAAGATGATGAAGCTACTTAATGCTTAAGGCGAACTACTTTTAAAAAAATTAAAGTCAAAGTTACAGTGACGGTGGAGATTAGAAATGAGGAGTGGGTGAACCCTGGAATGCAGTGTGACTTTTAAATCCGGGGAGGCAGTCCTTGACTTAGAAGAAAAGAAAAGAAAAGAGGAAAGGAAAGGAAAACGAGAAGGAAGGAAGGAGAGAGAGAGAGAGAGAAAGGGAAGGAAGGAAGGAGAAAGAGAAAAGGGAGGAAGGAAAAGAGAAATGGAAGGAAAGAAGGAAGGAAGGAAGAAAACAAAGGGAAGGAAGGAAAGAAGAGAGAAAAGGGAGGAAGGAAGGAAAGAAGAAGAGAGAGAAAGGGAAGGAAGGAAGGAGAAAAAGAAAAGGAAGGGAGGAAGGAAGGAAGGAAAAGAGAAATGGAAGGAAATGAAGAAAACAGAGAAGGAAGGAAAGATGAAGAGAGAGAAAAGGAAGGATGGAAGGAAGGAGAAAAAGAAAGGGAAGGAAGTAAGCAAGGAGAGAGGAAGGAAGGAAGGAAGGAAGGAAGGAAGGAAGGAAGGAAGGAAGGAAGGAAGGAAGGAAGGGAGAACGGGAAGAAAGGTCACAATTTGATTTGATAGCAAACTCTTTCAGTACACCAGGTTAGAAGGTGCTAATCAAACGCCGTGATTAAAATTTTTAATTTATTTTCTTTTACGGTTGCCACAGGCACCCACCGCTCTCTCTTGCCACCCCTGAACAGATAATATTTTTTTCCTCTCCTCTCTCCGTTTCAAAATCCCTATTGTTCCACTTGCTCTTCTGCCTGCTTAATCTTCTATTATCCCTCGGCTTCTGTGCAAATTCGGCGAGCGAAAAGCCTGGGGGTTAAGGTCCGATCCACCCCACCCCGAATCACGTCACCTTCCTGCTTTGTCTGCAGAAGGAATCTTCCACCCTCCCCAGCTTTCCAGAGGGGACTACATAAACCGTGAGGAGGATGAGCCGTTTAGGAAAAGCAAAGCTTATTTGCACAGAAAGAGTCTCAAGTGTCTCCACCCATAAATTAAAAACCCCTCCGTTTGAAACGGCAAACTGAGGCATGGTGAATATTTCAGGAGTGTCTTCCGCTCTGTTCCGTTTAGAATCATGAGGACTAGACTCTTTAAGAGAGGCTTAAAGATCAGGCTGCAAGTCAGAGCACTTTCTTCACATAGTTTTAATCCCAATTGCTAAAGCAGAGCTAAGGAAAAGCTCAATTAAAAACCTTGAAGGAGTTGTTGCAAAACAAGGCCTGGGACGAAACATCATCTCAGGCCTTCAATTAACCATGGTTAAACCAGCTTGGAAAGGCTGCACCAAAGCCTTACGTATAGAGGAATGTCTGAAACAGCTTACTTTTCCCCTCCTAATCCCTTCCTCAAAGCAATTTTTTATTATTTGCTAAAGCAGATAAAGAAATATCTTTATCCTTCGGTAAAGGGCGGAATTTCAAATTTAATCAATGTCGTTCTGGACCCCCCCCCCAAAATTTTTTAAAAAACTTTACAGCCGTTACAGAGGGCTTATTTCAATTTATTTTGTCCTTTAAAGGGCAAGCCTAGCTAGCTAAAAAGATGGAGGAATGTCTCTTGTGCTATCCAGAGAGCAAAAATCCTGCCCATCGCTTTAAGTCACCTTAAGCCAAATGTTGGTTGTTGATTGGGCTGAGAGAAGTGGTATATCCAAATATATTTTGTTCTTTGGACCGTTTGCATCTTCCCTTAAAATAGGAACAGAATCCACAATGGTCTGAGAATCAGGGTCTCCAAGTTAATCCAGGTAGGTAATAGTAGTAAAGTTGGAAGGGACCTTGGAGGTCATCTAGTCCAACCCCCTGCTCAGGCAGGAAACCCTACAAATGGCTGTCCAGTCTCTTCTTAAAAACTTCCAGTGTCGGAGCATTCACCGCTTCTGGAGGCAGGCTGTTCCACTGGTTAATTGTTCTCACTGTCAGGAAGTTTCTCCTTAGTTCTAGGTTGCTTCTCTCCTTGATTAGTTTCCAGTTAGTAAACTTCCTCAAACAAGTTCCCCAGGCCTAATCCACATATCAAAGGAGAAGGTCTGCAAACACAAGAGTTAATTAAAAATTACGTCTCCCAGCAGAACTGTATGTTCACAAGAACAGATACATGTAGGGATGCCATAGATGTAAGAGTGAGGACTTTTCGTAAGTGACTTTTTTCAACGCCTTCGTAACCCCGAACGGTTGCTAAATGAACAGATGTCAAACGAGGACGCTCTGGGCTCTATATCTGCCATCAGTCTGGTTCCCAAAAACCAGACCTTTCCAGACTCATTTAAACAATGGCAACCTGGGGTTTGTAACAGTTCCAGCTTGTCATTTTTGTGTAGATGGGCACAAAATCGTGCCGAAAAAAGGAGGGGGAATAGCGAGGGTTACGGTTTTTTTTCCAGCCAAAAATCAGGAGGGAAAATTCCCACTCAATCCGACGGCCTCAGCAGTTTGGAATTTGCACCCCAAAGGCGATAGAGAAGAGGAGGATTGTTCGGCTACACAAAAGGGTCCTTTGATTGCAAATGTCGCAATTTTGAGATCACTCAGCAATGTCCTGCCGTGTGCTTCAAGCAGCGACCGAGGATCACAAGGGGTTTTTATATGGAAGGAACTTCCCACTTCTCAAATGGAGGGGTGGGAAGGCAGAAAAGGGGGAGAGAAATCCACAAAAAAAAAAAAAAAAACCCAAACGCCTTGTGGGTTTTCGTATCACAACAATGAGATGGTGTCTCTCTCTCTCTCTCTTTCTCCTTCCCTTCGTTTTATTGATTTGACTTTGATTATTCGTCAGGTTTTTATCCCACCTTCATTAGTTTTATCAATAAATCAAGGTCGTGAGCAGACCTCATGCTGGCTCAAAGGGACTAGCCCAAAATCAGTCAATCAGTCAATCAATCAATCAGTGAAACCATGGTTTCCGGATGTGGCAACTGTCAACGGATCTACTTTTGGGCTTTGAAATTTCATTTAACCTGTTTGTTGCTAAGTGGTGTTGCCTTTTGGGGATCTGGGCAAAAGCCTTAGGAAAGTGATCAGGGATTTACCCATTCATTAATTTACCGATTAATTTCACCTCTGTCTGCTTTTTTTTTTCTTTTTCTGCAGTGCTGTCTCCAACCTTGGCCATCAAAGTTTACACGGCAAACGAGATCCACGGCACGGTGGGATCTAAAATTAAGCTGTCTTGCTCTTTCTGGTCCAACGAGTGGATCTCCGACGACATTTCCATCACTTGGCACTTTCAGCCGGAACGTGGAAAGGACAGCATTTCGGTAAAAAAAAATTATATTTTTGTATCTATTGATACAATAGAACTTGCTAGAAGAGGAGAAACTTCAGCGTTGTAGTAGGAGAACTACATATAATATTTTGGCTGTAAAACTTCAGATGTCCACCCGAGGGCCAGAGCAAAAACAGAGTGTTAGCCTCTGCCGCCCTCTTGTGGTTCCATTTATATTGCAGCCCTGATCTGATTCTTCTCGTGCAGGTGCTAATTTTCGTCCCACCAGTTGTTCTGTTCTTATTCAACCCCAGATATTTCACTACGCCAAAGGCCAGCACTACATTGACAACGTTGGGTCCTTCAAGGAGCGCATCGAGTGGATCGGGGACCCTCGCTGGAAAGACGGTTCCATTATCATCCATGACCTGGAATACACCGACAACGGGACCTACACTTGCGATGTCAAAAACCCGCCGGACATTGTGGGGAGAACATCACAAGTCACCCTCTACGTCTTTGAGAACGGTAATGCTCGTTGACCGGCGAGAAATTGTTTGTGGTGTTACTATGATCTTCCCGTTTTTAATAAGTGTCCATCTTCTCCATCTCTTCCTTTTCCATCTTCTTCTCCATCACCTCTTCCTCCTCCTCCTTCTCCTTTTCCATCTTCTCCATCACCACCACCTCCTCCTCCTCCTCTTCCATCTTGTCCTTCTCCATCTTCTCTTTCTGCTTCTCCTTTTCTTTGTCCATCTCCATCTTCTCCTTTTCCTCCTCCATCTCCTCCTCCTCCTTCTCATCTTTTCCTCACCTTTGTCCATCTTCTCCCTCCCTCCCTCCCTTCCTCTCTCTCTCTCTCTCTCTCTCGCTCTGTCTCTCTCTCCTTTCCTTCTTCTCCAGTTCCTACCAGATACGGTGAGGTCCTGGGTGGCATCATCGGAGGCGTCTTGGCTGTGGTCTTAGTGGTCCTGCTGATAGCTTACCTCATCAGATACTGCTGGCTGAGGAGACAAGCCACCCTACAGAGGCGGCTCAGGTAAAACCAGAAATCACCCCACCCCCCCGCACGCGGTTCCTCTACCGCTATCCTTCTCTCGCTAAAGTTGCAGGAAATCCTTCTTTCGAGATCCCTTTGCCAGCTTTCCAGCCTCAGGCCAGGCTGGGGGATGATGGGAATTGTAGTCCTGCCTCACCGGTGGGCCTCTGATTCGCTTTCGGCTCTCTTAGCCTTGCCTGGAGTTGCAGCAAAGAAGCAACCGGGGAGGGGTGGGGGGGAGGGCTATGCTAATCCCACCACAAAGTCTTGTCCTTCCCACTCCCTTTTAAACACAAAGCACGCACCCCCCCACACACACATGCATGTACTGCAACAAGAGAGGGAGCAAAGAAAGGGCAATTTCCCCACGTGTGTGTGTGTGTGTGTGTGTGTGTGTGTTTTAAATCCTTTAATTGCCAGGCTTTGGGTGCAGGATTTGAGCATAATTGGTTTAGGCTTCCTTGCTCGGAAAACGGCTCCCCCGTTTTCATCATTGTACCTCAACGCGCATCTCTGCTTTTGTCTCCGATTAGCGCGATGGAGAAAGGGAAACTGAGGCTGGGGAAGGATTCTTCTAAACGGCGTCATCAGGTGAGCCTTTGGGGGCGCGAGAGGAAAACAACCCCCCCCCCCAAGTAAGGATCTGTTAGACTTACAGGAAGTCCTCAACGTACGGCCGTAATTAGTTTGTCTGAAATGGTATAGGCCCTATTCTATTCTATTCTATTCTATTCTATTCTATTCTATTTCCTGGCCAACCTTCTCTTCTTTTCTCTCCCCTCTTGATAGACCCCCGTCCTGTACGCCATGCTGGATCACAGCCGCCTAACCAAGAGCGACAAGAAATCCAGGGGAGGCTTTGGAGACTCGCGCAAAGATAAGAAATAGCGGTTAGCCGGCAGAGAAGGTATCGAGAAGAAGGCGGCCAAGAGGCAGGTGGTCATGACCATCGAGATGGAACCGAAGAAGGACCACCTCGAGGCCGAAGGCCTCAAGCCCGCCGTCAAGTCCCCCAGCAAGAACAGCCTCAAAAACGCGCTCATGAATATCATTAAAAGCGATTCGGCCTTATAATTTGAACGCGGGGCCTTTCCTGGCCTTCCTCTTCTCAGGGGGGGAAGCCAGGAGGCCCCTTTCTCCTCCACCCAGTCCTCTTGGCTTTGCTAGGACCACCAGATCGGGGGTGCAGTACCTCTGACTGCCAGCTGGAGGCAGCAAGGAGTGGGTTTGCGGGTCCCTGCTGCCACCTGCTGGCCCCTTGGAAGTTTGCAGCCCACCAACAGTGCTTTAATGCACGTTTCCCAATCTTACCATCGTTTAAAAGGCATGGACTACAACTCCCAGGTTTCTGGCTGGCAAATTCTGGGCGTTGTAGTCCACCCATCTTAAAGCCGAGAAACAGAAGCGTAGGCGAGTTATGTGGTCATCTGTACTGCTGCGATAATCTTGACTTCAATCTGCTACAATCCAACATTTTGTGTTAGCGTTTTTGTACCCTCCCAATGTCCCCCAAACTCACCAACTCGGGTACACACGCGCGTAAATAACTCACAAAAACCTGCAGGAGATTTGCTTATAATTTTCACTCAAGGGAGATTTTCATCAGCCCCTGGACCCCCGTTCATCGCCATGAGGATAAAGCAGACTGGGTGCCCCGTCCTTTTAACCCTTCCGAATTCTTATAAATTGGCCCGAAAGATGCTAAATTGTTGTCCCCAAACGGTGCCTTCTTCTGCTCTAACCACTGTGGATCTCTTCCGCTCCGTGATTCGAGCACAGATGTAATTTTCTTTCCTGCGGTTTTTTTTTCCTTTTTTTCTTTCTAATCCAAGGATCAGATTTTAGCATCTCACAAACTCACAAAGGGAGTTTAATTTCCTTCAGGCAGGGATTCTGCCCAGGAGAAACAAAAACATCTCATTTGCGAAAATTCTCAGTTGAAACGAAAGAAGAAAAAGCGATTTTTATTTTTGAAAAAAATGCCCCAAGGACTTCTATCGCACGCGCGCTCTCTCACTCTCTCTCAGATCCTAAGAGTAGTGATCCTAAAGAGAGATTTCATTTTAGGCCAAATTCGGAGCCTCCTGCTTGAGCAAAGCATCAGAGACATTTCAGGGCAGGTAAAAAAAATTATTAATCATTAAAAATAACCCACTAAGACGATCCCTAAAATTTCTCAAGGAGGGGGGTTTTGCTCATTTTAAAAGAGGCAGCCCAATTTGGTCTGTTGGGAAATTCTCGCCCCGTTGCAAAAAGTTGGTGCAAACCAGCTAAACCAATTTTTTTCCCCCTACAATAGAGAGAGAGAGAGAGAGAGAAGAAAAAATGCAGATTATTTTCTGCCAGTTTCCTCCAAAGTCTGTCGAAGCAGACGAATTTATATTTCTCTTCTGACTTGTTTGACATTTTCGGAGCGTCCCCCGAGAGGGAAATTAAACCATCGTCTTGACAGCCGCAAAACCTTGCCATACGATCTGCAAAAGGGAGGTTGGGAGGAAGTTTATGATTAACCTGCGGAGATATTCTATTGATTTTTTTTCCTTCTTCTTCCTTGCTGTGCTCTGCCCGGTGACCGAACTCTGCATGACGTTAAGTGGGTAGGCAAAGATCAAGGGTTGCATTTTCCTCCCCCCACCCCGTTTATTCTGCTTCTGTTTTGGTGTTGTTGGTTTTTTTTTTTAATTAATCTGTTCAGATTAACTATTAGGACAACATGTTCCAGCAGCAACAAAACAGCCAAAAAGACAGGATGTCCCAGATCATTTTGTTAGCAAACACACACAACAGCTTCGGTTCGTGAAAGGGACCTTGGAGGTCATCTAGTCCAACCCACTTCTCCAGCAGGAATTCTTTTTTTCAGACAATTTTACATCCCTTTCTCGCCAGTGTCCTTTGGCATGTTTCTTGCCTCTTCAAATCACGCAACATCGAATGACGGTGCTAAATCCATGTATATAAGCAGACAATTCCCACAGAACCTCAACAGGACAGTTCTGTGTAGCACATGTTGTCACAAGTAGGCCTAGAAAACTAAACTGGGTTTTGTTTTTTTTAAAAAAAATCCCAACATGTACAATTTCCTCGGGGTTTTCCCGACCCCATGGATGTCTTTCCAAAAAAAAAAAAACAGCCGTCGCCAAAAACAAACAGACATCATTAAAATGACAAAGAATTAATTAAAAAGACTGACATTTCTATACCAAGCTGGCTTCCTTGTGGTCTGTGATCCTGATAGTAAACTTGAAGTAAAAAAAGGTAGGGGAATCCCCGCGGATTTTACTCCTCGAGTTGTGGTTGATTATACGAGGCGCTGGTCGTCTCCGTTTCAAGGCCATTTGAGCCAGTGCTGTCCGTAGACATTTTCCACAGTTGTGGTCAACGCGACGCCACGGAGCACCGATACCTTTGCACCGATGTGGTACCTATTTATCTACTCACATTTGCCTGCTTTTGAACTACAAGGTTGGCAGGAGCTGAGATGAGACAGACAGACAGACAGACAGCAAGATAGAAGCTAAGGATGATGGAGGGAGATAGACAGACAGAGATAGAGTGATAGATATCTGTCTCATCTAATCTATATTACTCTATTTGTCTCTATATCGATCTATATATATCTATATATCTCTATACCTATCTATATCCATCTAATCTATCATCTGTATATATTTAAATCTATATATCTATATATCTAATCTACATCTACGTACCTACCCATCTATATCTCTATACCTATCTATATCCATCTATCTTATCTAATCTATATCTACATATATATATATATATATACATCTACCTATCTATCTCAAACCAGAACATTGAAATCTGCAAATAGGAGCTGTGCCAAAAGTTCAGACAGAAAGAAGAAAAAAGACAAAAGACTAAAACCAGGTTTTTCCCGATTATTTTATTAACATGCTAAACATGTCAGTCTTCAAAGCAGGTCAGTCAGTGCCCAGGATGACAGCTTTTATTCATTCTTGACAATGTTTCATTGCCCGTCACGAATTTCGCAAACACCACTGGCCCAGAAGTGGAATGGCTGTGAGGCAGCTAAGGGGGGCAGGGGGGCGGAATGTGTGCATGCCCTTGGTGGATAGATCTAGGCTTGTTTTTGTTCTTTCTTGGCTCGTAATAAGCTGGCCCCTGAGGAGGGAAGCATGGCTTTGTAGCTAGCAGCCCTTTTTTGTGGGTGAACGGACAGAGAATTCGGGGTGCTGAGATCTGATGGCCCCATAGGACGGACACTGAGTTTGCTAACAATGCTCGGATGCTCTTTTACTGGAGAATGGCTTAAGGACGTTGAAGCTGACTTCGTAAAAAGCATTTTGGACACTCAAAAATATCGTGGGAGGGAGCTCCCAATTTTGCTCGCGGTTTCACTCTTATTGGTGCAAAAGACAGGTGCCTCTAGTGCAAAATATTCCTTTGGGCACAGGGTGAAAAGAGACTCTTCTCTCTTTTCAACACGTTGTCCAGGTTGGCATCGAGTCTCGGGACTTGATTTCCTGTTTTGAAAATAGGCTCATTTTAGAATATTAAACTAATAATTTTCCCTGCATCGGGCTTATGGCTCTTTGAATGAATTTGCCGGGTTTTTCATAATGTCTCGGTCAGTGGAATGGAACAACTCATCATGGCCAACGTGCTGCGGGACGAACTCGCCATAAAACAATCCAACAAATGCAAAAGTTAAATTTAATTTCGATGGGACCGTGGCCAACAATAATAAAATAAGGGAAGTCAACCCAGAAAGAATTGTGTTAATTTCAAATGAAAACATGGTCACCAGTGATAAAAGTAACTGAATGAAATAATTTTATGTGTTGAATTGTCCCACATTGAGTTGACAAGTTGGCAGCGGCAAGTTGTCCTAGCTCAGGGGTAGGCAACCTCGGCTCTTTTATGACTCGTGGACTTCAACTCCCAGAATTCCTGAGCCCGCATGGCTCAGCTTGGAAACCTCTCCCTTTCCCCTCAGTACGGCTGGCTCAGGAATTCTGGGAGGGGGGGGGAATAATTTCCCGTCAATATGGCATCTTCACTATAAATGTTTTTAGAAATAGGCATCAAGGGGGGAATTGCATTCCCAATCTCCTAAAAAAGGAGACTAAAATCTTGGAAAACCCCCCCCCCACATTTATGGAGTAACAATCCCCCCTTGATGATAGATGGGAGGAAAAAAGGATGAAGAACTTGGTTCAAATCGACCCAACGGCTATTCTAATCATCCTAGCCTAGGTTTCCTACCTATATCTTGTCCTCAACTTACGGCCACAGCAGAACCTCAAATTTCAGTCATTGTGGTCGTACGTTGAGGCATAACCGGCCTCAATTTCACAACTGTTCTTAGAAAAGTTATAAAGCGAGTCACACAGTAGTCATCCAACAAATCACGTCGTTCTTCCGAATGGCTGTTTTTTTGGAGCAGGAAGCAGCAAAAAAAGGTCACAAACAGCGACCGTGGGACAACGCAACCATCACAAATGTGAGCTGGTTGCCGAGTTCCTCAACTGCTAATCTCTGCCGACAGAGGCACGGCAGTCGTAACTTTGAGGATGAGTCAGAAGTAGATTTTTTTTTAAGCTCGTTGTAACCTCGACCCGCTGGTTAGACAACTGGTCGTAAGTCGAGGATGTAGCGACATCTCTCGCTCTGCCAGCTTCCGGCGAAGCAGAGTGGAAGGCGCGTGTGTGCTCAGAGGCCCCTTCCACCCACCCCACCCCATCCCCTCCCTTCCTCTGCTTTGAACATTTTTCCAGGACGTGCAAAAATTAAATTAAATGAAGATCAGAGGACCCCCCCTTCCTCGGGGTGGGAAGACAAGAGAGGAAATGGAATTGCGGCGGGTTTGGGGGACAGGAAAAGGAAAAGCGCGTCAAGGCGAGGCGGGAAGACTTCGGAAAGGCTCAGGAACTGGGGTCCTGTTTCCGTTTTTGGAAACGCCGGAATTTTCCTTGGATGGCAAGAGCAGCTTTCTCCGTTTCCGGGGCATTTAAATCAATATCAATTTCTTCCTCTTCGGGCTCCGTTTTCTTGGGGGTTTCGGCTTTGTCTGCAGGGAGAAAGCAGTCAGTGGAGTTTTTCAGCCTGGTTGCAAACGAGACCCTCGTTAGACCAAACAACGGCCCCCTCCGGCCTCCAAAATAAGTTGAATATTTTAGATATTTTTCCCGCCCAGTTCCCAGTTCCTCCCCCCCCCCGCCCCAGAAAGTCACTTGCTTTTGGCAATATTTTACTTACCAAATGCCACAGTCCAAATGCAGTTAAACCCCCCCCCCACACACACACACAGTTGTGCACCCCTCATCATTAAAACACACCCAGATTTTAAACATTTTTAATCCTTGGACAGTGGATGAAAAATTTAGCAAAGGAAACCAGGGTATCTGGGCATTGCGTTAACTTACAAGCGGACAGGGTAACCTAGCAACCAGAAGCGGACAACCACCTATAATGGAACATAGACAAGAGAGCATCACTGCTTCCACGTTGCCTAGCAACTGCTATCCAATAAGATGAGAGAGCATCCCTGCCTCTTTACCTTTATCCTTTTCTTGCAAAAGATACTGGGAAAGGTACCAGATAAGGTGCTGGGTTCAAGTTCTCAGCAACAGATGGCTCCTCCCTCTCCACCTAGCCTACCTCACAGGGTTATTGTTTTTTGGGGGGGAGGGCGAGGTGGTAATACTACCATGAGTTCAAGTCCTGCCTTAGCCAGGAAAGCCAGAGGGAGACTTTGGGCCAATCACCAGGAGATGGTAAGTTCTAGTCCTGCCTTAGCCAGGAAAGCCAGCTGGATGACTCTAGGCCAATCACCAGGAGACGGTGAGTTCTAGTCCTGCCTTAGGCACAAAAACCAATGGTTGACTTTGCACCAATCACCAGGAGATGGTGAGTTCTAGTTCTGACTTAGGCACGAAAACCAGCTGGGTGACTCTGGGCCAATCACCAGGAGACGGTGAGTTCTAGTCTCGCCTTAGATACGGAAAACAGCTGGGTGACTTTGGGCCGATCACCAGGCGTTGGTGAATTCTAGTTCTGCCATAAGTCGCGAAAGCCAGCTGGGTGACTCTGGGCCAATCCTCCCACCTACCTCACAGGGTTGTTTTTGTGGGGAAAACAGGAGGAAAGTGCATTGGATATGTTCACTGCCTCGAGTTATTGGTAAAAACAATAAAGGCGGGATACCAATAAATGAAATAATCCACAAAGAAAGGCACTTAAAAAGGAGTTTTTGACCACCTATCCCAGAAGTAAAGGCACAATTTACAGCCTCTGTGGCCTCCTCCATGTGCCTAGATAACATTCCTGGTTAATTGATTGGCATAAGTATATATATTCCCCCCTTCCCCCCCCCGTTTGACAGCCAAATCTTTGAGAATACCTCCAGGATCTCTCTCACCTTTTTCTTCCTGCCTGGGGACTTCTCTGGAGATGGGTGATTCATTGGAGGTCAGCTGCGGAGAAGAAAAGAGAATAAATTGCTGGGGAAAGAGAGAGAGAGACAGAGAGAGAAGGCGGTCACCAGGATTCGGATCCCCGCGGGGGTCCTCCCAGAGGGAGCAGCTTTGGAACAGAAGGCTGGCCTCGTGACCTATTATTATTATCCTGAACACCTTGTGGAATTGGTTTTGCGGGAGCTCCATGGTTTTTTTTTTGTCTTGCTTTTTTTATCCTTGCAAAAAGAAGCTTTTGTTTTTCGGAATTCTTTCTTTCTTCTGTGCATCCTTCCCAACACGAAGGCTGCATCAGTTTCCAAAGGTGTTTCACAAAAATTTATATGCCACAAATTAATCTGTTTGTCTATTCCTTTCCTCCCTCCCTCCCTCCTTCCCTCCCTCCCTTCCTTCCTTCTTTCTCCCATCCCTTCTATCTATCTATCTATCTATCTATCTATCTATCTATCTATCTATCTATCTATCTATCTATCTATCCATCTTTATATGTATTATTTATCTATCATCCATCTATCCATCCATCTCTGTCTATATTCCCTATTCTATCTATCTATCTATCTATCTATCTATCTATCTATCTATCTATGTATTATCTATCTATCTCTATATGTATTATCTATCTATCATCCATCTGTCTATATTCCTTATTATATCTATCTATCCATCTCTATATTATCTACCTACCTACCTACCTACCTATCATCTATCTATCCATCCATCCATCGCTATCATCTATCTCTATTATCTTTGTCTCTCTATTTCTCTGCCTTATCTATTTATCATCCATCCATCCATCTCTGCCTATCCTCTAACCCAATTATCCCTCTCTTTCTCATTTTCTTTCTCATTTTCCGTTTTAGACGCTTAAGACAAATATAACAATAATATGCTCTCCACGAATAGCATCACATAATAATACATAAAACGGTGAACAATACGCAACAATTCGGTGCCAGGTAGGTCGGGAGGTCTCTCTCTCTCTCTCTCTCTCTCTCTCTCTCTCTCTCTCTCTCTCTCTCTTAACATGTTATGGCATGCAATCCGTGTCCCGTACATTTCCACGCGACTCTGCCAGCCGCTTCAGAGTCAGACAGTTGAAGACAAACACGAGCCATAAATAATTCATTTAATAGGTGGACCAACGGCTGCGCCAAGAAGGAGAAAAGGGAGGTCACAAAAGGAGAAGCCAGTGTGTGTGTGTGTGTGTGTGTGTGTGTGTGTGTGTGTGTGTAGATGACACTAATGGACCTAGGGGTAGTGACCCTTCCCAAAGAGCTGGTGCGGCCCAGACTAGGTGCAGTAAGGAAGCAGGACCAGCTTGATTTTAAGGGAAGGTCACCTGGAGAAGAGTCTTATGCCAGGAAAGAGATTTAAACAGGTGTCTCTCTGGGTTGTGGTGCCCGCAAAGGTTGCTTGCTCGCAGCCTGGCTGGGAAAGTAGAAAGCAAAACAGCAGATTCCCCGGAGCAGCGCGCAGAGTGTGGCCAGCCGCAGCCTGTGCACGCAGAGGAAGCCATCTGATCTTTATTAGACCCCGGTGGGCAATTAAGCTGGAAAAGAGCAATTAAACTCTCTTTTTCTTTCCTTCCAATTTCTGAATCCATCCTGGTCACCCCGGAATTATTTATTATTATTTTTTTATATGCAGCTAGTCCTCAACGTATGACCACAACTGTTGAAAAGTGAGACACACACAGGAGCTTGTTTCCCAAGCTAAGCCTCCAAAACTTTTGAATTTACTTATTTATTGGGTTTTTAAAGCGGTCAACTCTTGTGACCCTGGGGCATGTGCCGAAATTAAAAACATCCATAACAGAGCAATATAAACTGGGATGGTTGCTACCCTGCCTCTCTTTCTCTGGGACTACCCCTCCCATCATCCTGACCCTCCGGATGGGACCCCCACCCTCGCAGAATTTGGAGGTGGGGATGCTGCAACTCAGCCCCTGTGCCCAAATTCTCACCCCCCCCCTTCCCTGGAATTTTGGAAGGCAGATTGTTCTTTTTTTAAGCCTTTCTCCTTGAGAAGAGGTCTCTCCTCTCCTTTCTCTGTTGCTGAGGCAACTGCAAATGCATCCCATAATGAGCACACCATTGCAGACAGGGAGAGACTAGAAAAGAGACAGGAGAAACAGCAGCATATGTTCCGAAGATCACCCAGGAAGAAACAAGAGCAGAGAAAAAAAAAAAGGCATTTTGGGGGGAAGATGAGAATAGGGGAAAATCCAGATGGAATTTGCTTCCATAAATGGATCTCTCTCTCTCTCTCTCTCTCTCTCTCTCTCTCTCTCTCTCTCTCTCTCATCTTTCTCTTTATCTATCTTTCTATCTATCTCTTTCTCTAACTCTCTAACTTTCTCTCTAACACACACTCTCCCTCTCTCTCTCTCTTTCTCTCTAACTCTCTTTCTCTAACTTTCTCTTTCTCTCTAACTCTGTCCCTCCCTATTTATCTCTCTCTCCCTATTTCTCTCTCTTCCTATTTATCTCTCTCTCCCTATTTCTCTCTCTCTTCCTATTTCTCTCTCTCTCCCTATTTCTCTCTCTCTTCCTATTTCTCTCTCTCCCTATTTCTCTCTCTCTTCCTATTTCTCTCTCTCCCTATTTCTCTCTCTCTCCCTATTTCTCTCTCTCTCCCTATTTCTCTCTCTCTAATGCTCTCTTTCATCTATCTATCTATCTATCTATCTATCTATCTATCTCTATCTCTCTTTCTCTTTATCTCTCTCTCTCTAACTAACACACACACTCTCTCTCTCTTTCTCTTTCCATCCATCCATGTTTTTAACGGGCTAAATCTTAATATGTGTGATATGCCATACGTTAAGTAAATCAATAAATGGAAAATACCAGCTCTTAAAAGTTCCCCACATCTCAGACAAGGGATATCAATCTTCAAACAAAGCCAAGCTAAATCAGCAGAGTCTTTGCATGCCATCTCCTGGGAGAGAAATCGAGCATAAGTAATTAAAATCAATTTTAGGAATTGTCAGAATTAAGGAGAAGGAAGAAGGGGGGGGTCGTCAATGCAGTCAGCCCGATTCATGTCCTTAGATGAGGATAGAGTCCCTCAGATGCAAAATAATAATAAAATAAAATAATAAAATAAATAATCAATAATCAATAAAATAATATAAAAAATAAAATAATAAAATAAATAATCAATAAAATAAAGTAAAATAAAGAATTAAAATAAACAAAATAAAACGAATAAAAAAATAAGGGTTTATTAAAAAAAAAGGAATATATTTTGTTCTGAAGGCTCTGCATTGTTTTGAATTATCATCCAAAATCCTTCCATTAATCTGAGTTGAATCCTGAATGTTGGAGTGCTTTGAAAGGCCGCCCACACCATACATTAAGAGATGGAAATTTGGCAATTCGGTTTGGCACTAAGTGGCAATAATTGCTATTGGCTTGGTAATTTTTCTATTAAAAATAATTTGATGTCTGGTTTGCTGCTAAACGGGAGAAGCAAGCAAGGATCTTGCTAAACCTGGCTGGGAGGCCAGAAGGAAAATCCATGGTTTGGAGGCTAAATTGGGAATTTTTTTAAAAAAGGCAGTCCTTGTTTCATGACCAAAATAGGACTGGCAAATCGGTTGTTAAGTGAATCGGTCACTAAATGGAACCATGACTATGCATATAGTCTTCCTTCGGCTTGGCTTTGCTTTAAAGTCTCACAAAGATTGTTAAGGGTGGGTTGCAACTTAAACAAACAAACAAACAATGGAGGTAGTTCTTATTTAACGACCGTATTTGCGACTGGCAACTCAAGTCATTAAACGAAGGGGTCACTACGTGAAGCCACAATTGTGCTTACAGTCTTACTTCAAAGCTTCCCTTTGCTTTACAGAGTCACAAAGGTGGTTAAGCGTGTTCAGTTGTTATATTTTTTTAAAATCACTGTCCTAACAGGGAACGGGCACTAAACAAGGCGGCCGCTAAACGAGGTGGCAAACTCCCTTCGTGCTCTTGCAAGAAAATCAAGTGAAACTCTTTCACGTTTTATTGCACCTTGATAAAGAGCTGAATAAAATTTGTGCAGTTTTTTGGATCAGCCCCAGGACTGTCTATCTAACCATGGGGAGGGGGGGACAGGGGCGCTGCAGAGACACCCCAATGGGACATGGAGGCGGGGAGGGGGAGAAAAGAGGAGACAAGCCCCTGAGGCATCCAGAAACTCTCAAGTTGTGTTAATTAAGTGTCCCCTTGTGTAACATTGCAGTCTTAAATTAGCCCGGTGCCAACTGGCTTTAGTTTTGCAAATCAATACCTTTCTCGGTTCTGCAACTTTAGCACAATCCCGACTCTTTTTATCCATTTTTCTTTTTTATTAATTTACATCGAGGTGCTCTTCACGAATCCTTCCTCTAATATCTCAGGGGCTGCCCCAAAGAAGAGGGAGTCAAGCTCTTCTCAAAAAGCGCCTGAAGGCAGGACAAGAAGCAACAGATGGAAACTGCACAGGTAGTCCTCCGCTTACAACTATATTCACTGAAAGACCGAAGTCACAACGGCATTGAAAAAAGGGACTTACAACCGTTTTTCACACTTAGGACCATTGCGGCATTCTCATGCTCGGGGGTCAAAATTCAGACGCTTGCCAACTGACTCACATTTATGACGGTGGCAGTGTCCTGGGGTCAAATTTTCCTTCCATCAGGGATGTCCTACAGCGGGCACAACCTCGAACCCAGATTAACAAACCAAGTTAGGGTATTCTCGCAAGAGGTGACGCTGCCCAAATGAAGCCACACGCACCCTTGACCGATGGAGCAGGGGGTTGGACTAGATGACCTACAAGGGCCCCTTCCACCTCTGTTCTTCTATTTCTATTTCTATTGACTTGCTTCCCCCAGCTTGCTGGGACACTGACTGAATTCTCCCAGGATGCTAGACTCCCAAAGGTTTTGTCTTGTGCCACGTGTCAATTAAGCCAACTATGATAGGTTGTCCTGACCAAACTAGGGGGAAAAAAAGGATGGATTTCCATTCCTGGCTTTCTCTGAATTTCGAAATTTTGTTCCCCTGGACTTTGGGGATGAGAGGAAGTCGGGAAGTTGGTTTAATCTGTTGATTAAATTGATTTATTCCACTGTCTTTGGAGGTCTCCTGGCAGATTGCAATTAAAACCCAACATCAGATAGGAAACTCGGGGCATTACAAATAATTAAACAGTTATCAACAAGGGCTGGCTTGAAAGGGCTGGCTTTCCAGCAAATTGTATGCCTTCGTTTATTTATTGACAAGGCTTATACATCACTCCCGTTGGATAGCTTTATGACATAACGGTGGGGGAAAAAAAAGGGCAGAGTTGAAAATGGCAAAACCCAGTGCCAGAGACGGATTAAAACTCTAGATTTGTCAAATTGCGGATTAATTGCGGAGGGGAAACAGCTCACAAATTTCTCCTCTGCAAAAGCCAGATTTTGGAAAAAAAAAAAAAAAAAGCAGAGTAAACACCTCTCAGCTTTGAGGACAATGTTATTTAACATCTATTTTCTGGGCTGCCTGTTTGATTTCAACGTTTTGAGCTCTGTTGATGCTAGTTTTGTCTGCCGCCCAGGTTTCTAATTGGAGTTCGGAGGCCGATAACATTCGGGTAAATAAATATAAATGTTTGAAAACACAGATGGGGGTTGAATCGGAGAAAGATAGCTCTGCACAGGCAGTCCTTGACTTACAGCTGTCCGTTTAGCAGCCGTTGGAAGTGACGACGCCACTGAAAAAGTTAGGGCCGTAAAAATAGGACCCCAAATTCATTAATGTATTGCACGCTCCCAAGGTGACTCGGTTCCAAAAAGGGACAGGACGCTGTTAAAAAAAAAAAAAGATAGAAAACCGTGCCTGCAGCGCTCCCAAGTTGAAAATATTATTTCATCTGCATCCCGCTCTCTCTCTCTCTGATTGCTCAATTAAAAAAAGAAAGTTTATTTAAATTTATTAGCGCTCGTGGCTTTATTGGCACAAGAATATGTCAGATTTGCAAAAAACGAGAGAGAGAGAGAGAGAGAGAGAGAGGGAGGGAAGGAGGGGGAGAGAGAGAGAGACCATTGACTTTCTGTCAAGTATGAGAAATGAATTATTAATTCCATATTTGGCTAGAATATATATGTATGGAAATTTGCACCGGAGCCATGCAGAAAAGCTAAATTTCCTCTGGCTTTATATAGGTTAGATGAGGGGGATTAACGTGCTTCGAAAACTCTTTGCTGTGCCCAGTTAACAAATTAATGAATGTTGTCAAAGTGACAACATTCCGGCGTTTCGGGGGATCTGGAGCTAATGGGGTAGAAAGACGGCCCCGATTTGAGTTCTTTCAAGAAAGTGAAACTTTGGCCAAAGTTACTGAGGTTAGGATTTAACGGACGATTCGAGAGGTATCGATGTGCATGTTTGTGCATGGAGTCGGCATCGAAAGGCAAATGTAAATGGTAAAAGAGGGGTTTCCCATAATAGCTCCCCTTCTGTGTTTTAAGTGTGTGTGAGGAAGACCTGGGGAGACTGGGCCGAAAGACGTTGCCAAGAGAACAGAAAGAGATAAGAGACAGCTCGGCCCTCGGAAGGGCTGGGAGCGTGGAAAACATCTCTCAACTTTGACAACTTGAAGATGTGGGGACTTCAACTCTTAAAATTCCCCTCCTTGTTCATCTCCTCCTCTTCCTTCTCGTCTATCCTTCTCCTTCACTGTCTCCTCCTCCTCCATCTTCTCCTTGTCTATCTTCTCCTTCACCTTGTTTATTTTCTCCTTCTCCTCCTTGTCTATCTTCCCCTTCTCCTTCTCCAGTCCTCCTCCTCCTCCCTGTCTATCTTCTCCTTCTTCTCCATCTTCTCCTTGTTTATCTCCTCCTCCTCATCTATCTTCTTTTCTCCTGCTCCTTCTCATCCTCTTCTCTTCTCCTGCTCTCCTCTTCTCCTGCTCCTCCTCCTTGTCTATCTTCTCCTTCTCCATCTTCTCCTTGTTTATCTCCTCCTCCTCTTCATCTATCTTCCTTCTCCTGCTCCTCATCCTCTTCTCTTCTCCTGCTCCTCCTCATCTATCTTCTCTTCTGCTCCTCATCCTCTTCTCCTGCTCCTCCTCATTTCTTCTCCTGCTCCTCCTCCTTGTCTATCTTCTCCTTCTCCTTCTTTCCATCTTCTCCTTGTTTATCTCCTCCTTCTCCTCCTTGTCTATCTTCTCTTCTGCTCTTCCTGCTCCTCTTTGTCTACTCCTCCTCCTCCTTCTTCTTGTCCTCCTTGTCTATTTTCCTCTTCCCCTTCTCTCCTCCTCCTCCTCCTCTCTGTGAATTTCCTGGGCTTAGAACCTCTTCTTTGGCAGATTACCTTCTTTGGGCCACTTCTAGTTCTCCTGCCAATGGATTTTATCAGGAGGCTCCAGAGTTTTTACATAATAGACGCACATCTCCCTATGCCTGGCCGAATCTCAGCCACTCTCCCCCCCACCCTCTCTCCTCTTTTGCAAAAAGTGGGTCTCCCTATTCCCCTTTGGCATTTGCACACTAGCAGATGCGTTGCCAGTGCTTCAGAGTTCCTGACATCTGCATTCGGATCCGAGCACACTCAGAGACACATAACGCACACATGCACATCGCCCAAGACAGCGGGATTTCGCTTCCCAGAAATGAATCTTCCGGATTAAGGGACTGAGTTTCCAAATAATACTAATAACACTAATAATAATAATAATAATAACAAAAACCTTCTGTTTCGCACGCACATCACGGAATTAATTTTGGGCACATCGCTTTGCTTTGAGGCAGCCTTTTTTGACTCTCTGCTCTCTCTGCCACTGATGCTCACAAATGCACCCTTAGTGGGATGAATGAATATAGCCAAAAAACACCCCCAGGCAGCCCACTGAAGCTATGGCAGAGAAGAGAATTTCCCCTCCTTGTAACCCCCCACCTCAAATCCCAGCATTTTTTTTTTTTACAGGATAGGGAACGTTCTTTTTTTCTTTTTTTTTAAATCCATTTATTCCCATCTCTCTTTGCAAGCAGGGTATAGCAAAGAGGCTTAAGGGGGTGAAAAACCAAGAACAGGAGAAGCCCAGAAATGTCCGTGAACAGAGGCAAAGAAAGGCGACCCTCGCAAAACAGGCGTGCAAATGGCACACTCAGCCCTGGTACAGTTCTCCAATTCCTCCCAGCCTTTTTTTAAGGCGCCCCGTCCATCTGAGCTGAGTCTCGTAGACGCCATGCTCAAGTTATCCCACTCTTTTTCCAGATTATGGTTGTTATTATTCTTAGTATTATTTTTTCTCTCCTCCTCAGTTGTCTTTCCTTCTTTTTTTTTGCTCACCCACCGTGCCCGGGGTGCCTACAGGTGCAGTGCGTGCCCTGCCAGCTTAGCCGTAAAAAAAAAAAAAACCAACCGGCGCTTGCAATTAAATTGATAGCGTGCAATTCAAAACATCCCCCCCCCCGTTGCAATCTAAGCTGAGTCTTTTCATTTGCAGGGGGGGGGTCTAAAATGGCTTGTCCTGGGATCACCTTTGGGGTCTTCTTTGCTCAACCAGGAAAGGCTGCCAAGCTTTTATTTTTTACAAAAGGGAAATCCGTTAGCCAAGCAGGAAGCTTCAAGCTGGTATATCCCCTTTGCCATCCTCCACATTTCCTCCTTCCGAATTCTTGCATTCTTCCCTTCCTTCTTTATCTTCTCCTTCTCCTTGTCTATTTTCCCCTTCCTCTCCTCCTCCTCCTCCTCCTCCTCCTCCTCCTCCTCCTCCTCCCCCTCCCCGTACCTTACTCATAGTGCCTGCAGTCAGATGCTCAGGATATGCTCCAAGGAAGATGCTATATATCCCTTCTTCTCTCTCTCTTTCTCTCTGCTGGGTTTTCATTCATGCACACAGCTTCTGCTTGAATTCCCAGCTCACTGGCACACTTAGCCTGCACTCAAGGTACCCGGCACTTTGATTGACGGGGCCGGGCAGCCAATGAGAGAAGCCAGGGCTTTCTACAAGCCCCTTTGCCAAACTGGAGCATAAACCAGCTTGGTGGTAGTAAACAAACTGTCTCTCTCTTTTTTTTTTCCCTTCCCTGTTTTTATTTTTTTAATTTAATTTAATTTTATTTTTTTTTTAGAAAAAGAGAGGAGCCTCAGTGAGATTGCACAATTCAGCAATTCTCTCTCGGAAACCCACAACGTCAGGCTGAGCCGTCGCTGATGGGCAGTGGATGCTAATGTGTGTAAAAAAACCCAAAAACTATCTCGTGCCAGTTTCTGCTGATTTCAGAAGAAATCCTAATTAAAGTTTGGTCAGTTTAGATCGCAGGGGGGGGGGTGTTTGAGATTTGGGAGGGGGTTTCCCAAGAGCACTGCCAAGATTTTTTTTTTTTTTTATAGAGAAGGGGCAAACATTGTGTGTTTGCAAGGCTATGGCTAGAGCAGTGTTTCTCAATCTTGCCAAGGTTCAGGTGGGTGGACTTCAACTCCCAGAATTCCTTGGCCCACCTGCTTTGAGATGGGTCCCAGAATTCCCCAGCTGGCGTATTTTGAGATCAGTGGACGTCAACTCCCAGAATCCCCTAGCCAGCCTGCTTGAAGACAGGTGGACGTCAACTCCCAGAATCCCCTAACCAGCCTGCTTGAAGACAGGTGGACTTCAACTCCCAGGATCCCCTAGCTAGCCTGCTTTAAGATGGATGAATTACCAGGAGACTGTGAGTTCTAGTCCCACCTTAGGCATAAAAGCCGTCTAGGTGACTTTGGGCCAGTCACCAGGAGATGGTGAGTTCTAGTCCCACCTCAGACATGAAAATCAGCTGGGTGACTTTGGGTCAAGCCTCACTGTTGTGGGAAAAATAGGAGAAGGGAGGTATGTTGGCTACATTTTCCACCTGGAGTTATTTTAAAAATAATTCAGGCCGGGTACAAACAAAGAAGGACGCGTCAGTCCGACCTGAGCAGGGGGTTGGACTAGAAGACCTCCAAGGTCCCTTCCAACTTTGTTATTCTATTAAATACAGCAACCATATTTCATTGTCCTCTTCTGCACCCAGGATACATCTAAATTCTCCCCACCCCACCCCAAATCCATTTAAACCTGATTAAAACCTTGTGTTTTTGTCTGCTTGGCCCTCTTTGCTCAATTTTTCCCATCATATTTAATTTAAAGCTCAAAGAGCAGAAGATAAAAAATTCATGGGGCACAGACCAGCCTGGGGGGGGGAGGGAGAAGAAAGAGGGAGCAGGTTGAGCGATGACTTAGGGCTGTCTTGGCTCTTTTCTTTCCTAAAACCCCCACATATCTGGGGGCCCAAACAGGAAACCATTAATCAAAGTGGAAAGATCAAATTTGATTTCATCAAAAAAAAAAAAAGGCACAGCAGGACTTCAGGCTACGCGAGGGCCAGGCTGATGCTAGTGCTGGGCAATTTATATTCCATTTTTTCCACTCTTTTTCTCTCTCTCTTTTTGGCAACTAACCGCCATGTGAAACTGCCTTTGGATATCAGTTTATTACTTCTAGCTTGTTTAAAAATCTTTTTTTCCCCTCGGCTGGAAAGCCTGCCTTATTCTGTTTGTCATTTTAGTATTTATTTATTTATTGGGGGGGGGGGAATTCAACAGATGCTCAGCTGATCCGACAAGATGATTCTAGCCTTCTTGAACAAACCACGATCCAGACGGATCCTGCATCCAACTGGGGAGAGAGATTGTAAAACTGGGGTTTTGCTAATCCGGGCAAAGATTTACTCCGATGTAGAAATCAAGAAGTCTATTTGGGAAGCCCCCAAAGGTCCTCAACGTTTTTCATACTTATGACCGCCGCAGCCTCCCCAGGGTCACGTGATCCAACTTCAGACGCTGGGCAGACGACTCACATTTATGACGGTTGCCTTGTCCCGGGGTCACATGATCCGCTTTTCAAAGTCGATGGGGCCAGCCAGATCCACTTAACAACGGTCTTAACTAACTTTAGGAGCTGCGGCAAGGAAAGTCGTAAAACGGGACCAAACGCGATTAACAAACGTCTCGCCTTAGCAACAATTGGGGGCTCAGTTGTGGACGTAAGTCAAGGACCCCCTGTGTACATTCAACCCTCCTGTAAACCCAGTTCAAACGGAACAAGCTGACTTCTTGTCCACATGCCTCAGCCACTCGCAGACAATCGGGCTGTGAGTTGTGAGTGTTCTCATTTGCCTGTCAGGAACCAAACGGGTTTAACTTCATTCCAGGAGGATTGCAACAAACATTACCTGGACTCGGGGCCCCGCGAGGCACATGGGTACCTGCCGGTGACCCTGGACAGACATGGGGGACCCCCAGAGGTTGCAAAGCAGGCTCCCAAAAATTTGTTACTCGTCTTTGGGCTAACGGCAGCCTGGCCCCAGAACTGCAGTGGGACACCAGCAACCGGCCCCAGTTACAGAAATGTTGCTCAAGACATCCAGGTAACAGGTAAGTTACTGTGAATAAAAACACTAGGTGTGACAACTTGTCTCTGTGTTTGTGTGTATGAGAGAGAGAGAGAGAGAGAGAGAGAGAGAGAGAGAGAGAGAGAGAGAGAGAGAGAGAAAGAAAGAAGAGAAAGAAAGAGAGAAGAGAGAAAGAGAAAGAGAAAGAAGAGAGAGAGAGAGGAGAAAGAGAGGAGAGAGAAAGAGAGACAGAGAAAGAGAGAGAGAGAAAGAAAGAGAAAGAGAAAGAAAGAAAGGGGAAAGGAGAAGAGAGCTAGAGAGAAAAAGAGAGAAAGGGAGAGGAGAGAAAAAAAAGAAAGAAAGAAAGAGAGAGAGGAGAAAGAGAGAGAGGAGAGAGAGACAAAGAGAGAAAGAGAGAGAGAGAAAGAGAAAGAGAAAGAAAGGGGGGGGGAAAGAGAAGAGAGATAGAGAGGAGAAAGAGAGAGAGACCAAAAATTATTTAATTTTCACACTATTATGTTGACTCGGTCAAAAAGGAACCACCGATAGTCCTTGAGTTACCATCGTTCGTTTAGTGACTGTTCGAAGTTACAACGGCACTGAAAAAAGGGACTCCTTGCATGTCCCTGTCCAAAATCTCGAATTTAAATTCTACCTCGCAGGACTGTTGATCTCTAGGCAGAATTCAAACAACAAGGAACCTATCAATCTATCTAGAGCCGACCAGCACCCCTTTTCACGCTTTAACGACCGCGGCAGCCTCCCCAGGATCATGTGATCAGAATTCAGACACTCGGCAACTGACTCCTATTTACGACGGTCGCAGCGTCCCGGGGATCACGCGATCCCCTTTGGCGACCTTCACTTAACGACCGTGTTACTCACTTAACAAAGGCAGCGATCCACTTAACAACCGTGGCCAGGAAAGTCGCAAACTGGGGCAAAAACCCGCAGAACCCATTTCTCGCTTGACCCCCCCCTAAATTTGGGGCACCATTGCGGTCGCAAGCTGAGGACCTCCTGTGCTTTCTTTCAGTGCCGTTCGTAACTCGAAACACATGGTCGTAAAACGAGGAGCGGCTGCAATCTTGTTCGAAGGAAGTTTGGCATTGGCGCTGTTGGTGTTTGGGCACTTCTAGCCCTTCTTCCATCTCTCCAGCTGGGTATTTTCCCCTTCCCTTCTTCCCTCCCTCACCCACAGGGCCAGCTGGCACTTTCTCTCCTGCTTGCTCATGGGTTCAAAGTACAACCTGTCTCCTCTCTTAATCAAGGAAAATTAGTCTGGATCTTTCCCCCCACCTGCGCGTCAGAGATCCCCAAATCCGTGGGGAAAATTAATCAAGAGGGTTTTCAAGCGTCGGGAAGAGCGGGAACGTCACTCCGCAAATAAAAGCAGGTAAAGACGGGCACGAGATGGAGGATCACCGGGTGGCCCACGACGGTTCACGGGTGGCTGGAGAAAGCAAGACAGATCCTGGCTGGATTTCACAAAACGGCGATCCAAATTTCCTGCATTTAATTGGGGAGAGCGAGGGTGTTAAAGGATCGGCGCTGAGTTCTCACGTTAGACTTGATTTTTATTTATTTATTTATTTTTAAATCGGTGGTCTTCCCACTTGGCAATAATTTCATCCTTGTAAGCAACCGATTCACCTTTTTGAAAAGCAAACAAACAAACCAGAACTATCTTTCTGGTCAAAAACAAACTTCATGGACACACAAATGAGTCCAAAATGTCTGTTTCCTAAGCCACCGTCATTCTCTTTACGGTCTTTTTCATGTCTGAGCTACAGAACTTACGACGGTCCTTTTAGTGACCGTTCCAAGTTGCGACGGTGCTGAAAAAAGGACTTAGGGCCGTTTTTCATAGTGATGACAGTTGCAGCGTTCCCCCGAGCTCAGCTGATGAAAATGAAAACACTTAATGACTGACTCATATTTACGACGGGCATACTAGCCCGGGGTCACGCCATCCCCTTTTGCGACCTTCTGACAAAGCCACTTAACAACTTGGTTACTAACTTCACAATTGCAGTGATCCACCTAACCGCTGCAGCAAGGAAAGTTGTAAAGCGGGACAAAATTCGTTTAACAACCATCTCGCTTAGCGACACAAATTTCGGGACTGTACGTCGAGGGCCTGCGTAATGTGTTAATCATTGTAAATATGGAAGAGGATGTCCTATGCAACAGGGTTGAAACCACAGCTGCCAGTTCTTCAGCTGGGGTTGACCTTCATTTGTGTCGCTTCGTTTCCAGGAACATTTGGTGTCGCAATTTATTGGCGTAGTTGTGGTTGCGTGGCTTGGAACAACTTGGCTTTTTGATAATTGACTGATGAAAAAACAGGATAAAGCGAGCGTGATAGTCATTACGGCTGGTTGACCGGTCAGCCAGATGTTTGTGTGCTTGTTTGTTTTAAAAATGGCGTTTTTATCCACCCACTAAGTCCTTCTTGAGGACCTGGGCCAGACAGATGTTGAAAGGTTGTAAAGGTTTTGTGGCAAGATTGTCAGTTCTTCCAAGCAAAGCTGCCTTTTGCAATTGACCGATTGGGATTTTGTCAATAGCGATGGTGTTCTCTTATTATTATTGTGGTGGGTGCACATTGTGCACATTTCAGCCAGATGTTTCGAGTCCTTCCCAAGGACCTGCGATAGGCAGATGGGGATGCTTGACGGTGTGGAAGTGATTGTTGCAAGATGTGCCAGGGAGAGCTGCTTTTTTTGCAATGAAAGGGATTTTGTGGATGTGGTGATTATTATCCTCATTATTATTATTATTATTGTCATCGTCATCATCTTTGGCTCAAAGAGACTTTTTTTTCTCTCCTTCTTTTCTAGGAGAACCATGTTGGTCTGTGATAGTACTGTAAAAAAAAAAAAAATCAGGATTTTGGTAGCATCTTTTCCAGCTTTTTTTTTTTTTTTAAAGCATCAGCTGCAGCTGCGGCTGATGGATGCATTGTAGTCTGTACATTTCGTACTGTAAGTTGCAATCCCCCAAAGCAGTTTCCTCTGGTTAGTTAGAAAAAGTGCCATTAAAATATTTCTGGTATTTTTTGCTTTCTTTCTTTCTTTCTTTCTTTCTTTCTTTCTTTCTTTCTTTCTTTCTTTCTTTTTTTCTCTCTCTTTTTCTGTTTCCTTCCGTCTCTTTCTCTTTCCTTCCTTCCTTTTTCTTTTTCTTTCTTTGTCTCTGTCTTTTTTTCTCTCTCTCTCCCTCTTTCTGTCTCTTTCTTTTTCTCTGTCTGTTTCTCTGTTTCTCTCTTTTTCTTTCTGTCGCTTTGTTTTGCTCTCTCATACTTTCTCTCGTTTCTCTGTGTCATATAATATATGTGGGTATATGCATAATTCTGTATTTGTTTATTGTCATGTTTATGTAGTGTGTATTGGAGGTGGTGACCCTTTGACAGCTGTATGGAACGAAATTTCATTTTAACGTATGCCGATTAGTGTACATTCAAAGTGACAATAAAGTTATTATTCTATTCTATTCTATTCTATTCTATTCTATTCTATTCTATTCTATTCTATTTTATTCTATTAATTTTACTCTGCTCTGCTCTATTCTATTCCTCTGTCTTTCTATTTCTTTTTCTTTCTCACTCTTTCTCTCTCCTTTCTGTTTCTTTTTCTCTTACTCTTTCTCTCATCTCTTTCTTTTCTGTCTCTTTCTCCTGCTCTGTCTCTTTCTGTCTCTTTCTCTCTCCCCCCCCCCAGCCTTTGCTTTGTTTTTTTCTTCCCTACCAGATTGCATAACTCTTGTCCTTTTACACACCCACGAATGAGCAACCAAAAGGAGGAGTTGAACCATTTACCCAGGTGCTAAGAGCCTTAAGCACAACACTGTGCATGCTCGGCTTGGCTAAAAGAGGGCTGGGTAGTTTGGTACTTTTCTTTCAGCTTTATTTTTAGTTAAACCTTTTCCTGCCAGCAAGCAGGTCCTGCCTTGGAGCTGAAAGGTGGCTTGTGGGGGGAACCTAACATGGACCTAACATGGAAAGGGAGGCAGGAAGTAGGTTTGGCTAAGCAAGGATTAACCCAGGGTGTGTGTCCATTATTGGTAAAGCTGCTGCTGCTGCTGGCGGGACTGGATTTTTCTGTGTTTGGACTGGATCAGCCCTTATGTGATGAGCCCTCCAGAGTCACTTAGCTGAGATGGGTGACCATATAAATCAAATTAATATTAAATATTGAATGGAATAGAATAGAATAGAATAGAATAGAATAGAATAGAATAGAATAGTGGAATGGAATGGAATGGAATGGAATGGAATAGAATAGAATAATGGAATGGAATAGAATGGAATAGACTAGACTAGACTAGACTAGACTAGAATAGAATAGAATAGAATAGAATAGAATAATGGAATGGAATTGAATGGAATGGAATGGAATAGAATAGAATAGAATATAGGATAGAATTAGAATAGAAATAGGGAATAGAATTAGAATAGAATAGAATAGAATAGAATAGAATAGAATAGAATAGAATAGAATAGAATAGGAATAGGAATAAAAATGGAATGAAATGGAATAGAATAGACAATAGGGATAGAATAGAATAGAATAGAAATAAAATAATAACATATAGTATAATATGATAATATAACAAATATAATAATATAGTATAATGTAACATAGTGTAATGTAATATAATGTAATGTAAAATATTACATAACCTTCAAAAGTCAGGATGGCCCAATGATAAAGACCTCACCTCCAGATTGGGGGGACCTGGGTTCAAGATCCGCTTTAGCCAGAGAAGCTCCCTAAGCAGACTGTGAGTTAGTTTTTTTTTTTCCCTCTCAGCCAGCCTACCTTGCAGGCTTGTCGTTGGGAAAAAAAATTAAGGAGCCCTGGGCATTTCCTTCCTCAGCCAGCCAGCGACTCCCTTTAAATGACAACGAAAGGAGGCAGGTGAGTCTGTGACATTTCTCCCTACGGAGCCGGCGCCTGGCAACATGCAGAGTTCCTCGGACGGTGAAGGCAGAAGCCTGTGGGGTGAGCCGGACCTGGAAGCCGAGGAGAAGACCTGTGGCGTCTGCGGAGACCGAGCCAGCGGCTACCACTTCCACGTCATGACCTGTGAAGGCTGCAAAGGGTTTTTCCGGTAGGCCTGGATGGATGCGGGCGCACACAGGTTACTAGTCCTCATGACTCCCACTCAAGCTTCTTCCCCTTGCCTTGCAGGAGGACGGTGCTGAAGGGCATCCAGTTCACTTGTCCTTTTACTCAGAGCTGCCTGGTCACCAAAGCCAAGCGGCGACAGTGCCAGGCCTGCCGGTACAAAAAATGCCTGGCGGTGGGGATGAGGAAGGACAGTAAGTGTCTGGGAGCCAGGATCTTCTTATTTCTCTTTCCTTTCCTTTCCTTTCCTTTCTTTCTTTCTCTTTTTCTTTCTCTGCCTCCCTCCTGCCCTATCTGTACTCCTTCTTTCCTCCCTCTTTCTCTTTTCTCTTCCTTTTCTTTCCCCATCCTTTTTTTTCTTTTTCTTTCTCTGCTTACCTCCCTCCCTATCTGTACTCCGTCTTTTCTCCTTTTCTTTTTCTCTTTATCTCTTCCTTTCCTTTCCCTCTCTTTTTCTTTCTTTCTTTCTTTCTTTCTTTCTTTCTTTCTTTCTCTTTCTTTTTTCTTTTTCTTCCTTTCTCTCCCTCCATTCCTTCCTATCTATAGTCCGTCTTCTTTCTTCCTCTTTCTCTTTCTTTCATCTCTTCCTGTCCTTCATCTTTCTTCTTTTTCTTTTTTCTCCCTCCTCCCTCCCTCATCTTTCTCTCTTTCTCTCTTCCTTTCCTTTCTCTGTCTTTTTCTTCCTTCCATCGCTTCCCCCTCCTTCCCTCCCCTTCCCCTTCACATCCATTCCTTCTTTACTCCTTCCCCTCCTTCCTTCCTTCCTTCCTCCCTTCTTTCTTTCCCTTCCTTCCTCCTTTCGCCAAACTGAATTTGTTTTCAGTTTCCTTCAGTGAAGAGCATTACTTCCTGGCCGGTTTGCTAAACCATGGTTAGCCCAACAGAGCTGAGTACTACGTGTAAATCCATGATTCAACTGGTGGGGATGGACTGTAGCTTATCCAGGCACATAGGAAGCAGGGCTACCGGGTGGGCGGGCTTCCTTCAATCCTCCCAAAGTGGATGATGGGAACCGGAGTCAAGTTCCCAGCTCCCACCCCCAGCTTGGCCTGCTGTCCTTCTGCTATTCCAGCTCTGCCAATGGTTTCCTGGCCAGAGGGTTGTGAGAATAAAATCACAAGGGATCCCTTGTAGCAGCTCTTAAACGCAAAGCCAGGAGGAATAAATTGCATTTCTCTGCCTTGCCAGTGGTTGGAATTGTAACGAGCCCTGGCAGCCTTTGGGGCCAAAGGGCTGCTTTCTCCAGGGAGAACTTGTGGGAGATTCCCCCCCCCGTGGGGGGAAACCCCCAGAGCCTCTGCAATAGCTAGGAGGGGGAAGCCGCCTCAGACCCCCCCCCCCAGAGTCAGTGGGGCTGGGAAAGCCAGATAGAGGCGCATGCCCAGCAGGCTTTGCCTCTCCATCGATCAGCTGGATTATCTTTTATGGAGGAAGGGAAGGGAATTGGAAAGCAAGTGAAAAGAGAAAACAGAAAAGAGAAAAAAGAGAAGTGAGGGAGGAAGGGGGGAGATGGAATGAGGAAGGAAGGAAGGAAGGAAGGAAAAGACAGGGAAAGGAAGAGAGAGAGCAAAAAAAGAGAAAGAAGAGAGGGAGGAAAGAAAGAAAGAGGGGAAAAAGAAAGAAAGAAGATGGAATGTGGAAGAAAGAAAGAAAGAGAAAGAAAAAAGAAAGAAAAGATGGAATGTGGAAGGAAGGAAGGAGGGATGGAAGGAAAAGACAAGGAAAGGAAGAGAGAAGGGAAAGAGAGGACAAAGAAAGGAGAGGAGGAAAGAAGGAAGGAAAAGACAAGGAAAGAAAGAGAGAAGGGAAAGAGAGAGGACAAAGAAAGGAGAGGGAGAAAAGAAAGGAAGGAAAGAAGGAAGGAAGGAAAAGACAGAAGGAAAAGAAGAGAGAAAGGGAAAGACAGAGAGACAGAGAAAGAAGAGACAGGGAGAAAAGAAAGAAAAAAAAATAAAGGAAGGAAGAAAGGAAAGATCAGCCTGGGCCCCAGATCCAGCAAGGCGCTTTGGAGCCGCCACTGATCCAATCGAGGTGAAATCAGGATCCAGCAAAATGCTGGATTTCTCCCCCCCCCCAGGGCATGCATGGGGGGGCGGGGGGAGCACAGAAACCCGGAGCGCAAGATGGCAGCTGCAGCCACTGCAGGCGGGCGAGGCGTGATGCATTGCAGTCTTGCCTTCTGACCCGCAGTCCCCATCCCGTGCAGGGAAACGGGCAGATAATAGACACTGCAGCTGTCCTTGCCTGCGGGGGCAGGGGGTGGGAGTCCAGGGGGGCCTCTGAATAACCTTTTGGGGTGGGGGGGGCAGAGAGAGGCTTGAACACCCCCCCCCCCAACCAAGACAGAGGCTGGCAGGGCAAAGGAATTTGAGACCAGCCAGCTGCAGGGTTTTTTGGCAAGCCGGAAAAAAGCAAGCAAAGTTGGAAACTAACATGCTAAAAAAAACAGAAGCGGAAGGAAGGAAGGAAGGAAGGAAGGAAGGAAGGAAGGAAGGAAGGAAGGGAGGGAGGGAGGGAGGGACAGGGAAAGAAAGAGAAATAGTGACAGAGAGAAAGAAGAGAGAGAAAAGGAAGGAAGGAAGGAGAGGGAGGGAAGGAGGGAAAGACAGGGAAAGGAAGAAAGAGAAATAGTGACAGAGAGAAAAGGAAGGAAGGAAAGAAGGAAGGAAGGAAGAAGGAAGGAAGGGAAAGGCAGAAAGATAAAGAGTGACAGAGAGAAGAGGCAGAGAGAACAGGAAGGAAAGAAGGAAGGAGGGAGGGAGGGAAGGAAAGACAGAGAAAGGAAGAAAGATAGAGAAAAAGTACAGGAAGGAAAGAAAGAAGGAAGGACAAGGATTAATCATAAGTCCCTTTTTTCAGTGCCATTGTAAATCCGCACAGTCGCTCAACAAACAGTCATAACCTGAGGACTACCTGCACACCAGAATCTGAACTCCGATTCCCTTTTTTCCCGCAGTGATCATGTCAGAGGAGGCCCTGTACGCCCGCCGGGCGCTGCGGAAGCGGAAGCTGCAGAAGAGCCCCCCGATTCTCCCAGTCGAGCCCCTGGAGGATCATGGCCTGTCTCCGGAGCAAGAACAGCTGATTGAGATCCTCACGGAAGCCCACAAGAAACATTTTGATTCCAGTTTCTCCCCGTTCATCCACTACCAAGTGAGCAATTAAGAAGGATGGATCTCCTATTTTATTTTTATTTTTTTTCCCCTGCAAAAGCCTCTCTCTCTTCCAAGTCAGCATTCCGGGGCTCCATTCTCACAACTCTCTTAACCCGGGTCAGTTGTAACCCGGGTTCATTTGGGTTGGAAGGCAGTCCCAGAGTCGGGTGTCGAAACCGACGTCGGGCTCGCTCGTAACCGACAGTCCTCGGCTTTACGAACACAGAACTGAGTCCCAAATTTGACTTTTTGCCCCCTTTTACAACTTTACCGGCCACGGTCGTTAAGCGAATCGCTGCAGTTGTTAAGTTAGCCAAGAAGGGTGTGAAGTGAATCTGGGCTTCCCCGTGGACTTGGCTGCTCAGAAGGGAGCCAAAGGGGATCGGATAACCCTGGGCTATTGCAACCGTCAGAGGTACACGCCAGTTGCCGAGCCTTTGAATTTTGATCACGTGACCCTGGGGATGCTGCAACGGTCGTAGGTGTGAGAACTGGTCCTAAGTCCCTTTTCTTAGTGCCATGGGTAACTTCCACCGCTCACTAAACGAATGCTTAAGTTGAGGACTGCCTGTAATAGCGGACGGGGCCGTCTCGCTCCTGGGAAAAGGGGTCGCGCACAACGTCCCCGGTGAAGGCATCTCACCCAGCTTCTCTCTGCAGCCGCCGGTCCGTCTCCACGTCCACAATCCAGAGGCTCAGGGTTCTCCGGAAAGCGCCTTCCCTTCGCTGTATCTTCTGCCCTCCCACGAGGACAACGCCGAGGAGGTCCTTCCGGATGTCTTCTCCATCCTGCCGTTGCTTGCCGACCTCAGCACCTTCATGATCCAGCAGGTCATCCAGTTCGCCAAGGCCATCCCGGCTTTCAGGTGAGGGGTGTTGGGGGGGGACAGACCCCTGTTCTCTTGGTCCTCTCTGTCCTCCCTGGGGTTGGGGTCTCGTTCGCTTCGGATCCTCCCTGTGGTGAGTCCGGCAAGAACAGACCCCATCCGTGGCTGAATGGTTGCTGGAATTGGGCATGTCTAGTTTAACGAAGAGAAGGACGAAGGGGGACAGGAGAGCAGAGTTCCCACGTCTCAGGGGCTGCCCCAAAGAAGAGGGAGTCAAGCTCTTCTCCAAAGCGCCTGAAGGCAGGACAAGAAGCAACGGATGGAAACTGATCAAGGAGAGAAGCAACCTAGAACTAAGGAGAAACTTCCTGACAGTGAGAACAATTAACCAGTGGAACAGCTCGTCACCAGAAGCGGTGAACGCTCCAATACTGGACATTTTTAAGAAGAGCCTGGACAGCATTTGTCTGAAATGGTATAGGGTTTCCTGCCTGAGTGGGGAGTTGGACTAGATGACCTCCAAGGTCCCTTCCAACTCTTGTTTATTCTATTCTATTCCTATTATTATTCTATTCTATTCCTATTATTCTATTCCTATTATTATTCTATTCTATTCTATTCTATTCTATTCTATTCTATTCTATTCTATTCTATTCTAATCAAACAAAGCCATTCATCAAAAGGTGGAACAAATCAAGCCGGGATCCAGTTGGATCTTCTTAAGAGCATCACCCAGCTTCTGTCTAACCTTGATCCTTCTTCCTACTCAGAAATCTACCCATGGACGACCAGATCTCCCTTCTGAAAGGAGCCACGCTGGAGATCTGCCAGATCCAGTTCAACATGGTCTTCAATGAGGAAACGAATACTTGGAAATGTGGTCCACATGGCTACACCATCCAAGATGCCGCCCTGGGTAGGTCGGTGGGGGGGGGGGTGTTGGGAAGAGATTGTGTGCCTCTTGTAAATTCACAGGTTTGTATATCACACCAGACACTTCCATGGGCAGGGAGGAGCTGTCCTGAGCTGCCTCTACATCCACCTTATGTCAGAATGCTAGGGAATTCTGGGAATGGAAGTCCATCCTCTTAAAGCATGCTGGCTGGGGCATTCTGGGAATGGAAGTCCATCCTCTTAAAGCATGCTGGCTGGGGGATTCTGGGAATGGAAGTCCATCCTCTTAAAGCATGCTGGCTGGGGCATTCTGGGAATGGAAGTCCATCTTCTTAAAGCATGCTGGCTGGGGAATTCTGGGAGTCGAAGTCCGTTTGTCTTAAAGCAGGCTAGATGAGGAATTCTGGAAGTTGAAGTCCATCCCTTTTAAAGTTGCAGAGACTGAGAAGCAGACCCTATGCAATAACAAAACTATTTTTAATTTCTTTTTCCGAGAAACAGAACGGACTCGGCAACAGGTGACGGGAAAGACAAACCAAACAGCCAAGTGCGAATGCATATTTCATTATCTGCGAGAAAATATTCGCTCCCTTTTTAAAACACCCGAGAGAACTTTGCTTGCATAAAACCGTATCGACCCTTTCTCCAGTCCCCAGATCGAAGACCGAGCCATCATCCCCAGCCAAACACACAGCAACGATTCTAAATTATAAATATTGTGATTATTTAGGCTGCCGCTCGGTTCTATACCTCCATAATGTTTAATCTCTAAATTTGGGGTGTGTGTGTGTGTGTCTGTAATGCAGAATGACACAGTATATTAAGCAATGTACAGATTGCAGACAAAAAAAGAGCACTGATTAATTTATACGCTGCAGTATAGAATGTGGCTCACCCCGACTGGCGCCGTGATTAAAAGAGGCTTGGCTAGCTTGTGGTTCCCCGAAGGTTGCACACACAGCCTTTGAGCTGCAAAACAAGCTAACTATGATTGGTGGCTAGGCTAGGAGAACCCTCTACCCCCATCCGGCCACTGAAAAATTAATTCTCAATTAATTAAATTGAGAAACCTGCTTTGAGTTTGTTCAAACCGGTGGGAGCGGATCTAATGGGCAAATTAGTGCTATCAAACAAAGATGTGGAAGGAAAAGCTTGAGAGGTGGTCCTCGGCTTACGACAGTCCGCTTAGTGACTGTCGTAAGTACGACTCCCAAGAGCCTTCACTGCCAACGAGGCTGCTGGGAATTGTAGTTCAACCACCGCCTGGAGGGCTACAGGGGGTGCCCCAACTACAGGGGTGTCCCATCCATTTCACACAGCCACTTCTTATTCTCCCCCCTCGTCATTGAGACCCCCATGGGGAGGATTTAATATTATTAAGACCCTGGATAAACCATCCTGGACATCTGGACGGGTGGTTTTTGTTTGTTTGTTTGTTTTTCCTCCAGCCCAAATTGAACAAACAGTAATTAATCTCGGGGGAAGAGATTAAACAGCCATGAAGCCAAGCATGGAAAAGAGATTATGGAAGGGAGGGCGGTTCACAAGGGCGTCCAATTGCAGTGGCCTCTGGACTCAATTTTTAACACTGCCAGGGTTGTGCGAAAGCACCCTCCCGTGGCCAAACAAAGTATTATTTTATCCAAGCCAGGACAGAAAACCAGGTTGGCTTTAAGAATGTGACACCCCTCTCCAATTCCCCCCTACACCTTTTTTTTTTCTCTTTTTCCCCAAGCTGGCCTTCAGCAGGTTTATTTAGACGCGCTGCTTAAATTCCACACCAATTTGCGGAAACTGAGGCTGCATGAAGCCGAGTACGTTTTGCTGCAAGCCCTGGTGTTGTTCTACCCAGGTAAGACCCCCATTTCCGAGGGGGGGCAGGCTCTATCTCACACACACACACACACACACACACACACACACACACACTCAGGGGAGATGAGGATTCCTGCCCTGGATGAGGGGGGGTTGGACTAGATGACCTCTAGGGTCCTTTCCAGGATCATCCTGTACTAGGATCCTATCCCATTGAACTCCTGCCCTAGTCAGGGGGTTGGACTAGATGACCTCTTAAGGTGATTTCCAGCTTTTCTGTTCAAGGGTTCTATGTCCTGGATTCCCACCCTGGCTAGGGGTTGGGCTAGATGACCTCTAGGGTCCCTTCCGGCCTATTCGTTCTAGGATCCCATTCGTCGAATTCCGGCCCTGGTCTGTGTGTATGTGTGTGTGTGTGTTGTTGGACTAAATGACCTCTAAGATCATATCCTGCTTTTTTTTCTGTTTCCAATACACTGAATCCTGCCCGAGCCAAGGGGTTGGACTGGATGACCTCTTAAGGCCCCCTTCCAAAGCTTTGCATTCTGAAGCTGAATTCCCAACAAGCCTAGGATGGCTTCAGCAGCCCCTTTCCTTTTCCTTGTCCCGTTTCGCTTCATCGGGGACCACCCCAGCCTTCCTCCTCCTCCTCCTCTTCCTTCGTAGATCACATAGAGGTGACTCAACGGGAGGAGATCGACCAGACCCAGGAGAAGATTGCCCTGACCTTAAAGAAATACATCGACCGCTGGCACCCCTGGCCCGAAGGCAGGTGAGACGGAAGAGCGTTGTTAAATTAGACACACGGTTGTTAAGTGAATCTGGCTTTGATCTCCCAGCCTGCTTCGAAAGTGCTGAAAATTGAGCTTTTCCCGTTTTCTTTGCTCTTCTCTGCCAGGTAAGCAAATATTTAAAGCACAGCTCAAACTGCTTTATAGTTTCCTTTCTTCTTCTTTTTTTAAGAATTAGCTTTCCGCAACCTCCAAATGAAAACGGCTTTGGGTGAACGGCCTAGAAATTATTTCAAAAGGGATGCCTGAATTATAGGGAGTCCTCACTTTACAACCACGGTGGAGAGCGGAATTTCTGGCAGTTGATAAGCAAGTCAACGCCGGATTTTTGCTTTTTGGCCTTCTTCTGCTACAGATCTTAAGCGAATCACTGCCGGTTTCAGTCCATGGGCAAAGGCAGATTCGCTTAACGACCGTGGCAGCGATTCCCTTAACAACTGTGATGGAAAAGGTGGCCAAAATGGGGCAATATTCACTTAACAACCGTCCGGGCTTGGAAAATATTGGCCTAGGCCAGGGGTAGGCAACCTTGGCTCTGTTATGACTCGTGGACTTCAACGTCCAGAATTCCTGAGCCAGCACGGAACAAATGGAGCTGATGGTTTTTTAAAAAAAAACTTTTTTTTTTCCTTCAGGTTTCTCTACGCCAAACTCCTGCTGCTGTTGACCGAACTCCGGTCGCTGAAAGTGGAAAACACCCGTCAAATCCATCATATCGATGACAGACAGAATCTCTCCTCCATGACGCCTCTGCTCTCCGAAATTATCAGCTAAAAAAAAAAAAAACCCCGGATTGGGACAATCTCTGCTTGGCAAAAATCCTAAAGGGCCGAGTCAGGTGGTCCTCGAATTACAGACTGTTCATTTAGCAACCGCTTCAAAGTGACGATGCCGGCGGGAAAAAGGGACTCGGGGCCGTTTCCCAGCCTCGTCACCGTCGCGGCAGCCCCAGGGACAGGCCATCAAAATTCAGACGCTTGGCACAACCGACTCGCATTTATGACGGTTTGCCTATCACAGGACCCGCCAGCCAGCCAGCCAAGTGAATTTTGCCCCATTTTTGCCACGGTCATTAAGGGAATCTGCCTTTTCCCATTGACTGGACAGCCACTGTCTGAAATGGTATAGGGTTTCCTGCCTGAGCAGGGGGGTTGAACTAAATGACCTCCAAGGTCCCTTCCAACTTTATTATTACTGAAACCGGCTGACAAAGAAAAGTGGATGGAAGTCGGATTCGTTTAACGACCTTGTGATTCGCTTAGCAAAAGAAGGGAAGGCAGATTCGCTTAACGACTGTGGTGAGAAAGGTCGTAAAAAGGGGCAAGTTTCACTTAAGGACTAACCACAGAAACAATGGACTCAATTGTGGTCGTAAGTAGAGGACTACCTGTACAGCCAGAAAAAAAAACCCACCCCAAAATCTGTGCTCAGTTCTAGCCAGCAACTTCCTAAAGCTTCCCCTTGCCTGCAAATATATATATTTGTGATTCATTTAACAACTGTGGCAAGAGACTGTCGTAAAATGGGACAAAGCTCCTTAAGAAATGTCTCACTTAGCAAGGTAGTTTGGGCTCCATTGTGGAGCTTTCTGAAATGCTATTTTGCTAGTTTCTAGCTAGCACTACCAGGAAAGAGACTTTTTCCCCCTGCTTTTTCAGTAGCACTTTAATGGTAGCATTACTTAAATAAAAACATGGTTTATTTTTCCATATTGTTTTTTCCCTCTTTTGTGGGTTCGCTCAAAAGCTTTCGCTGCAGCTTTATCAATCAATATTTTCTTTTTATCCATCATCTTTCTGTTCATCTGTTCATCTATTTAACTATTTTATTTTTATCTTTCATCTATTTCATCCATTTTATTTTTATGTATTTCTTATCTTTGTATCTATTTATCTATTTTTAGCTAACCTCTTTTCTACCATTTTCCTTTTCATCTATCCTTTCCTTTTTAATCTTTCATCTTTTCTTCGCATCTTTCTTTTTGAGTTTATCTGTTTTATTTATTTATTTATTTATTTATTTATGAGACTTATATATCACTTTAAGTGCAGGCACTCTCTAAGCGGTGTACACCAGTAAGCAATGTATATATATATTTACATTGCCCCCAACAATCTGGGTCCTCATTTTACCTACCCCGGAAGGATGGAAGGCTGAGTCAACCTTGAGCCGGTGAGATTTGAACCGCTGACCTGCTGAACACAGTCAGCTAAAGTGGCCTGCAGTATTTTTATCATTTCTTTCTTTCTTTCCGTCAATTGTATCTATTTAGCTGATTTATTTTAGTTTTAGATTCCTTTTCTACCATCTTCATCGATCCTACGTTTTATTTTCATCTATCATCTTTCTTTTCATACATTTTTTACCTAATTTTATCTATTTGATTTTTATTTTTCTTCTTTTTTTTTTTACCCAATTTTTCTTTAGGTCGCTTTTATCTCTTTCATTTTCATCTGCCATCTTTCCCTGGTTTATCTATTTTCTTTTTAATCTATTGTATCTATTTCTCTCTTTTACTTTTTTTTTAACATATTGTCCATTCTTAGCATCTGTCGGTTTTCTTCCCCATGCTCAAAAATGGCAGGAAAGGCATCACTAAAGGACAGCCATTGGTCCGAAATGGTATAGGGTTTCCTGCTTGAGCACGGGGTTGGACTAGATGACCTCCAAGGTCCCTTCCAACTTTATTATTATTATTATTATAAAGGGATGGTCTATCCGTAAAGTTTGAGAAAAGGAAGGTGGTTTCCCCTCTATGAACTATCAAACAAAGGAACTAAAGAACCAGACCGAGATACACCCAGCCTCATCATGATTTTAATCGTATTTAGACTCATCATTGCACAGAAGTCGTAATTCAGCTTTTTGGTCTCTGCCCTGAAGTAGCCGGATAGCACAAACACACCCGAGACACAGCAGCTGAGTTGGGGGGGGGTCTTCTGAATTTCAGGACCCGCTATGTCACTCAGACAAAATGGCGCCGATTCCTCGCTGGGGAATCCAGTGATCAGAAGTCTCGAACAAAGAAAGCTGTGCGACCACCCAACCCAAAATCCTGTGCCCGGCTTGAACTTTGCCCTAAGCCGACCGAAATCGGGAGTTCCAGGGAAGAAACTGGGCACCCTGGCACCAGGGACGTGGTTTTCTTTCCGGGCAGGAATTGTGCACGGACCCACGGAGGCGGTCGTGGCATCGCCACGCACCTGCCCTGCACGGGCACCCATACCCTCGCGCCCACCATCCAGGGGTGCAACGCTCAAACCGAGCGATCCTCCCACTTTGCAAGCCCAACCGCCCCTCCTTTGTTAACGGAGCCAGGCTGGTGTGCAGGCCCTCAACCCACAATGATGCTGAACCCACAATGGAACCGGTGTTTCCAATGGTTGAGGAAGGCGCCCAGCGCTAAGGTCACGGGCAAGGGGGGGATTTTCTTCTCCAGAACTGCCCCCACGTGCCAGTTACTGTCCAGAAGCCCTGAAGGAAGAAGAGTAAAGAGCCATTAGGAGCAGTTTGGTCTAGTGGTTAAGGCCCTGGGTTAGGAATTAGGAGATGGCGAGTTCTAGTCTTGCTTTAGGCAGGAAAGCTGACTGGGTGACTTTGGGCCAATCGCCAGGAGACTGGGACTTCTAATCCTGCCTTAGGCATGAAAGCCAAATGGTTGACTTTGGGCCAGTCACCAGGAGACAGCGAGTTCTAGTCCCACCTCAGACATGAAAGATGGCTGGGTGACTTAGGGCAAATCACCAGGAGACGGGGAGTTCTAGTCCCACCTTAAAGTGAAAGCCGACTGATTGACTTTGGGCCCATCGTGAGTAATTTGGGCGTTCTAGTCCTGCCTTAGACAAGGAAACTTTTGGCAAGCAAAAGGATAAAGAACTCCTGTCCCTTAAACGGCGAAGGACAGCTGGAGAGCTGGATCTGTTAGTGGTTTAATGTCACTCACCCTTGAAGGTCATGTTGGCTTCGGGCAGGTTGAGCTGATAGCCAAAAGCAAAGCTTGTGTCCTGAAGCCGGGTGTTAGCCTCAAATTCCACTCCCAGCTGAATCTGCCAACGAAAGGGGAAAAAAAAAATCGAAGTCAAACTGAAAGGTTATTGGGACCCAGGAAAAGGAGGAGAAGGAAGAGGGAAGAAGAAGTGAAAGAGAGATGAAGAGAGAGGAGGCGGCGACGGAGAAAGAGAAGGCGGAGAAGAAAGACAGGAAGGGGGAAGAATAAAAGGAGAGAGGAGGAGAAGAAAGATAGAGGAAGAGGAGAAGGAAAGGAAAAAACGAAGAACGCGAGGAATATTAGAAAGAGAAAGAGAAGGAGAAATGAGGATTGGGAGGTGGAGGAAGAAGAAGAGAAGAAAAAGAAAGGTGGAAACTAGCAGGAGAAAGAGGAGGGGAGAAAAGGAAGATCAAGATTCGAAGGAGGACGACTAGAAGGAGAAAGAGGAGAAGTGAAGAAGAAAAGAAAGATGAAAACTAGAAGGAGAAAGACGAGAAGGAAAAAGAGAGGACGACTAGAAGGAGAAAGAGAAGTGAAGAAGAAAAGAAAGATGAAAATTAGAAGGAGAAAGACGAGAAGGAAAAAGAGAGGACGACTAGAAGGAGAAAGAGGAGAAGTGAAGAAGAAAAGAAAGATGAAAATTAGAAGGAGAAAGACGAGAAGGAGAACGAGGAGAAGACAAGAAGAGAACGTGAAGATCAGGAGGAGAAAGAGAAGGATGAAAAGAGGAAGGAAGAGAAGACAGAGGAGGGAACAAAGAAAACAAGCAGAAAATGAAGAACAAGAAGATGGAGGAGAAGGAAGAAGGTTAATCTCACCTGGTCATTTGCCCGGTGGTAGTAACTAGCATGGGCTCCTCCGAATCCTAAATTTAGGGTGGCTATCCATTTCAGAGCTAAAACAAGGCAAAAAACCAGGATTAAACATACTGCATTTCTAACGGTTGGCAAATAAATGAAATATTAGGAACACGAAGCAACGGGAGAAACCACGAACATCTCTCCTTGGTAAATTATTTTTCCCTGACTCCGTCCTGACTGAGCAGATCCCAGATGCCAGACGGGATTCCCAGCCACCCAGAGATGTATTTTCTCTCACCAAACAAGACAATTTGGCCCTCTCAGCTAATTCCGATACCTCCACCAGCCATTCCCAACGTGGCTTATTATTGATGGAGCAAGAACGGAGCTTCTGCTGATCCATCCAAAGTCCAACTCAGCAGAACTTCAGTCTTTGATTTTGGAGGATGCTGCTGTTTCAGCGTAAGAGAGTCACAAGTTCTGTCTTTTCCTCTTTTCTTCGTTTCTTTCCTTTTTTCTTCCTCCCTCCCTCCCTCATCTGTTCTCTTTTACTTTCCCTTCCCTCCCTTTTAACTTCCTTTCATTTCCCTTCCTTCCTTTCCTTCCTTCCTTCTTCTCTCCCTCCCTCCTTCCTCTGTCTCTGTCTTTTCCTTTCCTTTCTCTCTCTCTTTTCCCTTCCCTTCTTTCTACTATTTTTTTTCCTGGCTTCCCCGCTCATCCTTCCCCTGAAAAAATTATGTATTGTTCTTTCTAGAACAATCTTTGGACAAAGGTAGAAGAAAACAAGGCCTGACATTTACACTGCAGTTTAGGCTTGTTGGTGTTTCTTGCTGTTCTTGTTATCCCCCCATTTCTGAAAGTGGTGGGGCACATAAGATTTTGCAAACCAGCTCTACCAGCTAGAAGATCCAGGAATTCTTGCTCCGATGGCATCTGGAGACCCCTAAATTGGGGATAATCTGATTCTCCCTCCAAGGAACTTACCGGTGTACTTGCCAGCCAGAGTGATGATGGTTCCTTCTTCTCCAGCACGTCGGTGATACACTAATTCACCCCCTAGGACCAACCGTGACGTCATGCTCTGGAGGAAGTGTGCAACAACAATAACTGTATGGAATAAAACATGGCCAAGGATCAATTAGCAGTGGCAGGGACAGCCCTTTGGCCCCATCACTTAAAAAGTGACCCCTGTATTAGCCATTCCCAGGTTGCAAATGCACAAGCAGCCATTCAGTTGTATAGTTTACCACAATGTTTCTGAAAGCCAGTCTCAGGAAGGAAGGGAGGAAGGAAGGAAGGAAGGAAGGGAGGGAGGGAGGGAGGGAGGGAGGGAGGAAGGAAGGAAGGAAGGAAGGAAGGAAGGAAGGAAGGAAGGAGGGAAGGAAGGAAGGAAGGAAGGAAGGCTGAGAAAGAAAGACACAAAGAGAGAGAGAGGGAAGGAGGGAGGGAGACAAAGAAAGAAAGGAAGGAAGATTGAGAAAGAGACAAAAGAGAGAGGGAAAGAGGGAGAGAAAGAGAAAGGAAAAAAGATTGAAAGAAAGGGAGAGAGAAAGACAAAGAAAGAGAAGGAGGGAAAGAAAGAAAGAGGGAGGAAGGAAGGAGAGAGGAAAGAAGGAAAGAAGAAGGAAAGGGAAGGGAAGATAAAAGAAGGTAAGGGAAGGAACAAAGGAAAAGAAAATAAAGGGGGAAAGGAAAATAAAAGACGAGAAAGGAAGGGAGAAAGGAAAGGAAGATAGAAGGAAAGGAAAGGAAGATGGAAGAAGGAAAGGAAAGGAAAAATGGATGAGGGAAAGGAAGGGATATGAATACCTGCCAAGGATTATCCGTACAGCACACTCACCCGATTCGCTGATCAAATCGGGGTTCCCCAGAGTCAAGGTGGCGGTGTAGTCCCCCCCACGATATTCAGCATCAAATTGCCAAGTTGTGAATTTGGCCTGTTGAGTCTGGAACAGGATGAATCAGTCAGGAATTGGCCTTTTTAACAAAGATTTTGGGCATATAAATAAAAAAAAATAAAAGGAGGCAATGACGGTTTAAATTCAACTGGAAAAGTTAATTAAAAGTTAATTAAAAGTCGTGTGTGTGTTTATATTTACTTCCAATCTGTGTCTCTATTTGCTTTAAAGAGCCTTTAAAAAAAAAAATCCTGCCATTTGTTTCAGGCTGCAAACTGCAACTTTGGGTATTAAAATACTCCGCCATCTTTACAACGGTACTGCGAGGCAGGCCAAGATGGCTAGAGGGAGGCAAAGAAAGAGTATCCTATTTAGGGCGGATTGAGAACAATCAAAATCCTGGTTTGAATTCAGACAGACGCGGAGGGAGAAATGCTTTACCTGGAAAATTGCTTTGGTCCGTATCCGCTCTGTTATAAGATGGAGAATTTGAGCACTGAGGCTCCCAACATTGCTAATATCGCCAATAAGGGTGGGAAAAATCTAGGAAAGAACCAGGAAAAAAAGAAACTGGATGAATTAAAAAAAAAAAAGTCTGGGGAAAAAAAACTCTCTTTCAAACTTATAGTTTTGTTCCAAATTTCACGGCTGTTCCAAGAAAAATTTTCAATGATTAATGGTTCCATGGACTGTATTTGTTGACTTCTGTTAAAAGGAAAATAACGATTTCCCATGCTAGGAAAATGGGCTGAGGTTTGTCTGCTTTGAAGGGGCCCAAAGTAAGCCTTTTTCAAAAAGGTTGCATTTTAATTTAATTTTAGAACAATTAACCAGTGGAACAACCTTCCTCCAGAAGCGGTGAATGCTTCAACACTGGAGGTTTTTAAGAAGAGAATCCATTTTCACTCACCTCTGTGGGACTAAGCTGCTGATCCCCCACATAGGTCGTGTTCAGATGGTAACCTGAGTGTCCGATGGTGCTCAGGTGAACGGTGTGGGATACCTGAAGGGAAGCCACCAATAGCAGCTTTAAAATCAGACAGTCCTCAACTTACGACCACAGTCAAGTCCAACATTTCTGTCACTAAGCAAGACATTTGTCGAGTTTTATCCCATTTTACCACCTTGCTTGCTGCAGTTGTTCAGTTAGTGACACGGTTGTGATCCGCAAAAGAGGGATCGTGTGATCCCGGGACACTGCAACCGTCATAAATACGAGTCAGTTGCCAAGCGGCTGAATTTTGATCACATGACCATGGGGATGCTGCAACGGTCGGTCGTAAGTGTGAAAACCGGTCCAAAGTCCCTTTTTCCGGTGCCGTTGTAACTTTGAACAGTCACTAAATGAACAACTGTAAGACGAGGACTGTCTGCCCAAGACAACTTAGTCTAATGTTTGTTTGCTGGCTGGATAGGGGAGAAGAAAGCACTCCCTCTTTCCTTAACTCCACTCAACAATCACCCTGCGAGGTAGGTTAATGTGTTACAGACACACACACAAACACACATCAACTACAGACTCCTAGAATCAAGGACACCCACCTGAAAATGGCTACTCAGAGATTTATTAATGATCAGCTTGACGCCTTCCATTTGTTGAGGAAAAACATCTGAAAAGGAAGCAGGGAGAAAAAAGAAGAGTGTGAAGCACATTTCAGTTTATTTTTATTTATTTATGAAACGCCACCCCCCGTCTGGCTATCGACTTACAACAGAATAAAAAGGACGGTATAAAAATTATTGCCAATGCCTCTTCTAGCACTGAGGATGTTAGCTTGCTGGGTTACGAAACGTCTGCAAGGAAACCACCCAAATCACGAGAGTAACATGGACGCCACCGTCCTCCTGCTGCCTGCAAGCTCCACTCCCTTCTATCCCTGATGATGTTAGCTAGCTGGGTCACGAAACGTCTGCAAGGAAACCACCCAACTCATGGGAGTAACATGGACGCCACCATCCTCCTCTCCTCCTGCCTGCAAGCTCCACTCCCTTCCATCCCTGACGATGTTAGCTAGCTGGGTCACGAAACGTCTGCAAAGCCGTATAAAATGTATATTTTTTAAAAAGTGTGTTTACCTTTGCATTTGCGGTGAAGTTCATCAAAGCTACCCGGGTTGGCCAGTCCTTCGGCCCGGCGAGCCCCTTTCCGTGGGGCAGGGAAGGGGCTGAATATATTCCCCATGTCCCCCCCCAGTCACCTCTTTAAGCCAGGCTACGTGGCCATGGCTTGTGGCCCATCGGCTTCACTTTGAGCATCCTTGAGCCAAAGAATGAAAAGGGTTGTGTGGTTTCACACCGTGGAACCGCACCTTAGTGGCTCACCGGGAATCTGGGGCGGGGGTGGGGGGTGGGAGAAGAAAAATAACCTTTCTGCAGAAAAACAAAATAAAATAAATTTAAAAAAGGTGATGCTTCCTCTTGCTTTGAGAAAGGTGGTGGGGGGGCGCAGGCTGGGGATCCAGCAAGAACTAATGCTTGAGGGGTGAGGTGGGAAAACAGACCCCCCCTTTTCCAAAGGAGAAAGCCACAGGGTGGGAATTGGCTGGAAAGGGGGGGGGAGATGGGACTGGGGGGGTCAGAAAGAGCTCAGACAAGAGCCCCTCCGCTCTTCCTCCTCCTCCTCTTCCTCCTCCCTGATCTTGATGGGGGCGGCCATCTTCCCCGCCCCGGGTTCTCCTCTCTTGCGCCCCACCCCCGCCGCCCTCCTTCAGGAAGCGATTGGTCGCCGTCAGGCTCCAAAGCCCGCCCCTCCTCGGAGGAGCGGAAGCCGAGCCGGGCTGTGATTGGATGACGATGTAGCCAACCGCTTCCTTTCTCCCGCCGGCCCTTTGATCTCTCGCGCTTTGATCAAGGAGCCGCGCTGGGTCAGGACGGCTGGCGGGGCGATGGAGGTGCCGGGCGGGTCTCTGTGAAGGTGTGAAAGGGAATCCGGATGAAGCGCGAGGCCGCCATCCCTGTCTCTGTATCATATATCGTCATCTTTCCATCTTCTGTAATACCTCTGTCTATCATCTAGCTATCCATCTCTGTCTAATCCATCCAGCCAGCCATCTTCCTAATACCTCTATCATCCATCTAGCTATCCATCTAATTAATCTCTCTCCCTCTATTTGTCTGTCTATTTATCTTCTCTAATACTATCATCTGTCTTATCTGTCTTATCTATCTGTCTTATCTTTCTATCTATCTATCTATCTATCTATCTATCTATATCTTATATCTATCTCTGTCTGTCTATCTATCTATCTATCTATCTATCTATGTACCTATCTCTATCTATCTTCTCTAATACCTCTATCATCCCCCTAGCTATCCATCTCTCTAATACTTCCATCCATCCATCCATCTTCCTAATACCTCTATCATCCATCTATCTATCTCTTACCTATCATCTATCTATCTATCTATCTATCTATCTATCTATCTATCTATCTATCTATCTATCTATATCTTATATCTATATCTATCTATCTATCTATCTATCTATCTATCTATCTATCTATCTATCTATCTCTATCTTCTCTATCTCTATCATCCCCCTAGCTATCCATCTAATACATCCATCCATCTTCCTAATACCTCTATCATCCATCTAGCTATCTGTCTTATCTATCTATCTATCTATCTATCTATCTATCTATCTATCTATCTATGTACCTATCTCTATCTATCTTCTCTAATACCTCTATCATCCCCCTAGCTATCCATCTCTCTAATACTTCCATCCATCCATCCATCTTCCTAATACCTCTATCATCCATCTATCTATCTCTTATCTATCTATCTATCTATCTATCTATCTATCTATCTATCTATCTATCTATCTATCTATCTACTCTAATACCTCTATCATCCCCCTAGCTATCCATCTCTCTAATACTTCCATCCATCCATCCATCCATCTATCTTCTACACCACGTATCTCACCTAAGGGAGATAACCTGTCCTGCAGGTGTCAAATCCCTCCAATTTTGGAAAATGCCCTTAAAAGTCTTCCCTCTCTCTGATCCCTGGAAGACCCTTATTTGAGGCCATTAGCACACAAAAGCTGTTTAATTTGTATTCTAAAACCCACAAGAAGAGAACAGGGTGTTCCCTAATGATTAATCTTGTATGATTAATGATTATTCCCAGATCTTGAAATTCAGCGAAGGCCTTCAAAATTAGGTTGACTGTCCACTGTGTTTATCACCCGCCAGCCACAAGCCAACAACACACGTACACACACACCCCCGTCCCATGACGATCAAAGTTTTCCAGAACTTTGGAATTTGAAAACAAACATTGGAACTAATCCCTCTTCCCTGTCTTCCCTCTCTTGTACACCCCTTCAGTTAAATTTGTTACCCGACGGATTGTGAGAATAAGGACGGGCATTTGGGTAGTTACAAGGAAGGCTTTGGCGGGTGGCAGAAGAGATGCTGGCTTGTTCAGGATATCTGGGTCAATCAATCACCTGCTCTTTAACTCAGGGGTTAATCTGTCACTTGCCTTGAGCTCCTTTTCACAATTGTTGGGAGATCAAAACAATGCAAGGAAGTGTAGGATTAAATCCAATCTTTGACGTGTTCAGGATTCTTCTATTCACGGGGATCTCTGTGGTCTTTTGGCTGGCACTGACACCCAGAAATGAACCATCTCTGACTGTGGTCCTTCTGCACACAGATAGTCCTCGACTTACAACAGTTCACTTAGTGACTGTTCAAAGTTACAACAGCAATGAAAAAAGGGACTTATGGACCCTTTTTCACACGGCTGTTGCAGCATCCCCCAGGCCACGCGATCAAAATTCAGACCCTTGACAATGGAGTCATATTTATGATGGCCGCGGTGTCTAAATTAATTTTACTCTACTCTGCTCTATATATACTATATTTTGTTCTGTTCTGTTCTATTCTATTCTATTGTTTTCTATTCTATTCCGTTTTCTATTCTATTCTCTCCTATTCTCTTCTCCTATTTTCTTCTCTTCTCTTCTCTTCTATCCTATCCTATCCTATCCTATCCTATCCTATCCTATTCTATTATTCTATATTCTATTCTATTCTATTCTACTCTGATTTGGGGGCCAGCTGGATCAGGAGGTGCCCTTCGGATGTTTCTCTGCCCATCATGGATTTTTTTAAAAATAATTCTCTTAGCTCTGTTTGCTTTTTTTCTCTCCCACCTTGACATGTTGGAGGTTAATGTCCAGCAGATAAGAGATAACTCAGACATTGTCCTTTCCCTGCTGGTATGAGCTGGCAAAAACAGGTCTTTGAGGGTGGCCATCCCTCCCTCCTGCTCCAGCCAAACACAGCGAGTCCTCAACTTAGAACTATTCATTGAGTGACCGAAGTTACAATAGCACTGATAAAAGGGACTTACACCCATTTTTCACACTTACGACCGCTGCAGCCTCCTTAGGGCCCCGCCTTCAACATTCAGATGCTTCGCAACAGACTCGTGTTTATGACGGTTGTGGTGTCCTGTGTGTGTGTGTGTGTGTGTGTGTGTGTGTGTGTGTGTGTGGTGCGATCCCCTTTTGCGACCCTTTTGCGGCCATGCCAAGTCAAAAAACTGTTGCTAAGCCAGATTTGCTCCATTTTACAACCTCTCTTGCCGCAGCTGTTAAGGGGATCAACAGGGCGGTTCAATTAGCCACACGGTTGTTAAGTGAATCTGGCTGTCCCATACAGCTTGAGGGTCAGAAGGTCACAAAAGGGGACAGTGCAACCGTCATAAATGCGGGTCAGTTGCCAAGCGTTTTGAGTTTTGATCACGTGACCGTGGGGGGGGGGGAAGATGCTGCAGTGGTCGTAAGTGTGAAAAACAGCCTTACATCACATTTTCCACTAAATGAATTGTAAATTGAGCGCTTTGAGGAGGCTCGACTAGAAGACCTCCGAGGTCCCTTCCAATTTTGTTATTCTGGGGACAACCTGTAATTTTCCTCAGAGTGTTTTTTTTTTCCCCTGAGTTCTCCCATAGTACTTTGACGGTGTGTTTGGTTTTCGAAACAGGACAGTCTAGATGTCCCTTAGGAGACACACATATTCAGCAAAGTCAAAAACAAGAGAATTAGGATTTCAGCTTGGGCTTTGCCCCCTAGTAAAGCTTCTGGCCAGAATTGAACGTTATCATGAAAGTTTGTGCCTATGGGGAAAGAAGATAATTCTTTACACACGCACACAGACACACAAATCTGTTTACATAAGAATTACACAAGCCCCATTCCCAAGAGAATTGATGGGGCTGGCTGGCCGGTTTAGACAGAGGGAGGGGAAGGGGACATAAGCGCCAATCATTGTCAGAAAAGATCAGGCAAGGGGGCCTGTGCTCTTGGGAGAGGGTATAAAACACCCAGCCTCTGCTTAAAACACAGATATTCTCCAAATATTCTCTTTTAAATTCTTCACACAGGTAAGGATCAAAGGCTTTTCTTTAAAAAAATGAAAAGAAGTGATAGTAATCTGTCTGTCTGTCTGTCTGTCTGTCTCTCTCTCTCTATCTATCTATCTATTTATATGTATCTATCTATCTTTACCTCTGTCTATCTATCTTTATCTATCTATCATCTATCTTTATTTATATCTATCTATCTATCTCTACCTCTATCTGTCTATCTATCTATCTATCTATCTATCTATCTATCTATCTATCTATCTATGTCAATCATCTATTATTTATATTTTATCTATCTGCCTGCCTGCCTGCATGCCTATCTATCTATCTATCTATCTATCTATCTATCTATCTATCTATCTATCTATCTATCTATCTATCTATCTATCTTTATATCTATCTATCTCTACTGTCTATCTATTTTTATCTATCTATATCATCTATCTATCTGTCTATCTATGTATGTATCTCAGTCATCTATTATCTATATTTTATCTGTCTGTCTGTCTATCTGTCTGGCTGAGTCATACATTTGCAAGAGAAGGACAGCTGGACGAGCTTGGCAAGGAATGACATTTAATGATATTTTTTTTCCTTTCTCTGTCTGTTTCCCTTTCTTCGTCCCCCTTTCTCTCCCAAAGGCTGAACTCAAAGCGTGTGAGAAAATGAAAGCTTTTGCCTTGATTCTCCTGCTGATCAGCATTTACCATGTAAAAGGTACGTAAAAGTAGAGGGTGTATTTTTTAACAAGCAGCCAACTTGGTGCTATTGACTTCTGAGTAAATATTACGCCTGAACAGAGACGTGGACAGTTGGAAGGTTTGGGAAAGGCCAGCTTTCCACCAATGAAAAGAGAATATTTGGAAGGATCCCAATCTATCAGCTGATATTTACAAAACGGGGTTAATTATTATTCACCGAACAAAATCAATCATAGTTTTTCCCCTTTGTGGGTCACAGCCCTGTCCTTTTCTGGCATAATTTATATCTTTATATATCTTTATATATGCTCATATTCTACTTAAACCTATATTTGTGTTTGTATTCATAATGTGCTATATTAGAATTGTGTATCAGTGATTGCATGAGTGCTGTAGAAATATTATTATTATTATTAATGAAGTTTAATGAAGAGAAGGACGAGGGGGGACACGATACAGTGTTCCAATATCTCAGGGGCTGCCCCAAAGAAGAGGGAGTCAAGCTATTCTCCAAAGCGCCTGAAGGCAGGACAAGAAGCAACGGATGGAAACTAATCAAGGAGAGAAGCAACCTGGAACTAAGGAGAAACTT